GTTGACCCCTACACCTGCCCCTATATCTTCCCCTATTCTATCTTATTCGTCTTTACCAGTCTCTGTTACTGTGCCTATTCCTATGGCTCGATCCCCTCTACAGCCTACTTGGCAACCTCCGTCGTTAGAAGAGTTCTTTACTGATATCGAACGTCGACGGCTTCAGCCTGTACTATATAACTGTAGTAACTTTGGCACAGTGACCAATTTTTTGGCAGAGACGGGGCAGGAAAATGACCCGATAGAACTGATGGAAGCACGGAATATGGCTCTCGCTACAAGGGGAGTGTATACTTCCTGCACTCCAACAATGGCATGGAATTATCACTTTGGAGATATGAATGATTTCTACGCCGAAAGATTTGCACAAGTCGGTGCTCAAAATTTTATTTCTAGGTCTCAGGATGTGCGCAGACAGCGTCCGAAGAGGGCTGCAGCAGAGAGGGCTTCAAATGCTTGGAAAGGACTTAGCCCGCACAAGAGACAGCGACGTCAGTAGAATATATGCTTTGACTCATAAATTGGACAAGACATCGAGATACGCTTCAAACTTCAGTCGAAGGAGCTAACAATAGTGATATATTAAATCTTAGTATAGGATTTGTTGATGAAGCTCAACTGACCTCCGAATTTGGTTAGATGAACTTTCTAGGTGATGAAATGGGTCACGTGAGGTCAGCCGAACCTTTTTCGAGGTCAGCCGAACTGTAGTCACCTTGGGCTTTTGGGCAGCGAGCCACCGACTGGCCACAATAATTAGGGCACGCCGTCCTCATAAAGTCTTCATGAAATCTAACCCGATTTATCTCTAGCGCTCATAAATGCTCTCATAAATACTAGCCCAATTAGGTATAGCATTACCAAATGTGGGTGCCTTAGGCACTCACATCGGTATTTGTGGATTCTACCCATTCGTAAAGCTCTCTCCAACTGTATATAGTCTTGTAATCAACATTTTCATCGCTTAAATAACCAAACCATAGCAGGAATGGACGTGTATATACATAGCTTCAATCCTCAATTCTTCATAAAGAAGGCAGGTTACATGACTCATCATGATGAATCAGCAATGCACGAGCCCATTACTGCCACCTTTTATGAGATTCCTCCGTAATTCATCATTTAATCCAGATGAGCTCATTTGGACTGCCCTAATTAGGCCACATGAATGATATGACATGGGGACTTATGTAAGCTGCGTTGTGTTGACTGTTGACAATTTGACGTTGCAGACTGCAGTTATGCACGATGACAGAGAGTTGCAAGTTGTTTTAACAACCAGAATGAAATGAGGGATTATCGAAGCAAATAGCAATTTGATGCGTTGGATTTGTGTTGGGACGTGTATTTTCTGTGTTCATTACCAATTTATGACTTGAAGACTTGTATCTTAACCCCGGATGGTTGTATACTTGTATCACTAAAAAACACTGATCATGTCAGACCAGGAGCTCGACATCGTGGTGCATAAGAGGCATTTAATCATTTAGGATGCGGGCGGAGAGCCATAAAGAAGGACTACTGCTTATGAGCATGATCGGTGTCATTTGTGGTCAACTTAATATATCGTAGTAATATCGAGTATGACTTGACATCTTTCCCAAACATATGACTACCTCTGATAGCACGGTGTCTATACATTTCTTTCCAACTCTTTGATGGTCGATAAATGAGAGCTCTCACGGAGGGACACGGACAATATCGTAGTACGTTTCTAACCCAACAAGAAAGCGAAAGCAGGGGGACAATAATCGCAAGGCACCAATGACAAGAAGACAAGACGGCCAATTTTCTTGATTTTAATCGGGGTTATTCACGATAAACACGCAAGCAATCGCTAATGATGGAACTTGGTGTAATTGATGGGAGGGAGATCATTGTTGAGCCAGTGAGATCAGTGAGATCAGCCATGTCTGTCAGTCGGACCTTGCTTTCAGGAACCACAGTACTTAACTCGGCACCAAGGTTGTGGAAATTGAACAGGAATCGAACGGGAAGTTAATTTTCGAAAACGCGAGGTGAATTGATGAGTTGAGGTCTTCAGTTCGGTTCGGTTGATGGGTTGGATACTGTATTCCGGGTGTGATGTCACTCCAGCCACACGCGTGGCGCGTCCAACGCGTCTCCCACCAAAAGTCCCGACTTCATTGCACCTTTTATCTTTCAACGTAAATCATATTTCATGTCAACACTGTCCTGCAGCAGCAGATCAAATTCATCTTATCCCATCGCTTTCTTTAACTTACATTATCTCTCTGCTGTCCCTCCATCAAACTCTCCATCACATTCCAACCGCCCCAGTTCCCATCTTATTACTGTGAGATGGCGTCTCGCAAGAAGAAGCTGAATGACTTCGAAGAACTTCTAGACGAGGAGCCACCAAAGATCGAACCCTACACGGTATTGGAGCTCGAGCGATCCGCTACGGCGGATCAAATCAAGTCTGCATATCGGAAAGCGGCCCTCAAGCATCACCCAGGTACGTCCCCGGTTGTCCACGAACCGTCGCATGCTAATCGTATTCGCGGTAGATAAAGCGCCCGAGGACCAGAAAGCAGAAGCCCACATCAAGTTCCAAGAGGTCGCCTTTGCATATGCGATTCTCTCCGACCCACGCCGCCGTCAGCGTTACGACACCACAGGAAGAACGGAGGAGTCCGTCGACCTGGATGACGATGAATTTGACTGGAGGGACTTCTTCCGCGCGCAGATGAAAGAAGTGGTAACGAACGAGGCCATCGAACAGTTCAAATCGGAATACCAGGGCAGCGAGGAAGAGAAATCCGACCTTATCGCGGCATACAACAGAGGGAAAGGGGATATGGATGTGATCTACGAAGAGGTCATGCTGAGCAATCCCGTCGACGATGACGCGCGATTTCGGGAGATTTTGAATCGCGAGATTCAGGACAAAACCATCAAATCCTACAAGAAGTACGCGTCGGAGTCTGGAGCGAGCAAGAAGGCACGAGAGCGGAACGCGCAGAAGGAGGCACGCGAAGCGGAAGAGCTGGCGAGGGAGATGGGCGTCCACGATAAGCTGTTCGCAAACGGCGACGCCAAGAAGAAGACAAAGAAGACGAAAGGGTCGGAGCCGGACGAGTCGGCGCTGGCCGCGTTGATTCAGAGCCGGAATACACAGCGCCAGCAGGACTCGAACGCGTTCCTCGACCGGCTGGCGGAGAAGTACGGTGCCGGTTCGGGGAAGGGCGCCAAACGACGGGCGACGGAGGAACCGCCTGAGGAAATGTTCCAGGAAACAGCGAAGCGGGGAAAGAGGGCGAATCCGGGGAAGGCTCGACGTTGAAGGCAAGCCACGGTGCAAAGGTTCGCATTACGGCCGATATATATTACCGTTAAAGAGCAATGTTCACGAATAATGACTGTCAGCAAAGTTCACCAGAGGTTCTGGTACTGTTTTCGGAACGATCAACCGATGTATTCCTGCAATCTGAATCCTCAATTGCGCAGACTGGCAGAACTACGCCCTCTAAAGGACTATGCGAAGCCAAACGACTAAAAAAAGGCATCGCCATTGAATAGCGATTAAAATAGTCCTTCGATCCAATATCTCGCAAATTGCTGGGTCGAAGCAATATATTTGGCCAAGACCGAATCCTCGAGTGAACCCCTTGTCTATTTGATACAACCTTGATTGATCAAATAAAAACTATCACCCACGCCCGCGAAAAGACACAAAGGCCAATTACCTACCGGATGGGAAAGTGTTTAAACTCACGTCGGCGAGGCGAATTGGCGCATCCTCTACTTCTAGGCAATTTAGACTCACATTACCCTTGCGAAAGCATGTCGTCAGAACCGGTCCGAGTAAATGAAGTGGAGCGACGAGATTGCTCTCCAGGTCCAGATCATTTCGAAACCCGGGAACTGATCATCTATTAAAAGGTCAGGCGATCCAATTCCTCTTCACGATCGGTTGACTCTGTCCCGCTGTACTTTCCCGTGTCTGCGTGCGTTCGCGATGAGGCTTTCACTCCTTTTCCTAGCCTTGACGGGCGTGTCTTTCGCTCTTCCTCAAGATCCTTCGGTCATTACGGCGTCAACAGTGGCGTCTGAGCCGGTCATTTCGGCATGCACGGTGCCACCCCACTCGGTGATCAACTCGACGACGGTGCCGCCGAACCCCGTCATCACGGCATCCACGGTCCCTCCGAACCCGGTACTCACGGCGTCCACGGTGCCTCCCAACCCCGCCATCACGGCATCCACGGTTCCTCCAAATCCAGTGATTACCGCATCCACGGTCCCTCCAAACCCCGTCATCACGGCGTCCACGCGGTCTCCCAATCCTGTAATCACGGCATCCACGCGGCCTCCTAACCCAGTGATTACCGCATCCACGCGACCCCCTAACCCTGTCATTAGAGCGTCGACAGTGACACGCCAACCAGTCATCACCCGCACCCGCACCAAAGCTCCAACCCCAACCCGAAAACCCGGGCACACTCAACCATGGTGGTGCAACGAGTACCCTGACTCACCCCGCTGCAACGGCAACAGCACCACCCCCTCCCCCCCATCCCCCTCCACCCAACCCCCGACATACGCCCCATGTGGCACTCTCCGCGGTCTCCAATGTCCCGACGACGTCAACTACATCTGCATGAACGACCCGCGCGTCCAGGGCTGCGGGCTCGAGTGCGACGCGCCGGGCATCTGCGTGCAGCGGAACGCGTGCACGGGCCGCGAGGTCGGCGCGGGATGTCGCTGCGGTGGGTACCCCGGGTTCGCGTGCCCGCGGAACTATCTGTGCGCGGACGATCCGGGAGACGATTGTGACCCGGGGAACGGCGGGGCGGATTGTATAGGGATCTGCGTGTTTGGGGGGCCGGGGCCAGAGACGGAGCTAGAGCCGGAGCCGGAATCACAGGTTGAACTAGAGCCAGAGGCTGGGAACGATGGTTCGTCTGATGGATCTGGAGGTCCGACGGGGGAGGTTACGGGTGAGTTGAGCGCGAGTCCATTCCGACAATCTTTTCTAACAAGTCCCAGGTGGTTCGCCAACAAACGGGGAGGGACCTGAGGTCGGCGACGGGGTTCCAGGGGTAGGTAGCAATGGGCCGAGCGATCCGGGTGAGACTCCAGTCACTGATGCCAGTCTCGGAGGGATTGATACCACTGTCACATTGGAGCCGGGAAACGATTCTTCAGGCGGCGGTGTCAGCGACCTCGGCGAGACCCCAGTGACCGACACCAGTCTCGGAGGGGCTGGTACCTCTGTCACGTTGGAGCCGGGAAGCGGTTCCTCAGGCGGCGGCGTCAGAGGTGTTGAAGGAGAAGCGTCGTTGTCTGGAGCGCAGTCGGAAACCAGCATAGACAGATGAAAGCACAGCGGTTTCGGTTTGATAGCCATGAATGTCAGATTTATCTCGGTTGAGCTTCTCGTACTGGCTTGGTAGATACTTCTCCTAACAAGATGTCAACGGTATCACAGAACGCCTGGGTGGAATATAATCACGACTGCTCTGTGAGTATCGGCGCTATCGGTGCCGGCTTCGGCCCGAGTATTCTTCATCCTGCCCGTCTTACGCCCTTAGGCACGCTTTCACAAGGAACCTTGTAAAATCGCAATGGTTCAGGGCACATTAAACTGGATTTTCACATAATCGGGACGCCTGGCGAGTAATTATTAATCCAGCGGAGTCGTCGTCGCCAGTGGTTGCGTGCTCAAATCTTGGTGGTGGCTGACAATTGACATGTCGAAGTGGGCCGCACATGGTCGAAGGGCGCGGAGGTCCCAGCTTTACGAGGCAATCGTACGAGTGCCCAGGATTTCACCACCATACAAGTAATCCAGCGGGCCCGCACCCCGTCATACAGGTGTTACCGTCAACTGTCTGCGTTTGCAGTGGCTCCATGAGCGGCGGAAAAAAATACAAATCCTTGGAAAGTTGGGCGATGCATTCCAGTGCCGGGATCATAGACAGGATATTTCCGAATGGGGCAATTTTCAGGGATGCCGTGGATCGACAAGAAAGCTATCAAGGCTCGAGCATATTGGACGCACATTCACCGGCAAAGCACACAGGACAAATTAAAAAGATCTACGCGTTCGGATGCAAAATGGACGGGACATCTGAGCGACCGCCCTGATTCTTGGATAACATCGATACGTGAAGCCGCAAGCCCCTGGACGCTTCCCCGCGGAGCAGATCGCAACGACTGATATATATAGAGCGGGACGGATGCACACATGCCACTGAAAGACCTCCTCCCTTAGAACATGAGGTTCAGGATGCGCTTCCACGCCGGCCACAGGGCGCGCTCGGCGTTGTCGGCACGGACCTGGTCGAGGTCGAGATGGCGACGACCGGAATCGACGTCGATAGTGGCGATGGTCAACCAGCCGGTGCGTTTCCAGAAATAGCCGCACACCCAGAAGAGCATGACGATGGGCAAGGCGAGGTAGGACTTGAAGAAGTTCTCGGCGCTGGTTTCGCCGCCGAGCGGGAACAGGGCGATGTAGAACTGGAACACGGTTTAGCCAGGGCGCGATGTGCAAGAGGGCGTGGAAGCTTACCTGAGCAATCAGGACGAGAACGATGAGGAACAGACCGAGGTACGACCCGGCGACGCCGCCGACGGCCTTGAATGGAATCTCATCGAGGGTGTGTCCTTGGTACTTCCAGGCGGCACGGAAGCGGATGTGGGCCAAGCAGATGGATCCCCAGGTGAACAGGGCAGCTAGGCCGGACAAGGCGAGCAGCCAGTCGAAGACGGTGGGGCCGTCGGAGGTCAAGTTGACGTAGGCGAGGACGCCGAAGATACAGATGGCGGCGGTACTGGGCAGCGGGCGACCGCTCTTGTCGACGTAAGCGAAGATCTTCGGGGCGTAGTCTTGCTCGGCTAAGGCGGTCAAAGTGCGCGAGCCGCCGTAGACGCCGGACATGCCGATGGAGATGACGGAGAGCATGATGACGACGTTCATGAAAGAGTCGAAGCCTTTGAGACCGGCGTACTTGCCGACCAGCACGAACGGCGAGGCATCAACGCTAACATACGGATTGGCACCCAGCAGGTTCTCGTCGTCGTAGGGGATGAGGAGACCGACAAAGAACAAGCCCAAGATGTAGAAGAGGGTGATTCGCCAGAAGACCTGCTTGATGGCGCCGGGCAGCTGCCGAACGGGATTGGAGGCCTCGGCGGCGGCGAGACCCACCAGTTCGGTGCCGCTGAAGGCGAAGGCGGCGGTGACGAAGACAGCGCAGACGCCCTTGAAGCCATTGGCGAATGCGCCCGGGTTATACCAGTTGCGGGCGCCCCAATACTCACTGTATATCCCTTCGCTGGGACCACCACCGCACACCATGACCAAGCAGATGATCATGAAGATGATGGTGGCCGACAGCTTGAGGATACTGGACCAGAACTCTTCTTCGGCATAGCCCAAGACGCCCCAGATGTTGATAAAGACGATAACGACCAGGAAGACGGTGATCCAGACGGCGACGCTGATATCGCTGTCCCAGTAACCTACGGTGATAGCGGCGACAGTCAGTTCGAGCGGAAGGACGATGGCCCATTGGAAGACGTAGTTCCAACCCATGGCGAAACCCCACGAAGGATCGATGAAGCGAGTGGAATAGGTGTAGAAACCACCGGAAACCGGGTACATGATGGCGAGTTCTCCAAGAGCATAGACTAGCACGACAGGTCAGGATACGAATTCTTCCCTTGGACATGGTTAACGCGATTGTAGCGTTGCGACTTACCGACGTTGAACATCATCACCCCGATAATGCCGAAATCAATGAGCAGCGCACCTGGACCCTGGACACGAAGGTTAGCGGACCGGCGTGGGTTTGTACGACGCAGACGTACGCCCGAAAGGGAAACCTACACCCTTGGACAACGCGCTTCCAGAGCCGACGAAGAAGCCGGCGCCGATGGAGCCGCCGATGGCGATCATATGCAGATGGCGAGACTTCATGGTCTGGTTGAGCTGGTTGGTCGTGTCGTAGCCCTCGCGGCGCTTAAACGACTCGAGGTTCAAGCCATTACGAGTCCAGAAGCTGAGCTTCTGGAACTCCTCGTTCTTGAAGACGACGCTGGCGGTTCGTCCCTCGGTGTCGTAGGCGGGAGCAGGCTGAACCTCGCGTGCGGCCTCCTTCTCCGGATCCGGGAGGACCCCCTTCTCATAGGTGGCCATGATGGGTCAATGGGAGAGAAATCAAGAATTAAGATCTATCGATAATGGCTACAGCTCGCGACCAGGATCGATGGAGGAGCTGGGAGGGGATTGTTGGAACCGCTCGCGGCGAGCCGGAGTGGTGAGGTTGGGGGTCAGTGATGGGGAAGACAATGACGACGGCTTGGCGGAACGAGGAAACATCCGCACTTCGTACAATGGACGATGACAGAGGGAGCGGGATAGGAAAGGAAAAAGATGCAACGCTGGGATGCGGCCGGGAGGTTTTAAGTAGTACGGAGAGCGGGAGGCAAGGATGGGATGGTCGTCCAGGAGGGGGGGCGTACAGATTTGAGGTATAGCGATTGGGGAGGTGGGAACGGCAGTATCGGTACGAACCATCATCCTGCATCCATGGACCATGGGACAGTGGCGCTACGGCCAATTCACCATTGTGGCAGACCAACATACTGGTCCAATCGTCATGGATGGTTGGATGGAGTGTGTGAAGCGAAGTGGTCGGTGCTTTGAAGGGTGCAGAGGTACGTACTGAGGTAGAACGGGTGATAGACGGGGAGATGGCCGACGACGACGCGGACTAATTGCTTCGGTGCAGGAGAATTGAGGGGATTCCGCAGCGAACTGGACAGTGGACAGGTGGAGAGACTCTAGAGTTTCGATACAGAGTACGGAATACTGACATCTACAATCTGCATGTGCTGGTTGCGTGGACAAGGAAGCGATACCGGCATATGGTTAGTGGTGAGATAGTGAGAAGGTGGAGGAAGTTTAGTGTGGGAGGGCGACATGGTGACGGATACGCTAAACGCGGGGATTTTGCCTCTTCTCGTCTCCTAACTCTTCACTACTAACACCGGTAATCACTACACCCACTACCGTACAGGTATGATGGTCTGGTTATTGGTACTGGTACAATACTGGTAAGAGATCATCCTAAGCGTCCAAGTCTCCAAGAGATCTTTCCGTTGCATCGCGTTTCCTTGAATCCATGACCGGATTACCAGGGTTTTCTTCCCTTTTTCTACCCTCCCTTCTCCTTGGACCATTGTTTTGTCCTCTTTTCTCCCTCGATCTTCATTCTTTAGCTAAATCCCCAGGCTCTAACTACTGAATGATCGGCTTCGAAACAACCCATTTTTTCCGTCCTGGCTCGCATCTTCATCACTCTTGATTCTCCATTCTCACGAGCAACGTTCAAACAACCATCGGCCGGCACTCTAATTTCTAAACCGATGGCGCAGCTTGATAACGCTTAGCTCGGCGGGAAGCTTGGCCCCTAATTGACATCGGAGCAACATGAGTGGGACTGGGTTTAGACCCAACTGGGCACCAGCTCCATTTGCCTCTCTCGATCTCGCTCGGTCCCTGGGACATTATTTGGGACATTAGTGGGATCGCTGATAACGGTAGCGTGTTCTGGATTTCTTGAAAGTCTTGACTCTTGCCTATTTCTCTAATCTTTCTCATTCCCTCCGTCCAATCTTGATGCTTGGGTTCCTATGGCACGATTGACGGTCGCAGGATTATGAGCATGGACTTCCACCTTCAGGTATGAAGCGATGAAACGACATGATAACCAACTGAGCTCGTGCATGACGCAGTGGAATGTGAATAATACAGAATATTCCTTAATGCTCGGTACTGGTATCGTACCCAGTGAGCGACAAGAGTCCGGTCATCGGGCTACGACCAGCGCGGGCTGCCCATCATCATCTCTCCTGCACCCCCCGGCAGTTAGCAGGGCTGCCCGTAGCAATAGTGTCACTCTATTTTCGTGATACTGCACGAGCAAGGGAACCCCCTCCGGGTGAGCCTTACCTGGTCAACTGGTTGAACTGACTGGTTCATCTACATCTCGGTCGCTGGTCCCAAAATTGCGACATACGGACAGTCCTCTATTGGTTTCATTCCCATTGCAATTTACAATTTACATTTCGCAAGATGGCAATTGAACACGACATTGATCGTCCCGAATTCCCAATATTAGCGATGCCGCTCGGACGTTCGGTTTATTTCTCACGGAATTTCGGTGATCTTGCAGACAACCATGACGCACGCGGCGTTTGCTTTTTTCGAAATAAATACTATTCTGTACAGTACCCGCCACCCGGACCTCATCTTGTATACAACAAGCCCCCATTCACCATTCACCAATCACCATCGACAGCATTATGATTACGTGGTAATTATGACCCTAGTTCATCGAAATAGTCCGATGCCGAGAGTGTTCCTGAGCATACTACTATGTATGGTTAATGGTATGTCGCATGTCCCTTCTGAACTCTGGTCATGATGCTATGAAGACCGAAGAGGAATCGAACGTGGGCCGATCAGCAGACACCCGGCATGTCGCAACTCGCTAGTCTCGAGCGACGCGAAGCCTCCGCCGGAGTCTGGGGACAAGTGCCCGAGTGGTGAGAGTTCGGGCGGTACGGTGCCCGTAACGGCGGCAAAGCCCGCAAAGCGCAAAGCGTCAAGCCTCTCATACGCCACCGGTGGCAAGCGACGCTAAAGTACAACGTCAGGTGAAGCGACACAGCGCAGAGCGTCTGACGCATTAGAATTTGGATGGACTCACATGGAGTGGTGGACTGAGGGAAGGAGGAACAAGGTCGGAGAGGCTCTGGAGCCGAGGGGTGCTTCCCCAAGACACGAAGCTCCTTCTGTTCCTGGCACAGCTCCCCAAGCCTCTAACCAAGCCTCTAGCTGTCAGTACACAGTAGCTCGAATTGCAAGAAAGTTATTAGGTATTTTCCTGACTGGCAGAATTGTAGAAGCGGAGGTTAGAACAAGGCAGGAGGTCCAAGAACAAGCAAGCACCTGACTTGGATTGGCATATTGATGGCATATTACTTATTACAGGAGGGCAAAGACAGGGGGGAAGAGGACGTATTGGGCAGTGGGCGCCGTTAGGGTGGGGTACCTCTGGCGTTGCAATCTTGGCGGTCTTTGCTGACCCCAAGGCTTGGCCCGTTCCTTCGCACCTCCCCGATCTGGACATGATTGCGACCCCCTTGCCCCATCCCTGTCATCCTTCGGCCGCTCCTGCCCTGTTATTCATCAACCCTCATCAATCCTCATCTCCTTATCAGCGCCACCAACTTTTCACCTTCTTCAATGAACCATCGATAAATTTATAATCTTCATCGTGATAGTGATGTTTGGCTTTCGTTGGATTTCCCCTTGAGTAGCTCAAGGAGAGCGCCTGGCCCGCCGGGGATGCTCCTCGCGAGAGTCCAGACGATTCCACTCGTGCCACTGTAACCCCAGCCGCAGCTGGTCCCTAGTCAGTGATCACAAGTCACAACCCCATCGGCCGGCTTCATCTGACACGACTGACAGTGATGGTCAGGATGCTGCCATTCTCTTAATTAACTGCTGTGCGGACCCAGTTACTTGTACTACTACATTGCGTTTCCGAACCGAATCGTACTTTATTTACTTGTCTCTTACTCGAAATGCCTGCCATCCTAATCTTCATCGCACTTCCATATTCCTCATCTCTAGAGTCCAAACCGCATGCAACCCCAAAAGGCAAGAACTGACAACACAACCTCTCTCATGGCGTAACTGGACAGGGGCTGCCCGTCCGTGGCTATCAACAGCGTCAAGCTTTGCTCCGCTGCCAAGCACTTCCGCCACAACGTCCCATCGCTCCATCATCCCATGTCGCGTACTCCTCACGGAAACAATACAATTGTTTGGACTTCTGACCAAACCACGGACGAGATTCCACGAGACCACGACCAACGCGAGGAAATGGTTCCACTTCGTCAGTCTTGGTCTCACTCACTCTTGGACAGTAGACTCTTGGACAGTAGACTCTTGGTCGTCAAATTGATGATAGCGGCTGACGTGATCCCTTCCTTCTCAGTTCTCCCGATCGATGCTGACCACGGATCGGTCTGTTCGTTCGCTAGCGACGCCACGACCGAGTTTAACTCGAGTACGCCGGCCTTGCCGAGATGAGGAAATGGGAATGGGTCACGCGATGCTTCTTCGGTTAGGTCTGCAATTCTGCATCGTCTTTCAAGTATTGTTGAAGCTCGAACCGAAGACACGCCACATGGAAAGGTATTATGTGAGTTCGTCGGCACCGTCCTCCAATGCTCCAGCCCCTCAGTCCGCGGTGGGGCCCAGAATCGCAATCATCGCTTGGGGATAGAGTCAAGATCCATATTCTCGTATTTGATTATGGATGAACCTCCCGAGTGGTCTTTCGTGGGCCGAGACCGACGAAATTTCCTAATTCCCGGCATTGGCATATATCCAAGGCGCCAAACAAGGGCCAGAAACCAGGTAATGGTTGTTGGGGACGACGCACAGAACGCTTCAATGCCAATACGTATCTCGATGGTTAGCACTACGCGCCACAGTCTACAGATTACACAGTACCGTATGAATTTTCTGATACTATTATTATCTTAAACTGTCTAAACTCCAAGAAATGAACCCTCATCGAACTTCGGTAGCCCCAGGACCTGCAGTCAATTTGATCGGTACGCGAATCCACGATAATAGTGCAGCGCTACAGCGGCGTAGCCGTGGTGGACTGGAGGAGACTGGAGTAATACTGGAGTAATACTGGGGTAATACTGGAGTAATACTGGAGTAATACTGGAGTAATACTGGGGTAATGCTGGAGCCTCGAATAGGCATCGGATAGAAGATGCGACGCTGGAAATTAGACATTGACAACCCCAACAGCCAAGGACGACGGGCTGCGTGATGCATATCGATTCTCGCCCCTCTCAGAGGGCTCGAGAGTTGCGACGTCACCTTCCCGTCCAGTCGATCTCGGCAGTCTAATATGGTTAGGCGATAGGGCTGCGGAGAAGTCAACAATCGAGTTCTCATCATGTAAAAGAATACCTCGTCTGTCTGTCGCAGTGGCAGCTTTCTTGTCGCTGCCAACTCCTGTCGCTTGTGTCCAGTTTGCCACCGGCCCACCAGGCACAACTTAACGGAATAGCCGGAACCCACGAACTTACTGCACGACGTGTGTATCGCATCCTTCTAGAAACCTTGGAAGATCTCCGTCTGACGCCAAGTCACGAGCCCAACTTCTCTTTCGGGCATCGCCCGACATGAAAAACATGTGAAAAACGAAGAATATTGGAATCCCGCCATGGTCACTCGTCCATCGGATTTGATCTCTGACGTCTACAGGTCTAGAATTCTCGGACATGTCTAGACGAACGACCCAATAGAAAGGCTCGTGGTTCATCGGATCCGATGGTTGGTTTTGGTTCCTGGTCCGATACGCACCTGGAGCATGTACGGCGACGCATCGAACCATTCTGGAATCCCCGAATACCCTGGGGCCAGCCGATGATCGTGGGACTTGGTTCTGGGAATCGAGTACCGGTACCGAGTGAAGGTGCGGAGGTAACTAACTGATCCGTTTTGCCTCCATCACGGTCACGATCGTGATCGTGGGACATCTGCCCATGCGTCCACGGTTCCACCACTGCCTACTACCTAATTAGCATAGAGGACCCTATTATTAGGTAACTCCAGAGGGCAATCGATGCTTGGGAAAGGTGAAGTAGCCTTTGGACTCAACACACCAGTGGAGTATTCCATGTTCCACTCTGCTGGGATGAACCACTAGATCCAATGGCTCCGTTGCTGTGAATTTAATGTCAAGTGAACCAAGATTGTGCGTCCAGACGGTTGATATATCAGAATGAATCTTCACTTCTTCGACTATTCTAGCTGAACTCGTAGTCCTATTGTTATTATCCCCCTCTCTTGGTTTTCCACCCTGAGGAGCTCTGGAGGTCGAGGATGACAATGCACCTTGCCTTGCCAAACGAATGAACCGTGATTATCTGCACCACGTCGGCTTCGCGTGACACTGCTGAGCATAGGACGGACTGGTCACGAATGTGAAATGGACATTCCGTACCCCCGTGTTGACATTAAGAAACATGGTGTAGAACCGATTCTCTGCGCTGTATCGCAGCTCTATTATTTACATATGAAATCCAGTAAGGGGAATGTCGTCTATTATCCACCTATCACTCAGGGACTCGACCAACTCCAACCAAAAGACTACCGACCATTGGACCCCAGTCCAGATGGCCTATGCATACTTGTCGCACTGTGTTGACGCTCAGGTGGACGTCGACCCCGTGAACTCCTTCGTCTCCTTCGTCTCCGTCTTCGGCTCTACCACTCTCTCCGAGAGCCTCCGCCCCGCCTTCTCCGAGAGCCTCCGCTCTTCCTTCTCCGAAATCTCCTGCTCATCCTTCTCTACCGTTTTCGCCTTCTTCGGTACGCGGGCGAGCCAGTACAAGCCGAGGGCGCCCGCGACGTTGACGATGATGTACACCCATAGGATCCCGAAGTTGCGCCACCGGTGGTCGTAGCTGCTACTCACCCCCGTCAGGAACGTGTTGGTGCTGTCGATCGCGCAGAAGCTGCAGTCGGCGGTCGCCCCCGGGTTGAGGATGTTACCGCCGTTGGCCTTCTTGAACAGGTCGAGGTATTCCTCGCACGTCTGCCCGGACGGAGGATCGAAGTGAAGTAACTCGTTCTCGGCGCACGTCACGAACGTGTTGGCGACGCCGACGGATAGCAAGCCGTCGATAAGGTACGTGAACGGAGACACCCGATACATGAAGATCCAGAACCGCGGGAGTTGAGCCGGGGAGGCGAGGACACTAGAGGGTTGGTCAGTTCAAGCTACCATAGCAAGGGGCGAATGGAGACTTACCCGCAGAAGATCAGGCAGAGAGAGAATAGCAGATTGGCAAGACCGGCACCTGCCTCGGCGTCTTCGATGCCGGCGATGATCAGGTCCGCAAACGTACTGGCGAATAGGAGGAATATCCAGATGTACAGGAACATCATCGCACCCCGCTCGTCCGTTTGATCGGCGTACTGGGCATTGCGGTACATTCCGATCGGATAGTACCAGGAAACGAAGATAATGCCGGCCATGAGGGTGTTCCACGGGATTTCCACGAGGATGTTGGCCAGCATGAATGCTTTCCAACTGTACGCTTTGGACGGTCGTTCGCGCGATTCATACAGGGCACGCTGGGTGACGAAGTGGGGCATGATTTGTTGCGTGAGCTGGGGGAGGAGGTTCATGAGCATGAAGATGGCGAACATCTGGTTCTGCAGCCCTTGTTGCGTGTTGTCGGCGCGGAAGAAGGAGAACCCGATGAAGAGGGCGGACGTGAGACACAGGCCGAGCTTGGAGTAGATGTACGATGGCGTGCGCCAGTACTGCTCGAACACGCGCCTCAGCACCTGCCGGAATTGTTCCCCGAAAGGCGCCGCGAACTCGTGATAAAATGTCTCGTCCGTGGCCTTGGCTACGGCCGTGCTCGTTCTCCGGAGACCACGCAGAGACGCGAGCTCGTCCTTGACCTCGTCGTATTCTGGGGAACTGCGCCACGTCTCGGGCCAGTCGATGTCCGTAGTGGTACCCGGCGCCGCGCCGGTGACTGCCAGCATGTACTCGGCTGGATTCGCATCGGGAGGGCACGGCGACGCACCGTTCCGTTCGAAATAGCTGAGCAGCTTCTCCGAATTCTTCCCGATCTCGCCGAAGTACACGGGACGGCCACCGGACGCGAGGAAGAGGAGGCGATCGAACCGCTGGAACAACATGGCGCTGGGTTGATGGATAGTGCACAGGATGGCTTGGCCGGCGTTGGTCAACTTTTCCATTAGATCGCACACTGCCCACGACGTCTGCGAGTCCAGACCCGAAGTCGGCTCGTCGAGGAAGAGAAGCAGCTCGGGTTTCGCGGCGAGCTCGACGCCGATGGTCAGACGTTTGCGCTGCTCGACGTTCAACCCCTCTCCGGGCACGCCGACGACGGCGTCGGCGTACTCCTGCATGTCGAGGAGCTTGATGACTTCGTTGACGTATGCGAGTTTCTCCTCCCTCGGAACCTTGGCCGGCTGACGGAGGAGCGCCGAGAAGGTCAGCGCCTCGCGAACGGTCGACGTCGGCAGATGCAAATCCTGTTGCTGTACGTAGCCCGTCTTGCGCTGGAAGGAGGCGTCACGCTGGCGCCCGTCGACCAAGGCGTCGCCGGAAATCACGCCCATCGTGGTCCGCGTGGCGAGAACGTCGAGAAGGGTGGTTTTACCGGCGCCACTGACACCCATTAGGGCCGTCAGCGTCCCGGGCTTTACCCAACCATCCACGTGGTTGAGAATGCGCCTCTCCTCGTTCTTGATCTTGATATCGTAGCAAATGTCCTCCCAGTGGAACACGGCAGTCTGTCGTTGGATGACATCCGCAGGATCATGGGTCAGCCTCTGTTCGAGGACAGCGTTGGGCTCGCTTCCGGCTTCGGGGTCATCCTCGGCACGCTTTGCAGTGGCGGGGATATGATTGCGGGGGAACAGAAGCACTTCGCCTTTGGACTTTTTGGAGGAGATGAATTCGGTAGCGGCCAGGTAGCACATCATGAAACCGATGATGAAGCCCCACAGGATGCCCACGTTTCTCCACTTGTTGGCATGATAGTATTGGAACGCGGAGTTGATGTACACGTCGCCGTTGACAAAATCTTGCCCTGGGACCGAGCCGATCGAGGAGCAGACCTTCTCGGTGAGCGACACGTTTTCATACCCGGGGCCCATGGGAAGGTACAGCGTGCACGGAAAGTCGCGATTGTGGAATTCGTTGATCATCAAACTTTCGAACCCATACGCGACGGGGTTGATGTAGTTGATCCACCGGGCCCATCCTCGCATGTACGTGATGGGGATCGCGAAACCGGTATAGATGATGACGGCCAGGATGAGGATCGCAGCGGGCGCTAACGCCTGTGAAAGAGTCCTGGAAACGGAGGCGATTGTGCGGAAGAGCATGGACATGGACAACGTCAAGATGAACGAGACGAACCAAAGGAAGAAAAAGGGTCCCGGTTCGCGCCGCAGATTCGCCAAGAAATACATTGCCAGGTTGAAGAAAATCGAATTGCACACTTTGTACGGGATATCGCAGAGCATGGATGCAAAGGCCTCGGCGGACGGGTGATAGAAGGCGTAGCGAGAGTGCTTCTCCACGATCGGGCGTTGAGCGTAGAGGACCAAGATCTGCAACCGTTAGCAAGCACTTTCCTGGGACAGCCAGGGCGACATACCTCGAGCGCGCTACCGAACGCGTTCATCAACACGGCGAAGAAAAGCAAGGCGCCACGTTGAAAGAAGCTGTCGGTGCTTGGACTCATATTGTAGAACACGCTTCCGATGACCAGGGCCAGGACACTGTTAAAGAAGATTTGGAAAATGGTGACGCTAGGATCTCCTTTCAGACGCTGGATCCCGCGCCACACGCAAAGTAACACCTGCTGCGTATACGAGAGTGTATACGGAGACTTGACGGATCTGCAACTGTTAGAATGGAAATCGGCTGATGACGGAAGGGTAGCTTACTGAGCCTTTGCTTGCTGGGTTCGTCGGGACTTTTTGAAGTTCTCCAAGTTTTCCGCATCGAACGGGTTTTCTTTGTCGTACTCATCGATCTCCGCCAACAATCGCTTGCGCTCCTCGCTCTCCTTCCATCGCGCGGCGAATTCATCTGGCGTGCGTGGCACACGGTCCTCCCAACCGGGCTGCACCACACGCTCCTCGGCACTGGTCATGGAGGTCAAGAAGTCGGGGGTGGTTTGCCGATCCGGGCATTGGAATCCCATATCTTCGAAATACTTCCGAGCTTCGTTGCACGGCCCGAAGTAGATCTGCCGGCCACGGTAGAGCACGGTGGCCTTGTCGAACGTGTCGTACGCGCTCTGGGGCGACTGGTAAATGGCCACACAGGCAGTGGTGTCGGAGATGTCGGAGTTCATGCGTAGCGTCTTGCAGAATTCAACGGCGTTGGCACTGTCGAGGCCACGGGTCTGCTCAGTGGTTAGTACGACGCTACTCAGGGGGACCGGAGAAACTCACGCTGTTATCCCAACATTGCAGCGGGGCACCGCTCAGGGAAGCCTCCGCAATGGTCACTCGCTTCCGTTCACCTCCTGACACGCCGCGAATAAAATCGTTACCAACGCGCGTGTTTACGGTGTGGCTGATACCGAACACCGCCATGATCACGTCTCTCAGATGTTGCGAGTACTGGCTAAGCGAGACGCCCCCTGGTATTTTGCGAGGCGCACGAGCGCGAGCCGCGAATGTCAGGGTATCTCCGACGCTCAGCATGGGGAAGTGAACGTCGACTTCGGCGGTGTAAATGGCCTCGCCGCGGAAGTTCTTCTGCATCTGCTGGGCGTTGATGCCCTGGTAGTTCAGGTACGAATCCTCTCCGATGTAGATACCGTGCGTTTCGCCGGAGATGGTCTTCAGCAGAGTGGAACAACCAGATCCGGGAGGGCCCAGGACCACCAGCATCTCGCCCTTTCGCACCAAGCCATCGAAGTCGCGTAGGATATCGATCTTGCGTTTCCCGTGGCGCAGGAGCGAACGGACCATGCCGACGGCCTCGAAAATGACGTTCCCGACGCTGCGCTGGTAATCCGTCTCCTGGCCGAAGCCGTGCACGTTGAGGTTGCGGAAGGCGACGCCTGCGGTGCGGGGATGGAAAGACTCCGGATCATCCAAGCGCACACGCATCATCGCCTTTGTCCATGCCCGTGGGTTGAACTGGCTAGACTGGGGGTCGAGCTCCGGGTGATCCTCCGGAGCGAAGGGATTCTTGCCCGTGGTGGTGAAGGTGGATTGCTGCGTTAGAGTGCGGGCGAGCTGCTGGACATGTTCATCTCGCGCGGCCATCTCCTCCTGCGACCCCAGCACATACTCTTCCCGCTCTTGGTCAGCCTGCGAGCTGCCGCTTTTCCCGCTCTCCCCACGTGTCGTGGGCTTTTCGTCGTCGTCGATAGCCGATTCGTGGGCATATCGTGAAACATCGTGGCTTGGCCTGGAACGAATGGACTTGAAGGACGGTCGTCGGTTGCCCGTTGAGCTCCCCCGCCGGGTCGTGGATACCGCATCATCGCTCGGTCGTCTGGCATGTGTGCCAGTTGGAGTAGAGACGCCCATCCTCTGCTCCGTGGCACCGCTGACCATGGAAATATTGCCCAACATGGCAGCGATCACTTCAACAAAATGGATATATTTCGAGAAAGGAAGCCGAGCCAATTAATACATGAATTGAAGGGACGAAGTTATGATGAGGAGGAATTGAAGGCCGAAAAGAATCCAAGGCGCAATGGCATCACTCAGGGACAAAGTGATGGTGACAGGCGCGGGATAAAAGGGTCTCCCACGGTTCTTTTGAATTACTCAGAGAGGGTCCTTCGCGAACTGAACCTTTTATGGTTCGGCAGCTGGCAAAGGATCGAAATAAAGAAGAAAAGAAGCCAAAAGGACGAAATGTAAGCCGGAACCAAACGAAACGGAGATCTTTTGATCGAATGTGGTCGGGTCAGTCGAAAGATAACTGACCGACGCGCTGGAGAGAGAGTGTTCTGGAATTTTTGTTGACATTGGATATTTCGACCAACATGGTCAGACCTGTTGGAGATTGCACATTTGCTGTATAATTCCGACCTAGTCGCTTAGTTTACCCTTGGATCCGCTACTTGTGCAATTCGGCAGCGATAGATCCGACGTTAAGTGGGACTGGGGCGGTCCCTGAAAGGACTGAATGCTACAGCCCGAGAATCTGATCCATTAGGATTCCAGCATCCCAATTCACGGCCCAAGATTTAGATGTTATGTCCGTCCCAACTCCCCGGGCAGTGGAGGACCTATGTAGCACCGCAGCCTGCGGGAGACGATATTAATTTTCGAACCATCCCGGACGCCCGGGCTCCGGGTGTGGTGGCATCGCCCGCAATTGAGGCTCTTGGGGCCCGGGAATCTCCCCTTCTATTCTCGATGCAAGCAAGCTGCAAGACATCATCGACTTCACATTTTTGAGGATCCCCAGATGCTGAACTCTGAAGGACAGGTGTCGCCTGGCGGGGGCCATCGCGATTTCACCTCACTACCTGGACCATACATAATATGGATGGTCGAACTTCTAACTTCGAAGACGCAATGTCAAATCTGACTGCTGACGCTCGCCTGACGGTGACATAGTTCGTTGATTCTTCCGAGCCCGCAGACGTTTGACGAATCAGCACCAAGAGCGATCGCATCAGCTCTTCTCGATCAGACATGTTGGGATCGGCACCATCACTATTCTCGATGTCAGAACTTAAAACCAAACATACAGTTTTATGACTTATGATTCCATTAATGCAACCTTTCTTAGCTTCCGCCAAGTCTTCGTGTATTGACCAAGATGAATGGTGACCAACTGACAATCAGCCAAAGATGAGTTCAGACTGACTCAGCATTGTGCGTACTGTGCCCCACTTCCATCTCGGACCGATTTGTATCTAATCGAATGTGGTTAATGCATAACCATTAGGATTCCCAGTCGCTGTGGGGGCCGTCGGCCGTCGGGGCTGTCGGACGGCGTACGCGATGCTCCCCATTCGTCATTCCACATCCGTCGCATTCTAGGGCGCCCGAAGTTAGGGTACGTACCCTCCCATGGCTGGACGTGGAGTTCAGTCCAGAAGAACCTCGCGGGGCCCGAGGGATACGAAGGTGAAAACTGGAAATCCCAAACGCTTGGCTTGTTCCAGACTGAATAAGTTAATATTAGTGAGTTAGTGGAGGGTTTCTGCCAGGAATATGTGGAACACCTGAAAATCAGGCTCGACAGCTGTAATCCGCTGATTAAGCGGTGCCGCTATACCTCTTTTATTTTCAAATTTAAGGCACGTGATAAGCACACGTGATTCTGTTTCTGTAATTATACGGTACGCTAACAGATCAGCCAATTAACGAGCTGGAAATCGGGCGAACCTGACCTGAAAACAATTTTCAGGTCCTGGAAATCGTTTTCAGGTCAACTCTCTGCATTTAGCCGGCTTATGAACTAATATCTAGCGGTTAGGTTGGCTAACTGGGTATGGGCAAATAAAACGCGCTACGCTGTCGAATATTACACAAAACGCAATTTCCAGGTGCCCATAATTCCTGGCAGAAACCCTCCAGTACGTAGCTAACTTATCTACAGTCTACTAACTAACTTAACCAAAGGCAACTAATTAAACCAACCTGTATCGTCGGTCTGGACTTCTGGAGTCATCTGACTATTTTTCCATCTGTGCCTTGATCTCAGGCTACAAGGCTGTCAGGCATTAGCGATCTCTGGTCTCCAGGCTCCAGCCCTGCCACACAGCCACAGTCTCAAGCTCTACAAAGTCCAGATACAGTGACCATTGTTGATGCTGGATCTTAGTTAATAATAGGTAGCTGTTGGTACTTATTTCAAAGTAAAATACTTGGACACCTACCTGTAGTATTGGAAACTGGCGAAGAATCAACTATTTATGCACGTGAATTTAAATCATTGTTATCGGGCCAGCCTTTCAACTCCAGTATATCATCAACAACCTCAATCGGGCGACGACAAGCCCAATGTAGCATCTAATATATGACCACACATTGCCCCCTTTATTCCTCTTAGATTGCCGTCACCAACCTCATGTCTGAAACCAAACGCGTGTCCATCTCTGCCCCTCAAGGGACCCCCTCCGAAGGGCGCCGAACCTCCACCACCGCCGCTTCCCGACAATCCCTCGCCGCCAAACGCCAATCGCTCAACTTCCCCAAAGCTCCCACCGTCATCGATCCCTCCGCCATTGTGTCCACCCACGCCATCCTGACGGGGCTCCACCCCATTACCATCGGCCCGGACGTCGTCCTGCACCCGTACTGCAAGATCTCCTCGGTAGAAGGCCCCGTCACCATCGGGCGGGGATGCATCGTGGCGGAGCGGGCGGTGGTCGGGTTCACGACCGAGACGGCCGCGCAGGGGGACTCCGCGCTGAAGGAGCGGGATGTGACGTTGAATCGAAACGTCGTGGTCGGGACGAGCGCCGTGGTCGAGGCCAAGGTCGTGGACGAAGGCTGTCTCGTTGGCGCGGGATGCCATCTCAAAGGGGGCTCAAACGTTGGAAAGGTGCGTTACCTCGACCTGTGTACTGTCGCTCTCACTCACTATTTCCCAGTACTGCAAGATCGCTCCCATGGTGATCGTCCAGCCTGATGAGTGGATTTACGACTTCATGGTCGTCTATGGGCAGAACGCTCGGCGACGGGACATGACTATGATCACCAACAAGGACACGGTCTTTGCGCTGAAGAAAGAGGAGCATGAGCAGCATCTGGCAGTTTTGAAGCGCCTCATCCCAAGTAATCTCACAAAGTGGCAGTAGCACGAACCTCAGCGATTCAGAATTAAAGTTCATTCAATAGCTACGTGTCGGCCGTGATGGGCTTCCGAACCCATGATATGTATACATTAGTGAAGAAACATGCACTCCTGCCCACGTTATAGTATCGCTGCGTCCACTGGCTGTGAACGGTGCGAGTGTCATCGCAGTTCGTGACGCCGAACTGGGGCGCAAGTATTCCTCCCATTTCCTATCCCGAAAACGCCATGCCATACCGGCTGCAGCAACTGAAGCAAGCAAAGTACATTAATTACAAGTATCCCATCCACAGCGGTTCCGTCACCGCCAGCTTGTTGGGATTGACGGCAAGCGCCACGGAGTCCACGACTGTTTGATTGGCCGGCAGGTTCGGACTATTCGGCGGCTTCGCGAAGCTCATCGCCCTTCTTGACACCAGCTCGATGTTCCCCTGCACCAGCTCCCGCAACTGCGTCGTGTTCGGCGCGGGCCGGTGCGACTGCGTGTGCCAGAACGTCACCTCGTCCCGCACGAAGATGGCCAGCTGCATTTCCAGCTCGCCGTCGGGCTCAACCAAGCACCGCCCGAGCGCCATCATGGACGGCGCGAAGATGCCTTCGGTCCCCAGCGGGCCCATCAGGGTTTGGAGATTCGGCGTCAGGCGGAACGGGACGACTTCGGGATTGTGGAAGACGGCTTTGCCCGCGGAGATGGAGGGGAACGGCTCCGATCCCCAGACGCGCCCGGTGCCCCGGCTGATGAACAGTTTCTGTGGCGTGCGAGCGTTCATGTGCATGATATAGGTCATGAAGGACAGCGCCGCAAACTGATAGGCAAAGGTGCGACGGAATAACCAAAGATCGGCGAACGACGGGTAGGTGGATTGGAAATAGTCCAACACCACCGAGTTGGGGACGAACTTGTCTTGAATAGATGTGTAGATTTCTAGGCGAAGCGCATTCAAGTACTCGGCGGGTGATTTCTGTTCAAGATGGTCAGCAGCGATCCCGCGTCCGGAGGTCGGAAAACTTACTGGACTCAATCCCCGCATCTTCTCGATGCTGAACAAGATGGGGTCGTCCTTGTTGATGCCATTCAACCGGCAATACGTCTCGTAGATCTGCTGCAGATTGACAGCGGACGGGTCCTCCTGAATCAGCCGAACAATGTTGGAGAGCGGCACAATGACGGGAAGCGTGAACTGAAGGTTCCGACGTCGGGCTTCTCGCTTCTTGACCAAAGTACCATTGAAGATGCGGAACAACTGCATGATCCGTTCCTCTCGTCGAGCCTGTTTAGTAGCCGGATGCTGCACCGTAAAGATATGGACGCTTCCATCGTGTCCCCGGATCCTGATCCGTCGCCACGACACACCACTGCCACGCACCTGCTCCACGTTCGGCAGAATCCGCTCGATCTTGACAAAGTCGGTGTTCTTGTCCTTGAGCATGAGATACTGCCCCGGGACCTCGACGTCCTCGAATTTGGCGTACTTGAACTCGCTGAGATGCGAGCTCTGCAGCTCCAGGCTCGTCGGGTTGTCACGGGCATCGAGTCGCTCCTCGAACTTGTTGCGCCATTTACGAAGCTTCTGCATGTATTCGTACATGGTCGGCTTCTTGAGCACAAAGTCGGACTCAAAGAACCCTCGAATGTGCGCGGGGAGGATGGATTGGGCGAATTTGGTGATGTTCGCTTCCGTCGACGGAGGGAGTTTGACATCTTGCCCGTACGAGTGCGGAGTGCGGCCGATGTAGGACAGAGCATCGTTCAGCAGCGCAACGATGAGCCGGTATGCATCTTCGTCCGGCGGGCACTTGAAGTACTTGGCCATCTGGTCGGCCATGGTTTCCAACGACAACGCGAGCAGCGGGAACGCCGTTCTCAATGTCGACATGATGTCCTCGGCATATTCCCAGGGCTTCTTTGGCGTATCCGCCGCGGCCACTCCATCTGGAGTCGGCTCGGTCTTCGCCTCCATCTTGGGCGTCCCGTCAGCGGTTCCGGCAGACGTATTGGCGTCCTCTTTGGTTCCAGATGCCGTTGCCGGGCGGGAGTCGGGGGTGGCCTTTTGTGTCGGCGAGCTTTTCGGTTGCTGGCTATGCTGTCGAGCCTTGGCAGCTCGGTCCTTAGCTAGCGCGGCGTCCTGCTGCTTTTTCAAGTTCGTAAACTCCTCTCGCGCGGTCCGCAACTGGAAGAACAGGGCCTGGGGGAACGACTTGGCGATCTTGGCGAGCAGCATCCGGGCGACGACGCCCTCCTGTCGGGACAGGCCTTGGATGAGCTGGGGGATAAATGTGATCCAGTACCACGTGGGATGATCGCCCTTGAACTCCCGGAAGGTCGTCTCCACCGTGCGGCGCTCGTCGTCGAGGCTCAGGAGCCAAAGCACACGGCTGAGCAACCGCCGCGACTTGGCGTTCTTGTAAGTGCTTGCCGCTTCTAGGTAACATCCGATGGCGGAGGAGGCGCGCTCCATGTCGGCGGGATTTTCCTTGAAGATGTTGTCGTTGTAACGCCCCCATTCCGCCCAGGCCTTGGGATGTTTGATCTCGAACCAGAGGGCGCTGCCGAACGCGCCGTTCGCTTCGTGTCGTTCGCCCAGCTTCTCCAAAAACATGCCCTTGAGAGTGAAGAACTCGGCTTTTTGCTGTGCCGTGAAGTAGTTGAGGTTGGTGTTGTTGATCACCTCCAAGCCCTGGTTCAGTTCCGCCCGGTTCTGGTAGTGGCACTTGGCCTGCTCGCGGAGTTTGAGGAACGCTTCCTGGATCTCGATGTTGGGTAGAGTATAGATGCGGCCCAACTGCTGGATGCACACGTCGGTGAGGTTGTGTTTCCGCGCCACATGAGCGAATCGATTGATGATCCAGGCGGTTTCATGGAAGCCGCGGTAGTGGTAGGAATTCGCTTGTCCGGGAGTGGCTTGGTTATTTTGCAGGAGCGAGAGATAGACGTTGTTGATGAGATGGAAGATGTGCTGCCGCCAGGTTACCAGATCCTGCCACGCGTTGATGTCGTCCCAGAAATTTGGCAGGCGATCGCGCCAGGACCCGAGAAGGAGCTTCAACTCCTGCGCCTTGACCTCTAGGTTCGCTTGGTTGGTCTGCCCTAGGCTGGTGCACATGATACTGGCATCGTGCAGTTCCACGAGGTTCTGGAAGTTCTGCAGGATCGGGATGTGCGCATTGGTGATGCGCTTGGGAAGCTGGTGCCACTTGCGGATGGAAATCTGGATGGCCTCGTCCGTGAATCGGTTCAGGTCTTGAGGCGTCTCTTGCTTCGCGTTGTATTTCAACAAGGACATGAAGGCCTGGAAGAATGCCCGCCGCGGCGTCGGCGCATCCGACACCGACTTGATGATCGATTCGAGCTGCTCCCGTGACTCGGCCGTGTTCCACATCTCGATGTGTCGCCACGTCGACTCTAGGTAGAGATCGTTGAAGTTCTCGTGCTTTGCAAAATCGGCGAGGACATCCCACTGCTGAAGCTTCTGGGCGCAAATGACCCAATGATCTTCCCACAGCATGTACTCGCCTTGCGAGAACGGCAACGCTCCCGTTCGAGCCTTGATTTGAGCAGCTTCGTATGTTCGCTGCGCCTGCTCCCACATGCCGATTTGCTCGTAGGACAGTGCCGCGTTGGTCTCTACGTATTGACAGCGCCGACGCCAAGTACCGTAAAACAAGTCGTCCTCTAAGAGGTTCGAATACAGTTCCAACAACGCGTCCGAGGTACTCTCCCGTACCGACGCGGTGTCGATGACCGGATTTATCGACGCCTCCTCCATGTAATGGGCAGCAGTATACCACGCATTGTATGTCTTGGCTAGATACTTCATAACCTGCGGCGGAAACTTCAATCGCGGCTTCGCGCGGACAATGCCTTCCAGCAAAGACTGGACGCAGTTGGGTCGTTTGTCGATCTGCCGGTAATTGAACTCCTTGGTCAACAATGCAACCAACGCCTTCTCAAAATCCCCGCGGTCGTCTTTGGGGACGGTGATCCAGAACATCGGGAACAAGGCGACCCATATATCATGTGCCAGCGTCGTGTTGGTGTGCTGCAGTTGACCGAGCGGCTCCAGAATATCCTTGACCTTCACGTCGCCGAGGCCCTGGTGGAAGGATTTCCACGAGTTCATGAACACGTCGAACTCGCCGTCCACGATCACATTTGCGATGCGCGAGTCTTTGGCGTACGTTCCGAACACGAGGTTCGGGGACGTGACCTTGAAATCATCATCGTGGAGTTGGGCCGTGTGATTTGTGTCGACCGAGCCGAGAAGGAGGTGGGTGACCTGCGACAGCCAGTATGTGTCGCTCAGCGGAAGCCAGTCTTGGGAAGCGAGCAAGGCGTTGATGCGGCTGCTAGCTGTGCGGGTGAGGTGGCGGTCGAAGATGCCTAGGAAACGGTTGCGCATGTCGACGTCTTGCGCCCTTGTTCCGACCAGAAATGCCGGCTCCATGCGCACCGTCAGTTCGGATCGCGTGATCTTGGGATCCTCGTAGATTCGGATGACCAGGTCGAGGAAGCGGCGCATCAGCGTCGGATCGGCTCTCTGCTCAAACGCCTGCATTTTGCTCAGCACTGCCGTCTTTTCCTTCATGGTCGGGAAAAGCTCTCCCGTGTGGTGGAAGACCCATTTCTCGACCAATTCCAGGATCTTGGTGCAAATGACGGTGCTCTGCGAACGCTCCACCAGTTGCGCCAGCGCTTGCAGAAAGGGTCGCCGATTCTCATTCAAAGAGTTCATTCGTGCATCCAAGATGTCGATGGTCTTCAAGATCAGGCCGATTTGGATTTGATACTCGACAGGGTCAGGGGTAGCGTTCGTGGAGTCCGCAGCTCGTGGATGCGGTATTGCCGGATGCGCCGGGGGAGCGGAAAAGTGGTCCTTCAGCAGCTTGGTTTGGAAAACCTTCATGATAGCGGGAATGTGCTGATCAACCTCCTGCGGCTTCTTCTTGCAGAGCGTCCACAGGACGTTAAGTGCGGAAACGAGATGGCCGTTGGACAAGCCTTCGTTCGCAACCGTGCCACAGAATTGGATAAACTCGGCTCCCGGTGAGTCGTCGCTGTTCTCGTCCTCCTCGGCCGCCTTGTCGGGAATGATGTGAAGGACTCGCTCAATTGTCGGCACCATCCCGCTGATGCCGGACTCGGCCGCTTCCGGCGAGTGCAAGCAATCCTGCACTTCGGAGCTCTCCATCCGCATAGTTTTCTCGAGCAGCTTCTGGACCCGGCCGATGTTCTCGAGCAACCACGTGTCCGACACAACGTTGACGAGGATCTTGACGATCTCCAGCGTGTTGATCTGTCGCGTGAGCCAGATCTCCGGCTTCTCGTCGGCTCCTTGATCGGTGGCGAGGTTCTGCTCGATGAGCTGCGGGCCCTTCTCCGCGTGAGGAGAAAGGAGCGATGGGATATCCAAGTCCATCCAGTGCGGAGGCGAGACTAGCTTGTGCAATAGTCGTACCGCCATCTTGGAGGTTTCGGGATTGGGAAGATTTTGCGGCTGCGTGCTCAACGCGTCCTTGGTGCGCTGAGACGCGACAGGGTACCGCTCTGGTAGCGATGCGATGAATGTGACGAGGTACTGGACGAGAACCATGCGCAACGCGGGGTTGGCGAGGAAGTTGCTCCGCGGCATGGGTGTACCGTCCGCTTTTCGTTTCGTACCGGCAGGGGAACTAGTTTCCCGGAACTCTCGAGCGGCACGGTCCTCCCACTGGAAGATGAGACTGATCAGGTTGATCGCAATCCGCTTGTGCTCGTTGGAGGGGCTGGGAGGCTGGGCGATCTTGGCCAGCGCAGGAATGATGATCACCGACAGCGGCTCTCGGGCTTCGTAGAACAGGTCGGGATGCCGGACGATGAAATTGAAAATGCTGATCAGCTGTTGCAGATTGTGGCTTTCTTCGGTGAGGATCTTTTTGGGCATACGCGCGAACGCCGGGAATTTGCTCTCGCTGCCGCCCATCAGGCGCTTTCGGAGGACCGGAGCCATGAGCTCGAGCGCCTGCGTGACGAGTGTCCGTCCTTCGTTCTGGTGCGCCTTCAGCAGCGTCTGATACACAGGCATGACGATTTTGGGAGGGGTATCGTAATGGGCGACGAAGTATGCGACTACTACGTATGCGGCGTGCTTGTTGATCACGTCCTCTAGTTTGATGAAGTTCCAGCCAAACCGAATGACGTCTTTCCGGAAGTCCTGCACCAGGTTGGTATGGTATTTGAGCAGGAGCGCCGTGAGTTGCAGCAGCTCCATCCGCGAGTGATCGACGCCGATCTGGCCCGTTTCCTCCGAGGTATCGATCATCGATTGAGGTCTCCACAACTTTGTGTTGACCGCATCTATCATAGCGCGGTCCATCAGCTTGGTACCTTTCTGGTTCCCAAAGAGGCCGTCCCAATTCCGCATGACGTCCAGTGCAAGGATGGGGTTGACGACGTTGTGGAACAAGAACGTTTTGGTCTTCTGCGAGGCGCCGCGGCCAGCATAAAGCTCGATACAACGCATCAATAAACTCCGCGAAAAGTCCACGGCGTCACTGGTCACAATGGCCTCGTATATGTAGTGGAAGAGGGTTGGAGAAGCACGAAGTTCATCTGCCGTCACCGCGTTCACGACTTCGAAAAAGAGGTCCACGTTGCGCGGATCTTGCGACATGGTGACGGTGAAGATGTCGACCAGCTGTTGAGCCGCTTGGTCGGCGGCCAAACGAACGCTCGGGTCGATCTTGTTGGTCCTCAGCCGTGTCTCGAGGAGCTTGCCGACGTCGAGGAGCGCTTTTCGGATCCCTTCCCGCCTGACCAGGAAATTCTTGGTCTTGTCAGCCTGACACACCGACCATGTGATATGGATAGAGCTAATGATCACCGGCCATCGCTCACCATCGCTTTCCGCCGCCAACCCGCTGACGACCGGCGCGGTGTCGTTACAGACGGCTTCTCGCAACGGATCGCTGCTGGGATCTGCGAGGAGCTGGGCGAAGAAGCGGCTGTAGGAAAGGTCCGGGAGCTTCGGGGCGAAGAAGTCCCACGTCTCTTTCGGGTACCGGTTGAGATACTTCAGGAGCGGTTCGCGGAACGGGCTGATTCGGGTGCGACGAAGTGCCAACTCGAGCTCCATCACCTTGGCGACTAGGCTGCCCAAGAACGAGACGGCGGTAGGAGGCAGAAGATGGAAAATGTTGAGGATCGCCTTGATTACTTTCATGGGCCGGTGTTGTTCGATAAGCGTGAATGAGGTTCGTTGCAAGGCGGGACCGTCCGCAATGGTTTTCATGTGGTCCAGCAACCGTGATCCGATCTCCAGTTTGAAATAACTCGTCAGCAGCTTCAGCAGCCGAGCCAGCACCTCCAAGCCCTCCACCGTGATCTTTTTGGGGTCCTGAAGGTTCATGAGGATCGGCTTCAGACCGCTATGGAGGAGGTCTTTCGGTAACTTGTTCGTGGTGACCAAAACGCCAGAGAGTCCGGTGTAGGCCGCCTCGACCACGTCGGGGGCCTTGGAATACAACGACTTGAAGAAGACGGCGATAACTCGCGTCCGTTGCTGGTTCGGAGGCGAACTGCCAAACTCTGCGAAGCCTTGTGCGGTCGATAGCAATTTGATGCATGCTACGCGGAGCCGGACGATGGACTCGGCGCTCCGGTGCTCCAGCGGTTTCGAGGCGAGGGTCTCATCGTCTGCATCGGCAAGGGCGAGGGACTCCATCAGCAGCCGGTTCAGGTGGTCATTGAAATCGACGAGGCTGTGTCCCAGGGATAGGAAAAACGTAACAGCTTCGATGTAGCCGATCTGTGTGCCAAACGGTAGCGCCCGAAGGGGCTTCAAGAAGATGGTTTGGAGCACCTTGTCCTTGAATGGCCGGATGAGCTCGTGGGTCCCGATACCCGTCGTTTCGTTCAGCACCGTAAACGCCTTCTGCGCAGCGTTCCGCACGTGTTTACTCATGTGCGCCAGCTCGAAAATGAGAAACGAGCAGAGCACGCTCAAGCTGGACTTGGGATCGGACAAATCCTTCTTCTCGGCTTTGCGGTTGCACCGCGTAACGGTGGCCAGCAGCGCATCCAACGCTTGGGTACGCGTCGTGGACGAGACGTCGTGCGGCATGTCTTTGAGGACGTACATCAACGCTCGCACGAAATCCTGCTGCCGTTCGCGGAGCCAGTCGTCGCTGAAGTCTAGGCGGTTGCTCAGGATCTCGATGCCCAAGGTCCCGCCCGCCTTGGTGAACCATTCTTCCTCGTGGCAACGGTGGGCGAACAATCGGCCAAAGTGCTTGAACAACGGGAGCTTCTCAGCAGCGCGACCCGGGCCGAAGATGGCGGCCGCGGCGTCTCGAATCGTCTCGAGCATCGTTTCTGCGGTTTTTCTGGTATCGAGACTATCGGAGGCGAGGGAGTCCGCGATCGCGTCCGCAATGACTCGGGTGTCGATGAAGAGCGGTCCTTCCCCAGCCTTCGCGTCGAAGGGCTTACTCCCATGTTTGGCGTATGCGAGCCATCTGCCCAGATCGAGCACGGTGAAGTGTCGCGCGAGATCATGGATAAAGACAGTGGCCTCATCGCACAGCTCCGGAACAGAGGTCGCGAAGATAATGGCTTTCAGGAGCTTTCGCAGCGTATCCCGTTGGGCATCTCGCTTCGCGAACGATTTGTCGCGCGAGGATTCCATCAGGCAATCCGGGCCAATGTCAAAGTGCCGAGCATAGGCGTCGTCCGCTTGCAGCCGCACCAGCTGCGTGAAATCGTCGGGCAAATGCTCGTAACCGATCAGGAGCTTGGTCTGCGAGAGGATGAGCCGGAAGGCCTGCTGCTTATGCGTGGCGTCGAACTTCTTCGCCTGGACGTGGCGGGGCACTTCGGTCAGCGTGGAGATCGCGACTTCGAGGCCAAGCGATGCTGGCAACGCCCGCTCACGCGCGGAGCCGGTCAGTCGGATGTCGAAGCTCGGCTCATCGTCCGCGTAGGCCTTGAAATCGAGCGCCTGTTGGCCGGTCAAGAACTTGCGGTTTCGCCCGCCGAGTTTGCCGAGGATCCGCATCGTGGTGTGGGAATGGAAATGACTGTACGGGGTGGGTTTCAGATGCTCCATGAGAGCGGCCATCAGCTCATCGATGACCGGTCCCATGATTGGATCGAGATAGTCTGCGGTCAGGTTATCCACGCAGAGCTCGAGCGTGCGCAGGCCTTGAGACACGAGCTCGGGGCCAGCCCGCAAGGCCACAACCAGCGGCCGCATGAGATAGCTCAGGTGCGGAAGAAGGTTGCTCAAACGCGCCGGGACGGTAAGCGAGAGTTCGACAAATATGTCTCGCTCTTGCTGTTTCCGTGCTGTCCGGAGTAGGCTGTTCAGCGTCTCCAAAATCATCTCCAGCAGCGGGAGAAGGTGGTTGTACGACACTTCAAAGCGACCGCCCCCGATGCTTCGAAACAGGTTTCGTAGGAGGAGGAAATAATTCATCGGCTCCTCCGCGGTTGTCGAGAGCTCAAATGACCTGGTGATGATCTTGATGACGTGGGGGAGCAGGACGGGTTCATTCTGCTGCGAGAATAGGGTGACAGCCATGAAGAACAGCTTGAAGAGGCGGAGCAATGTCGACGTTCGCCTCGCATCAGAGCTCCCAATGTCCTCGATCTTGGTCATGAGGAATTGCAGGAGCATGCCAGCGAAGGCGGGAGATGTTGCTTCGCTGGCGAGGAGGAACTGCGGGATGTGGATGAGGAAACCGTGCTCGAGAATCATCTGATGCAGATGGGGGATCTCGGACTGGAAGACTTCGTGGAACGTCGCGGGATCGATGTGGTGAAAGGCGGTCGCGAACGCCTCCAGCAGCTCTTTTTCCTCCTTGGAACCAGCATACTGCGTGACGGACTGTGCATCGTTACTATCCAAGGGCGCCTTGTCCACCCCATAGTACTTGAAGACTTGGATCCCTTCGTGGAACAGCTTGATCAGGACCTTGACCTCTTCAGCATTATAGCCGAACGATACCTCGTTCCAATTGGCGGGGGCATTCGTGGGGTCAATTTCGTCCTTCAGTTTTTGCGGATTGCACACGCGCAGCTGATAGAAGAGGTTCTTGAGCCCTTGGAGAAGGTTTTTGAAGAGGAACTTATTGTCGGCCACCGGATCCGAGTTCCGCTCTCGAGGATTAGACGTTTTGATTGGGGTGGCGTTGAAGATGTCAACCTCGTCCCAGTCGGGCTTCTGTGTCGGATCCGCGAGGAAGTTCTCGGCTGAGGCCTCGATCGGTGGAGGAGTGTAGGACTTGGATAGCTTCACTGCGTTGTCATATTGTCGGTTCATCGCCGCGAACTTATCTCCGATGGCGTCAAGAATCATGACCAGGAAATGACGCGCATCCTCCTTTGGCTCGAGCTTGGCGATGCACTCCGACATGTTCAGGAGCAGCTTCGCGCTCATGGTCTGGAAGCTCGTCCCGGGGAAATCGTCGTGGAGATTCTTTGTGTAGACCTCAATGGTCCGCCGAATCTGCTCCCGAGACAGGGAATCGCGGAGATGATGGATGAGGTCCGCGAGCATGCTATACGCCAGCGGCCGCATCGTCTCATACACGGTGAGGCCGTCGCCGATCAAGGTCCGCTCATCCAGAAGCTCGTCGATCTTTTTCAGGAAGATCTTGCGGAAGTTGAAATTGATGATGTGCCGAATGGCAACCAGCAGCTCCTTTCGTGCACCTGACCGTTCTCTCGGGCAATCCTGCAGCATGCGAATGACAATCTCGGGCAGGGTTGGCAAAAAGTCGGTTAGCTGCGAAGAGTACACACGCAGCAGATATGCCAGGAAGCTCATCGTCTTGACTTGGGCGAGGATGAAATCGCCGAAGGCCGCGCGGTTCCGAATGTCCTTGCAGACACCCGTGAAGATTTTCCCTTGGGCCCTGGCCTCGTCGTGCGCTCGCTCTTGCGGTTGCGCCTGGAGGAGCAGAACGTTCTTTATCAGGGGGACGAACAGCCGTACGTTCTTGTTGACACAGCCCCGGTGAGCCTGGAAAATGGATACGACAATAATCGGACATTCGGCAATCACTTTGAAGGATTGCATCCCTTTCTGCAGCGGGCGGGCCTGCGGTTGTTCCGTAACGATGTCGGCTGACGACGTTGAAGTCACCGGGGAGCCCGGGCGAGGAGAGTTCGAGTATTGAGCATTTCCGGGTGTCGATGGGAGGCCCTGAGCGCCTCCATGCGCCGGGTTGTCGAAGGTATCCTTGACTGCTTGCTCCATATGTTGAAACATCTCCTGGATGAGATCTAAGAAGGGCTGAACCCGGTCCGCGAGCGCCTTCGGCTGATTCCGCAGGAAGTCCATGACCGTCTTGATGCAGAGGGTCGCATTATCTTCGTTCTCGATGCGCACGAGGTCCATGAGCCGGTCGACGATCCGCGGCGTATGCTGCTCCAATGTGGCGGATGGTGTCATGGGGAGTCGGAAGAGGATTTCGAGGACACATAATCGCAGTCGCTATGCTGGTTAGCGGAGCCAGGTGGTAGGGTCTTCGAACGAACCTGTTCTGGGGAATTGCTCATGAAGACTGGCGGGCCATCTAATAGATTCATGAAAATGGGGATGAACCGCTCGACGAACGTCGCATAAGACGAGCCTTGACACCATATCTCTATGCTATCTCGTAGCTCAGTCGCGACAGTACACTTTATCCGAACATCTAACCATGCCATTGTCAGTATGCTCTTAATTGCTGAAGTAGCCTGGTCCTGGTTCAAACTCACCAAGGTTTGGGTCGTCGAGCTTCGCAGCGAATGCTTCTAGGTTCTTTTCCGCCATGGTTGCAGCTGATGGAGCCGCATATGCGGCTTCGAGATCAATCTCCCTCTTAGCTTGGAGTTCGTATAGGCTCTATACTGTACAAGTGGTCATGGAGCAGTGGGAGCGCAGATGTGGGTGGGTGGGTGGACAGTTTAGGACTTCTCGCATTCACAGGTAAACGGCAGATACAAATCCCAAATTAGATATTGACTGGAGAAGAGGACTTCAGAGAGCTCGGAGGGATTCTGAAGGATCTGAACGAGTAGGTGGAGTGGGTGGTGGTGAGAGAGAAAGGCAGTATAGGTGAGGCTGGATATCCCAATGGACCAGAGAACGCGACTGGGAGCAGAAAGTTCAAGGTCTGAAGCTCCTCCGCGCGAAAGTCGAAAAGTGTGGGAGAGCCAGTCGTCGAAACCGAAATCTACTAGACTTCTTTAAGACTAGCGCGTGGTGATTCCCTGTCAGTATCACGTGGAGCGTCAATTGTGTGTCACGTGTATAATCACGTGGATTGTCATCTGGAGCATCGCGCATTGTCTCCTGTGGTCCTGGCCTGTCGACTGTCACAACTGATCCACTCTTCATCTCACGGTTCTTACCGCTGTATTCACTAATTGCATGGAAGTTGAACAATAATAGGGAATGTGGATTATGGCACTGACATTATCCTATAGACCACTGCTGTGTATTCTTTGTCGTCCATTGTGCCTAGGCGGAGTCGCTCACATTCAACTGCCCTGCCACGCCTGCCTATCAAATCCGTGATGGTCAAAGCGAAGCAAGCTTAGCCTTCCATTCTCTATGAGATCTAGGGTTGCATTCTCTCAACCAAATTTCAGAGTACTCGAAGAGCAAGGAGAATCCATGGCCCCTTTTAACACGCCGGGTGCGCGGTGACATCGCTCGCGGTCTTGAACAGCACGACCTCCGCGGCGCGTCGCCGGGTCAAGCCCGCCAGGACGGATCCTCCCGCCTTATTCCACTTAGGGAACTCCTCTGCCGCGACCGTGTTGGGCGTCTCGCCCGCATTAAGTCGGCTGATGAGCGAGGACGACTTGACGTTGCCGCACCCGACGTTGAAGGCCAGCGAGACGATCGCTCCGAACTGGTTGTCGTTCAGGGTTATCGAAGCGCCGAGGTAGTCGTAGACACAGTCCTCGAAAGTCTGGTGGAAGTCAGTATCTTCGAACACTACTGTTGGATTGTTCCGGCTCCTACCTTCACGTCGCTGTGCAACAGTGCTGCCGCATTCTCTTCAGTCAGGGGGAAGGAATACGACACTTCCGCACACCCGTCCGATTGGCACAGGTGACCATAGCCGACGGTCGGCAACCCGATCGGATCCGGCTCCGGGCTAGCAACGAAGCCTTCAAACTCCCTGATCAAGCTCACGGTAGCCGCGTTAATTGGCTGGGGATCGCAACTGCTGCTAGTTCCGGACGTGCAGCACTGTACGGCGTCGGTCAGCAATCATGATGGTTTCAGGCCGGTGCTATTTAGTACTTGGATGCCCGCCGGTCCCGGACACAGGCCCGCTGTAGAAGTCCCAGTGCAACCAGAGGTCGGGATACACAGGCCGGCCGCGCCTCCGGATGTGCAGCTGCCGTAGGTGCAGCACTAGATTCCTATCAACGGCCCGATCCTTTCTGACCGGTTGGGCGAGGGGATACGGAAGCTGTCATACCTGGATATTCGCGGCTCCTGGGCAGAACCCTGCGGTCGACGTGCCGGAGCATTCTGAGGTTGCGAGGCATTCACCCGCAACGCCTGGATTACATTCAGTCTCGTATCATTGTAGTCGTTCGTGCCTATGGCATACCTGAGGAAATGGTGCAGGACTCTGCTACCACGGTGGAGCAGAGTGCCCCGAGGGTGCAGAGGGTCAGGCCAGCTTTGAACAACATACTGAAAGTCTCTGTAGTCTGTATAAAATGACGTGCACTGGATTTCGAGTGACACTGCAGATCTGGCGCCGTGATACCTTTATATTTCCTCTAAAATGACCGAGAATACGAACAACACCACATCGACCTCTCGCGAGAGGCTGGGATGCGAAACGCGACCCTAACCCAGATTCTGGAACGTCCGATCTCCCATCGTGGATCGCCGGCGCGGCCACGCCTCCACCCCAGGCGCTAATCGAATTGGAGTGAGTTGAACCGCCGCCTAAGCTGCCGATCACCGTATTTCAAGACCTGAAACCATCGACTAAGATACCGAATCTCGTCAGCTCGCCCTTTTTAAAATTGAAAAGCCGTTTATGCCTACTCCATAAGTCTATTGTTCGAGTTACTAATTTCTTGCTAGGTGAGGTGGGTGGAGTGCTTTAAACTTCACGTGGAAGGTCTGGATGGTCTGGCCCCGATCGACATGACCTAACCCTCCTGAAATGAGAAATGAGAAACGAATCATGAATTTTATGATACTTAATTCCCCGACCAAACTTGGGCGCCAAAGAAGAGTCGCTTTTCCCCGTGATTAAAGGAGGGAATTCGGATACTGGTATCGTTGATGTTGGTTGAAACTTCCCCCCGTATTTCTTTGGAGAGATCGAGGATAACCTTTATAATCTTTTATTGTCTATTAACCTTGTGAGTTACTGTGTGCTGGATGGAACTGAATATCAGTCTCTCCACAACCCGAGCGGACCGAATTTCCCGAAACGATCCTGTCAACCACCTAGGAACGAAGCGATTGGTTTTCTTGCTAGGCGAATGTACTCGATTGCCCTGAATCTGAGTGAGATACATGGAATTGTCCAAGTCCAGAAACCAAAGTAGCTTAGGGCATCTACGATTGATTCTAGACTAGGTAGGTATTTACATCTACGCGGTACGGCGGGCAATGTTCGCGTTTCAATGCGGCGACTCTTATGACAAGCTTTCAGTTGAACCCGGCAAACGTTTCGTGTCATATAGTATGGGGTATTGTTTAGCTTGATCGAGTCCATTCAGAGAATGCTCAACTGTTTGTTGCCATGTACAGTTGCAGGTGCTTCAAATGCCTACGCACATCCGGATATCCCGACGACTCGATGAAGGACCGGTTCATCGAATATTTCAATCTTGACGAATGGTCAAACACAGTTTCGTCCGGTCTTGAAGTGATTTCCGCGGTTTTCGTGGAACCGTTTGCACAAGGAGGCTATCCTCCACCGCAGTTGAGAAATCAACGGGTATGAAGAACGCATTGCGGCCCTCCAGTGTCGTAGATAAGCGCTGCTCAGAGCAGGATACTGATTTGATCCAGCCCTGTATCATTGGCTCCGAGGGTAGAGGTTTCGACGTTCGAGCCCGTGGGGCAACATGAGGGGCCTCGATCGCCCACGGCATTTTCGCGGCCATGATCAGGCTCTCGTTATGGTAGGTCGCGTTACGTAATAACCAAGTATCTCCTCGATCAGTCGAAGCATCTCTATGGGTCTATTCGCATGTCGAGAGCATCCTTCGGATGACGCCCCTCAGGGTGTTATTCTCCAAAGCCGCCGCGACTCTCTCTTTATCTCCGAGCTGCTTTGTCACCGCGTCGCCGGTGCTGTGCGTCCCTTCCTTGATCCGAACATCGATTCTGAATCGCGGCGGCAGCGCCTGTTCCAAGCGAACCCGGACGCCCAAGCCGATCACGGTGGCAAGACTGCAGTGGGTGATGGTCGGGGTGATATCGATAACCACGGTGCTGATGCGGGATCGAGCGGAGGACGGGCGCGAGATGTGGATGTCCGGAAGATTGACGACGGCCAACGATCCGAGCGAGAGAGGGTGTTCCGGGTCGGATATGGGAGCAATGAGATCTAAAAGCACCATGTCAGTGGCGATTTACGGAATGGATATGGCTTTGCGCGAACGCACCATAGATTTCCTGCGCGTCAATCTCCTCGTCGAAATCGCGGTCGCTTTCCGACTCCGAAGCACTGAGGGCTTCATCGAATGGATCGTCAATCGGTTGGGTGGCGGACAATAGGCCTCCAAGATAGATGCCGATGGGGTCGTCGGCCTTCTTCAACAGCGATTCCCCATGGCGGGTGGGCAGATCCGATGCATTGAGGATGACGGGGTTGGCGTTATCTTTATTGTCGTCCATGATTTGAGTCTGGTTGTCTCTTATGACGGACAGGAGGAAGAAGTCAATGTGTGTTGGGTATTAGGTATTAATAATGTTGGGGATGATGGAATCGCTCCGAAGCGCGGGCAAGTTCAAGGCCACGCCGGAAGCACGTGCACTACACAGTACGCACATTCATTACGTTGATAGCCAACCACCAGTCCAATAATTAGCTTATTCACAACATCCATCTCGGACTATTACGACGGTAGTGGTTCGTATACTTGCAATAGATCCGTCGGTTTTGTGGATTTCCAATTTCCAATGCTATTATTGAGCTGGAGCATTGTATGTTCTGTCAAACGAATCGCTCCGTCCTGTCCTCCGCGCCAGTGATATCTGCCTCGCCTCACCAATATCAAGTATTGTGTTAAGCCAGTGATCCTGCGATACCAGCCTGTCTTCCCGTATACAGCCGCTCGATGGTCGATCTGCCGTTTCCACAGAACGCGAACGTCTATGATATGATTCAGGTGGAAAACACAAGCATCGGGTTACTTCTATTGCCGTGAAACCACCGACGGCGTCCCCCAGCGATGCCGATCGAGAGATCCTCATGAACTCGACGCCGGGAGCGACGGACGAGAGCGCCGATGTTAGCGAGAACTCCGAGCCATTGTCCGATCCCCATCGTTCGATATCCGAAGTCGCCATAGAAGGAGATCTGGAGCAATTCATCGACGTGGACCCTACGTCCTCCCCCCTCGACCAAGACGAGTACGATAATGTACCTCCCCCTACATCCGAACCCCTTTCTCCTTTCGGCAGCGATGTCGACTCAGTGCGGCAGCGAGACCACAATGACGCACAACTACCTTCTGAAGGAGACCGACCGCAGAGCCTCGCGGAATCATCCTCCGCAGTGGATGCCACACCATCTAGACATGTAGGCTATTCCGTTCATGGAATACCCTGCCTCCACTAACATAGTACGAACAGGCGTCCGTCCTTTCCTCCCCAGCCAGCAGCAGTAGACTCTCGGTAGGCCGCACGAGGGCCGGGTATTTCCAACCCTTCGACCGTCGCTTCACTAGCCGCTTGTCTCCCTCACCTCTCCAGACCCCTCGAAACCTTTCGCCCGCTTTCTTTTCCACCCATTCGCGGCAGTCGTCACTTGCGGGTCAGCTATTACCTGCAGATGAGTCCGAAACGCCGCAGAACCCTTGGGATGTGGTTCGATGGACCAAACTTAAACGATTGTCCGGACAAGTGTTCTCCGAGACGGGAAAGCGGAATTATGGGAGGCCAACGTGCCTCGCTGTTGCGGCTTCGATAGCCATTGGCACTTCCAAAGGATTGATATTGGTGTTTGACTACCAGCAGAGTTTGCTGTCAACCATTGGCTTGGGAACCAAAGCGATCGAGTGCGGGCCTGTCACGTCCTTGGCTATCTCTGCGGATCACTCGACCGTTGCAGGAGGCCATGCGAGCGGCCACATATTCACATGGGAGCTATCGCGACCGGGGAAACCCTTTCTTCATATCCCTCCCCTGGAAAGATCTAGGATTGCCGAGCGACGAGGCGACGGCCATGTTGCAGATGCCTCTGTCATTCATGTCGGCTTCCTGGGCACACGACACACTGCCCTTGTCTCGGCCGACAATGGGGGAATGGCTTTCTCTCACCTTGCCACACGTGGACTCGGTGCCGTGGGTAGGACGGTGAAAACGACGCGTATCCTTGGACGGTATCCTGCCGGGGACCCGTCGACAGAACGCGCAAGGAAACCAAGCTCTGTCCTGGCATTCTCCCCACTCCCTCTCGGGAACGTCGAGCAACCGACCGATGGTCTTGGCCTAACCGCGCTGCTCACCCCGTATCTGCTCGTGATCGTGTCGACGACACCCATCGCAGAAACCCAGTTCAAAGCCGCCCGGCCAAAAGACCTGCCTCCGCATAGTGCCCTGAGCGGCTGTCTTGCCTGGTTTCCGGCAGTCAGGCTCAAGCGAACCACACTCGGCACCAAAAATGATGTCTCCACGACGAAGTTAGCATTTGTATGGTCAAACATTGTCACCGTCCTAGACGTGGAGGCAGTCGAGCACGGCGATGCCGACAAGCCGGCAGATGTGAGTTTCCGCCCGCGAAGTCGGTGGAAGTGCGATGAAGCCATCGTTTGCGTCCAATGGCTCAGTCGTTCGGTCCTTGCGGCATTGACGATCAGCCAAAGACTTCTAATCCTAGAAGACAATGAGCTTCGAGTAACGGACTCCTCGGACATGATATATAAGCACATCTTCCACCAGGACCTGTTTTCTCGTCAGCTGCGACCTGTGGTAGAAGACCTTGATGGCTCCGATACATCGATGCACGGCGTCGTTGCAGACGCATTCTACATGAGCTTCCGCGTATACAAAGGCCGACTCTTCCTCCTTGGGGTCGACGACATTTCCTTCGGAACCCTTTCCAACTGGGCCGACCGACTTCTAGCGCTGATGGAACACGGCGATTACATCGGAGCTATCGAACTTGCCACGTCGTATTATAACGGCGATGCAGACCGATTGACGGTTGGCCTGCCCGAGGATGACGATGCCCGTCATGGGATCGTCCGAGATCGGCTGCTGGAACTCATCTCTGCGTCGTTCAGGTACTCGTTCAAGCGCTTCGAAGACTCCGAACCTGACGAAGATGCGGTGGAGAGGATGAGGGAGCTCACGGCCACCAGTTTCACCGCCTGTTTAAGCATCGGAGAAACGGCATTTCTATTCGATGACGTTTTTGATTTCTTCGAAGACACGGCGTTGGAATGGTTGTTCTTCGATGTCTTGGAACCGCACGTGCTCGAAAGGCGGATCACGACCGTACCGCCGACGGTCCTACAGAAGCTCATCACGCTCTACGCCTCCCACGATCGCGCCGTCAAACTTGAGGAGATCATCTGCCAGCTTGATACCGAGAACATGGACATCAACCTGACCACTGCGCTGTGCAAAAAGTTTCAGCTCTACGACGCTCTGGCATATGTTTGGAACCAGGCGCTCGGCGATTTTGTGACGCCGCTTATCGAGATGCTATCGACGATCGACGAACGTCCTGACCCAAGTATTCCTGACGAGGATGGAGGCGCTGGTCCGGGAACCCGAATGTTTCCGTACTTAGCGTTCGCGCTCACCGGGCGCGTCTATCCCAGCGGTGCGGACATGGACGATTCCATCGCATGGGAGGCCAAATCCGAGCTCTATCGATTTATATTTTCGTCCAAACTCGTCGAGTGGCCTCCTGGTTCTCAAACCCTCGTGCGATTCCCTGTATCCGAAAACGATATCGCGCCATACCCCTATCTCCGGCGGATCCTTCATTTCGATGCGCCCAGTTTTATGAGCGTCATGAACGAAGCATTTGAGGATGCGTTTTTGAATAACGCTGGCCAGGCAGCGGACGGCGCGGTCATGAACGGCACGAAGCACAAGTCGTCGACAGCGCCGACAAGACAGACCATCGTGAGCATCCTGCTCGACGTCATGTCGTCGGTCGAATTCGGCGCCGACGAACTCATCTATTTGGACATGTTCATTGCCAGAAGCATGTCGAAGTTCCCTCAGTTTTTGCTCCTGCCGGCCCCAACCCTGCACCAGGTCCTCGAGCGCTTGTGTCGATTCCCCTCCGAGGAACTGGCATCAGATTGTCAACTCAGCGTGGAGTACCTTTTGTCGCAGTACCACCCCGCAGACACCGAGTGGTTGATCCCGTTGCTGCGCGATGCTGGCTTTTACCGTGTCTTGAAATCTATCTATCGCGGCACCAAGCAGCACGCACAGCTTCTCGAGGCTTATTTCGAAGATCCTGACGATAAGCAATCCGTTTTCCTCTGCATCAGGTCCCTGTTCGCGAAACGAACCGGGCTCGCCCCCAAGCAGACCCGGGAGGTGGAGAATGTCATCGTTCAACACGCTCAGGATTTGATGCACATTGATAATGCTCAAACGGCAGAAACGTTGCAGCAGTGCACGCCGGCCACGATCGACGGTTTTATTTCCGCGCTTCATGATGGTTCCCACAACCGCTTCGTTTTCATGCGGGCGCTTTTCGAATCCGAAGCTGCAATGGAGGACAATGAGACGCTCCAGATGGGACCGTGGACGAAGTATCAGGAGCAGTATATCCAATTGATGTGCTCTTTCGATCCGCAGCATGTGGCGGACTATATCAGCAGCCTGCCCTCGGGCGATTTGCAACTCAAGGTGTTGATCCCTGCCATGGAAGAGTCCGGGGCTATTGACGCTGCCGTTCTCCTTCTTGCACGGGACGGTCTGGTCCTGGATGCTATGGCGCGTCTCATCAATCACCTGCGCACATTGGAAGTTGCCCTCGCCAGCCTCATGCGTGCCGCCGCCGATAACCCAGACGGGCCAAATGCCGAGGAAACCGCCGATGATCTCCTATCTGCCATCGACAAGTTTTATAAACTCGGGATTTGGCTTTGCCAGGGAGGGTCACGCACCACCAAGAAGCTGTCAAGCGAAATACACGGGGTTGAACAAACGCCAAGGACCGGGCCCAACTCTCTCTCTCCCATGGAGTCAATGTGGGTGGACCTCATCACTTCCTTGGTGGGAATCCTCCGTGGCGTTTCTTCAGCGAGCTCCGTATCACAAACAGATCTGGACCAATCCTCCCCCGATCCGCTTCGTATCATCGGCTCTCTGCGGAGCATGATCCAATATACCTTCACGGCCCTCCTTTCCGCCACCGCCGTCAGCCGTCCGGCGGAGAAACGAAGGCCCAAACCACGCATCCACCAGGACGAATCGAAATCGACGGACGGCGCTCTTCCCCCGCCCGCCCCGCTGACGGCTACCCCAAGCGAGTCCCCTCCCATCTTCCTCCGAATCTTCCGCGAGTTCCTCACGCGCCTCGCGAGCACCACCACCTCCGCGACCCTCATCGACCTCCGCGACCTCCTCTCCGAAATCTTCACCGCCTACGCCTTCGAATCCGCCATCATGGCCCTCGCGTCCGACTTCCTCGCGAAGAACCTCTTCTCGCACGTGGCACGGGCGCACGACCTGCGTCAGCGCGGCTGGAGACCCAAGGGGCAGACCTGCGAGCAGTGCCGACGCCGCGTGTGGGGCCCGGGCGTCGGGGGGCAGGTGTGGGAGTCGTGGGAGCGGCGGACGAAACGGTTGGAGGATTCTAGGCGGGAGATGTGGAGGGAGCGTGCGGGGGGCGCTGAAGAAAGGGGGAAAGGGCGGGTTAACGACGACGGCGCGGATGAGGAGGAGGAGGGGGAGGAGGACATCGATACGGGCGGCAAACAAGTATCGCGCGAGTTGGGGCCGCTGATAGTATTTGCGTGCCGGCATATTTTCCACGGGGATTGTTTAAAGGAGGCACGCGCTGCCGAAAGAGGGACTAGTGGTGATGACGACGTCATCAAGTGTCCAATCTGTGCCTTGTAAACAAATCATTTGATTAATATTATATACCAGTAATTGGCATGCATCCGCATTTCTAGATGAGATACTCCGGTCCATTCTCGCTCCGGACCGTCCATATATCACGGTTTCTACTATTCCAACCGGATCGCAGATTTTGGCCTGTCTACTGTGAAAAATACAGTGTACCGTGTCCAGGCACGGAATTGATTCCGATATCACCTAAAATATCTAGCCGCTGTTTAAATGTACATTTGCAGGCTCGCAGGCATGCGCTGACACACGCACGTCTGCAAATTGCTCTGAAGTATCCAAGCCCTTCCCAACCGTCATAAATCGCCCCAGGATTTTCTCGTCATTTTGTACAGTCGAGCATTCCATAACCGTCGTTTATAAACCGTATAGAACGCGACCTGATTAATTGCAAAACTGTCCATGAAATCCCAATCCCAAATAAATATCCATTAAATCCAAGCTCGTGGATGTCGGGCCTTCGCCTATGGAAGGCTATCCTTTCCTCAAGTGAGGCCTTCGCCTAGAGATGTCTCGGAATTTTCAGTGAATGCCAGGTACATTGTCTGGCTAACCAGGCACTTGAGGCGACCCAAATGCCATAGTAACATAATCCGTAACGAACAAGGCGCTATGAAGTTCCTATGTCTCATTGATGCGGTTGAGCGGCCGAAGTGGCCTGATTAGGCGCGCCGTAATCCCAGCGCCGCTTCATCCCGCTGAACGAACTGGCCACCGCATCCTGCCACATGCTCGGCGTGACGTACGATGGCGCCTGTTGCACGGGGCTGGACGCGAGTGTCTGCCCTGGTGCGCGTTGGGGAACGTATGCTTGGTTATACGCGGGTTGAGGCGCCGCCGCAACACTGGGAGGGGCCTGCTCTTGGACCGACCGTTGATCGAACGCGTTGTTTGCTAGGGGGGGTGGTCTCAGAGGTGGGGACGCTTGGGAAGAGGAGTCGTTGGTATTCTGGGAAGTAGGCGTACCGAATGCTACATGCCATTGGCTGTGATAACATCAGTAGACAGATTTGGATCTGGGGACCGCCCGGTACTCACTCAAATATTCTTGACGGGTTCCAATGCTCCACTGCCGGCATGCCGGTCGACGATTGAGGGGGCCCCTGGCCTTGTGCCATCAACATCAGCGACTGAACTACAGGAGAGTCAGCCCTGGTATCCGAGCCTGTGGCAGAGATCGGTGGGGTGATGGGATGGGTATGGTAGGTGACTTGACCTGGAGGGTCAATGGATGGAAGGTCCTGACCGGAAAGCTGATGCTGATACGTATTGTCGGTGCCGATGGGGCTGGCCTCGCTTCGAAGCGTGGGGCTGGAGAACGGGAACGAGGCCTTCAGCTCGAAGGGCTTCGTGACGTCGGCGGAAAACGCTTCTCGGAGTCCGTTGATCTGCGCCTGCATTTCTGGCATCGGGAACGCGGGCGCGACCTTCTCGAGAACCCGCATATGCCGGGAGAAGTATTCACGCGCATCGTGGTTGAGCTCGGCGTCTGGGCTCGTTATCGCGGCCTATCCGTCGTTAGCAGGAACTTCCAATCCAAGGGCGTGACGCCTACCAAATGAAGCATGATGCACGTGAGCGTGCAGTAGATGGTAAAGCTGATGCCTCGCAGCATGCTCACCAGTCCAGGAAGCCCATGACCCTCCCATATAGACTCAGAAATGCGGCACATGGTCTTGGCAGCGTTGTAGCAGAGTATGAAATGTTGTTTCCACGAGGCATCATTCACACCGGACAGCCAGTCAATCTGAGGACGATGGTGCATGATGAGGCTCAAGTAGTGGTAGCAGTGGAGGTGGCCAACAAACGTCGATGGAATCCAGGGCAAGGATGGCTCTTGGGGGTATATGATCTGCAAGTCTTGCGGAAGGTCGTGAAGCCACTGCGAAAAGACCTGGTTATGAGCGGTGAAACGAGGATCCACGGCCCAATCTTTCTGCCTCTTTCGGAGGGTAAGATGGCTCTTGTTCGTGTTACGGATGTTGTCTGCGATCCGCATGAAGTAGGTAAATTGGCGAGTCAGCTGCATCTCGTGCTCGTCGAACCCCGGGATACCCTGCGGAGGATCCAGTTCAACAGTGTCCGGTTTGACTCCGAAGTCGTGCGCGGAGCGTCCTTGCGGGCCACCGACCATGACCTCCAACACGAACAGAGTGTCCCACACACGCGTCTTAATGCCGCAGTCGTATAACGACGAGCCGCACGGTTTGCCCAACTGGTGCGTCTCCAGATGCTCCTGCAAGTCGAGGTCTTTGGACATAGCGACGGCATTCACAACCGTCATCCATGAGCGGTAAAAGTAACCCCGTTTCGGTGAACCCTCCCTCGCTTTGAGAAGGAGGATCATTGCTTGGATCGTGCTTAATCGAGGCACGTCTCGAAAATTCTCCTCGTGTTCTAAACGATCAGCCAGGGGTCAACACGGGGATGGTTCACTTACTCGAAGCTAAGGCCAGCCATTTGTTCCCTTCATCTTGCTCTCCGAGCATGAGGGATGCGCAGGCGAATATTCCTTCAAGAAGCAACGGTGAGATGGAGGAGCGATCCGCCTGCCACTGCTGGTAGAAATACGCTCGGTTCAGGACGGGCACGAACGGGTGAATGTGAGCAAAAAAGTACTCGAAATAATGCAGTGCTTTGGTCTCCGAAGGCATCATCTCTGAGGGTATGTGTACGGTCATGCCAGGTCCCGTATGCTCTGGGATATCGATCTCCAGTTCATGCATGGCGGGCGCTTCGGCTAGCTTCTTTTGGCTCAGGATGTACGGAGCTGTCTGCGTTAGTACGGACGATGTTCGACGAACCGACGTGGGACTCACCGATGGCATCGTGGTCTATCCTGAGCTGCCCGAGAGCCTCTGCAATCCCCGTGTCTCCAAGATCAGACCTCCACCCACTCTCACTTGTGGGGCTGGTGTACAATGCTTGCCCTGTGAACTTTAGATCATCGGCCGCCTGGGTTGTGGGAACCGTGGAATACTGCAACGGGTCGTTAGGGTCGACGTATCGCCCCGGTGCATAGGTACCCTGAGAATACAGACGCCCGGGATCGTATGCGCCCGGAGCGGACGAGTACATGGCCGTATGGACTTCGGCGGATGGGAAGGTATTTGCGCGCATCGGATGGTGCGGCCGTTGCAAGCTGTCCGTGTCAACCGAACCCATCGGGGGATATGCATGCGTAGAGTTCAGGTCGAATGTATGCAAGCCAGGTCCCGAATCGTTCTCGTAGCTCACCGTCGGAGGGATACAGGTGAGTTTTAACCGTGTGCACGCGGCGCATGGCCATGAATTCGTCGTCGCGGCATCGCATTTGATCTTTCTTCTCCGGCAGCCTTCGCAAGCACGCATCACTGCTTTGGTCAGTATGATGATACCATTGCTTGTAGTTCAGAGCCGGGAAGCACGGGGCCATTCACCCTTGAGGCGTTTATGCCGATTATGCTCATCGACGAAGACGTAATCTGTCCCAGGTCAGTTTCGTCCTCATTCTCACCTGCCACACGGTAGTCGATTGCAGAATCCCTTACTCTTTTGTTGTTCCCTTGGCGCAATGGGTTGCGGAGTAAAGGTCGTAAGATTTGGTATCTGCGCCGTGTGCGGAAGCAGCGGTCGCCCTTCACCAGACATAGCGGGATAGTCCGGCGCAGATCTGGCGCGACGGTGCTTCTAGGCGAATGATGGAATTAACCCCTCGTAGTTGATTATACTATGCCCTCCGTCGAGACAAAATCGCAACGAGTCCAAGTTGTACAATATCTGACGCGAAGACGTGAGCGCAGATGGGACAAGACAGTGGAGGTTCAAGCTGCGTGCCGAGCCGCCGCGGTGCCCAAGCGTGTCGATCCCGACAAATATGATCCAGTCCACGGCTAGCAGTTTCGGGTGTTGCGAGGAGTCGAAGTCGCGTCTTGGTCACGTCGAAACGAAGGAAGAGGAGTCCTTCAATGGCTGGTGACCAAGTTGAAAGGCGGATAGTGGTGGGCGGCAAACGGTTTGCGATGATGACAAAAAGTAGTGACGATCCTTCCTCGAGGGGCTATCGATAGCGAACCGCTGGTGGTCATCTGCGTAGTTCAAGGGGAATTATCCAAGCCGCGGCGGGGAAGAGAGCCAGGTCGACGGGATATCGAGGGGTGCGGGCGTCGCAAGGTGCAGGCAGCCTCCTGCAAAGTCGTCGGAGCAAAGCCACCGTACTTAATGATTCGGGCAATCGGATATCGGAGGGGACGAAGATCAATAGAAGCAGGATTTAAGGTCAAGGGTTTCCAGTTGGTGTCCTAGAGGGTTCCTTGATCGCAGTTTGGCGTTTGCGCATGTAGTAAAGCGATAAACTGGTGAACTGGTAGTTAAGTAATTGTAATGTGGTACGATGATCTTCTTAAAGTTTCGAAGTTGAGCTTTTTACTTATGCACCAGCAAGGAATGCATAAGCCCCAGGGTGGAGCAAATTTCCAAGGGTGAAGCACTGAAGCGCTACTTACCGTTGATCGGACTGTCGGAGAGAAAAGGTTCTGGAATCGGGTGTGCCTGTAATCAAGAGACTGGGAAACTGGCGCGCAGCTTTCTCCCCCTCTGCCCCTCATTAATGATAAAATCATCCCAAGTACCCAGGATTAGCGCGAACAGAACAAAGACTCGAGACTCCAGCAGGTGGTGCCGCGGGACGGCGGGAGGCGCCTGTTGGATAGTCGAGGGCTGGGTGGACTGGAAGAGAGTGGGGAGGCTAATGGTATTTAGTTAAGTTAAGGACTTAAGGTCTAAGGGAGACGAGGCGGCAGACGAACCGATGAACTGATGAGCAAGGAAGAAAGTAAGTATTATAGATAATGCTGAAATATTAATTATACATCTTGGTTAGTGAGTAGTAAGTGTAGCTGTTTCAGCCAGGACGGGACACGATAAACTCGCTCCCGATCAATGTAGAAGACTAGGTAACGTAGCAGTACGATAAGTACTCAAGGCTCATAACAATAAGTAGCGGATGAACCTAAGTCCCAAAGTCCTGTGCTATGTTGCCTTTCTTTCGCCCTGATTCAGCTCTTATTACCAAATACTTGGTATGAACTGTATCCTCTCCCCGGAGGTAAATACCTTATGCGCTGGACCCTTTGGAAATTGGATGCCCTTTGGAACATCGTCCCTTTGTGGCAGACGTCAGAATAACTCCTCCACCTCAGTCGTGATCATCCAACATGAAGAAAACGACCACGGTTCGGCCGATCAGTATAAACTACATGCCATCCGGCTCTCTCACCAGCCATGCATGGTTTCGATATAGGAACAGGGAACGTAAAACGTTTCCCCTGTGGGCGGTAACATTCCAACGTCACGCTACAGTCCACAGTTGGTAGGTACGGAAAAGGACCTGTATGATCCCATGGTTTTGCTTCCGTATCCTTTGTATCCCCCTTTCGGGGCAAAAGATGCCGCACCTTGGGACGCTGGGACGTTACATTGTCCCGGGGCTAAGGGAGCATTGAAGGCTGACAGGATGGTGAGATTGCGTTTTATGCAATCGTTATTTTACTGCCAAAGCCGCCCTTCTCCCTCTCAATGTGCCAGCTCTGACATTAGAAATGGGAACCATACATTTGGTGATTGGCCGTCTATGTCGGGAGTTTGCCAGCTTGGTGTCTCAATAAGGTATGCAAAATTGCACTTCTCGAGTAGGTATATCATCAAAAGGGAGGCCCCTAGATCCATCTAATATCGTCGCGTCGTAGCTAACGGATCATTGTACGTATATCACCAGATACCAGAAAATAGGACGGGTCGTGCTCGAGGCCGTGCATTGGAGTTCCGCCATCCCGAGGCATGATGCTGAGATTCATCTCGATGTCCTTGATGGTGCCAAACACGATAGTCCTTCGAAATACGAAGGCTTGATATTCTGCTCTCCCCATGGTATTCAGATCCGGATCTAGGGCAACAGAAATAGTGTACTATGTCTTTCCCTCCCGTGCCAAATTGACGTGTCCTAGACGTGACAAATTCAGGTTCGACCAGATGCTATGTAAACAGTAGATTATAGTCGATAGTTAAGTGATCCGGGTTAATATAATTACTTTTTCCTTCCATCCGTGCTACGGAATGTTCGATGCGGGCACTAACTTCGCCTGTCAGATCCTCGAAAGCCTTTTCGGATTCGTCATCGACTAACACATCCTGGCTCAGGAGATATCAACAAACATCCAGTTCGTCTGTAGTCTGTACATAGTACCGAACAAGCCGGTGGATTTGGTGCGTCGCCGAAATACCCAGCTCAGATGATTGGAGGGGATAGAGGTTTAAACTTGAAGAAGCCCACTCCAAGGCTCAAATATACCCCGCTATGTAATAGTAAGGGGAATCGCAGGGTTGCTCGAAAGTGCGATCGCAGACATGTGAAAATCGAAATACTTTTTTAGCGCCGCAACCAATACAGTAGTCCAAATGAGACAAATAAGAAAGAAGCACTGCCCACAGCTTGGCACTGGCTGCAAACCGGGGAGTCGGGCACCAGTGTGCCACACGGTGATACGGCAGTTATTTCTGAGTACACACTTCCATAGTGGAAACCCCAGTGATCAATTGATGGTGTGAGGTTAGGGAAGAATAGTTGACATGTTTATGTGAGGAGCCATTCCAGGCTTCAGCTCTCAGCGCAGCTCACACGCTATTAGGCTCTTCGTCGCATATACAATCCGTGCCCGTTAACGACATCAGTTCTAATATGATCTTGGTCCGTCCATTTTCAAAGGTTATATGGACGGACTCAACAATCTTCCCACGGCCGACGCAAAACAATGACACACGAGAGGACGTCCATGTTTTATGTATCTGTATTGGACTCGATCAAGTGCCTCGGAAACTCGGAGTCGCCGCAAACCCTGTCAATAGGTGTAAAAGTGCCAAAATTTACGGAATATGGGGGTCAGTTTTCGCCCCTTTCCGCTTCCCGTACTTGATGTATACGGAGTCGAGTAGGATGTACCCCCTTCCAGTGAATGGCTTTGTCGGATTGGGAGGATGCGAGCGCTTCTTCGGGTCATGTGTCATAGTTCTAGTCTCAGTGACGTAATCTGCTTGCCATTCGGCGGCCTCCCGAATAATCCGATGCATCCTATTACCTATAGTGCGAGGGAAATTTCCCCGATCCTCTCAATGTCCAGAAGATGATCGTGAGAAAATGTCCAGGCGGACTTATCCTTGATGATGGGGTTACCGTGTTGGGTAACGTTCTGGAAGCATTAAACTATCCCCCTCGTTCAGGGCTTCGTAGTTCGTGTGAGGTCGGAAGGCTGACGGTTGCCCAACCGCAAGGCTTAGATCGCCGTGTCAACGGAGAAGCGAGCCAGCGACATCCTCGACCTGTTGGTTTGGTTGCTGCACAGCATTGCAGGTTCCGCTAGTCCTGGATCGGCAAGAGATATAAGGATGAAGGCAACCAGCCTTGACGTCTTACATGCAGCCACTGACCTTGCTTTTGCCTGGTGGCGGAAGATATCGAACAGCAGGATTTGACGGAGGCTAAAACATAAAAGTTGAGGAAGGACTTTCGAGTTGAGACGTCTTACACGCATGCAATGGTGCACCAACCTTCGATATACAAGACGTATCTGAAGGTCTCTAGGTTCGAAGGATTCACAACTTCGTGTTTGTCATACACGAAGCCATAAAGGACGCCGAGCATGCCACATGGGCAGAGAACAGATGCCCAACTACTGATATATTCGGATAGAAGGGAGTCTGTACTTTATAATATGATGAGGGAGAGGTCTTGGATGAAGTCCACGATATAATGTGTTCGCGAGTCACGTGTGTAGTTGAATGTAGTCACGTACAGAGGTTGTTGATATAAACATTGATGCCTGCATGCCTGATTCTCCCAACGTGAACCTCCAGTCCATCTCCATCTCTATAGCAGACTGCATCCTCCCACCTTTGTCGTCCTGGTTAATTACAGCAGAAACCCAAACCCCGACAGAGCTCTTATACCTCATCAACCTTCCTCTCCGCTCGAACTCCGAGAAACCAACTATGCCATCCATTGGCCCAACCCTCCCACCCCACCTCTCAAAACGTAAGCGTGACGACGAGGACCTCAAACCAACCACCTCCGCCGCATCATCATCGCAAACTTCCCGTTCCCCCAGCCTCGATTCCACCGACAAGAAACGCCGCACTATCGGCCCCGCTCCCCCTCCCGCCCCCCTCTCCCAACGCCCCCCGTCCCCCCCCTCCCCGAACCAGGCATCCGACGATTCCAGCAGCGACGACGATTTCGGCCCCCGGCCTCCCCCCGCCGGCTCGACCGACCCCCACGACGTCACGTCGGCGTTCGACCGCGATGAAGGCATCGTCCCCGAAGCCGACACCAAGCCCCAGCGCGACGAATGGATGACGATCCCCCCCCAGCAAGACGACCTCGCGGCGCGGATGGACCCGACGAAGCGGCCGGCACGGAAGTTTAAAGGGAAGGGGGCACCGGGGGCGGGCGAGGGGATTGGGTCGGCGTGGACGGAGACGGCGGAGGAGAAGCGAAAAAGGTTGGCGGATCAGGTGATGGGGCGGATGGATCCCGAGGCGGGGCGGAAGGGGAGGCAGGCAGAGGAGGAGGGGGTACGGAGGGGGAGGGAGCGGGTTGGGGAGAAGGGGAGGGGAGAGGGGAAGTCGTTGTATGATCGGCATCAGGAGAAGAAGGATCGGGAGAAGGAGGACGATCCGAGTGGGCGGGCGTTCGATTATGAGAAGGACATGGGCACGGGGATGAAGATTGGGCACGCGCAGAAGAAGGAAATGCTGCACCGGGCCGCGGATATGGGGTCCCGGTTCTCGGGCGGCGGTTATCTATGAACATTGGATGCTATGGGGTATAGGTATGACAGCCGGACAGCTGGCGCGGATGCCGAACGCTATTTTCAAAAAATATGCAAACCTATCCATCTCTCTCTCCGGGGAGTAACTCGTGATTCTCCCCGAACATCCACCCCACCTCGCCATCCGAGCACGCGGATTCGACAAGGGGAGTGCGAAATCGTGGGTCTAGACCTCGCGCCGTCGGACCGAGCCTCTGGAGCGCTGGCGGTTCGCAGGCGGCGACGCGTACCCATTCGCCGACTCCTGCTTCGCCTTGGCGGCCTGCACCTTTTCTGGGGGCACTGTCAGCGCCTTGATGCCGAGGAACCGGCAGAACGCCTCGATCACCAGCACGGCCCAGCGGCCGTAGACGACGGATGCGTACAAGAAGTACGCGCGAAGATACCACAGCTCGAGGTCGGGTCGGATGGGCGGGAGGCCGACGAGGGGCAGGTTCCCGATCGCGGCGCCGGCGATAAGCGGGGTGAGCATGGCGGTCCACATGGGGAAAGGCTGGCGGGTGAGATGGGCGAGGATGATCTTCGTGGTCATGCGGCCGAACACGAGGCTCATGGTCAGGCAAAACAGGATGAGGTGGTTTTCGCGGAGGAGGGAGGAGTGCGGCGACTGCAGCCAGGAGAGGCATCCGGCCCAGAAGACGCCCATGGGGAACCACTCCAAGAAGGTGGTCCACACGGGGAGGTTCTTGGCGCGCCGCGCTTGGACGACGTGGTAGATGCAGGCAGGGAGATGGGACACGAGGAACATGATGGTGAGGAACGGGACCCACACATCTTTCACGGAGGTCGTCTCGCCGAGCAGGCTCCCCAGGACCGGCACGAAGCCCGCCAGCGGCTCGCTCCAGATCCCCGGCCCGAAGTAACCGGAAAACACCATCATCAGCGCGGCGATCGTGAGACCCTCTGCACTCGATTAGCTAGCTCCACGATTGCACGGCGAACGGCAGCATACCGGTCGGTCCGTTGAAATAACCCAGGTATAGCGTGTGCGTATGGTAGGTCTCCCACGTGGAGAAGAACATGGGCAAGCACGGCACCAGCGCGGTGAACGCTCCAGGTCGGGTGGCGCCGAAGCCCATGGCGGCCGTCTCGAGCAGGCTGGCGAGCGTGCAGTTCAGGGAATCGATCCCGTGGCTGCAATGGAAAACTTGGTTAAAGCCCCTTCTGAGTATTTGCAGAGGTGGATCTTACTCAAAAAGTTCGCCCAGTGGGCTGGATGTCCCCGTGCGTCGTGCTTGCTTGCCGTCTATATTGTCCATCGTCGAGTAGCTAGATATCGAAAGTCAGACATAAGTCGTGCATGCCGGGAGGTCGATTCGCGGTCCACTCACAACCAAACGCCCGCAGCGAAGCTATAGTATAGCCATGGTGATGCCTACACCCCTCGCCAACCGTCAGCGACATTCTTCACCAGGGAACAGATCCAATCCACCGCACCGGTCCTATCAAATCCGGGATATACATCCCTAGCAATCCCACGTTGCCCAAGATGGCCATGAACCCCAACAGGGTCACCAGGTTCGGCGCCAGCCATAGCGGCAGCAGCTCGACGACGAAGTTCCACTACGCGGTTGTCAGGGGTCTGTTCGGTTTGTCTTAGGGAGCGGGGGGACGAACGTATGGTCGAAGGACGTAGTATGAGAACGGAGACTTGTCAACGCTGGTGTATTTATACTCGCGGAGGGGCGCCAGCGATTCGTCCGAGAGGGGGTCCCATTTCGCACGGCCTGAATTGGGAAAGGAGGAGTTAGCAGCTTGAGACTTAAGGTAGCAGTACTGTGCGGTCGAGCAAGCAAGGGCGGGGGGCAATGGACATACCGCGACTTGCGCGATCGGAGGAGGACATATCTGGAAGTGTCCTGTACGTCGGCAAGGGCAGGTCGGGGTGGGCGGCAGGACGGGAGGAGGAGGAGAACGGAAAGAAATCCGCGGATGAAAAGGGTAGAGCGGTCATACACGCTCCATCACGCGGGACGAACTGAGTGGACCTGACGGCGGGAAAATCTGAGGCGTGTGGGGAAGGAAGGGTAATATGGATTGCGGGTATGGAGTACGGAATATAGTGAAGGGGGGAGAATTAGGTAGGTAGAGCTGTCGTCTCTTCCCCTCAATCTGATGGGTGTGGAAGTTTGGCGAGTAGAAGTGGAGGGAAGTTGGCATGTGATGGGAAAAAGGACTGGCTGGTGGCTCCTGTTCCGTCCGAGTGCCAATTTCCCCGCAGTGGAAATTAGGAGTCAAGCTGTATAATACGGAATATAGAGTATAGGGAGATGTAAATCATATCCTGTGTGGAAGGATTCACAATGTGGTATTTTCACACAATTCAAGAACGGCACATGTGTGCATGTATATCCTCAGCATCTCCAGCATGAAGTAAAGAAGTATCATTCAATTTGCTTTTGAATCATATTACCGCGTCTAAGACAGACCCCCGAATTCCCAGGAATTTGAATGCTGAAACGGTCGACTCTTCGTCACGACAAGGAAACCGTGCGAACAATCAATTTTTGGCAAAGGAGAGGATTTTGGAGAAAAGTCCCCACCACGTCAATCCTACAGGGACCGTCCCACATGCATGGCGTTTCCGCCCCCATGGGGACCGAACGACAACCCAGAAACCACCCGGAACACAACGGTGCTCACACCTCGCAACCACCAACCAACATCCCATGAAAACCTTAACGAGTGGCGAAAGCCTTGGTGACAACGCGCTTCAAGGCCAGCTCCTTCCGTCGCAGCTCCTCGCCGCTGGCATCCTCGATCTCCAGCTGGGCCATGGCCTCGCTCAACGAGGACTCGATCTTTTCCTTCTGGCCGCGCTTCAGCTTGAGGGACATGCCCGGGTCGGAGATCATCTCCTCGACACGGCCGATGTACGACTCCAGCTGCTGCTTGGACTCGAACTTCTTGCTGAACTCCTCGTCCTTGGTCTTGAACTTGGCGGCGTCTGTGAGGGATTAGCATCGATATACATGTGGAGAGAATGAGGGGGGAAGGGACATACCGTTGACCATGCTCTCAATCTCCGCGGATGACAATTTGCCGACGGAGTTGGAAATGGTGATGTTGGCACTTCGGCCCGAGGTCTTCTCGGTGGCGGTGACCTTGAGGATACCGTTGACGTCGACTTCGAAGACGACCTCGAGCTGCGCCTCGCCCGCGCGCATCGGCGGGATCGGGGCCAGCGTGAACTCGCCCAACGAGGTGTTGTCCTCGCAGTTGACGCGCTCACCTTGGAACACGGGGAACTGGACGGTGGTCTGGCTGTCGGCGACGGTGGTGAAGGTGCGCTTCTTGATGGTCGGGACGGTCTGGCCACGGGCGACCACGGGGGCGAAGATGTTGCCCTCCATGGCGACACCGAGGGACAGCGGCACCACGTCGAGAAGAAGAAGATCCGCGGTATCGGCCGATTGAGCCTTTCCGGAGAGGATACCGGCCTGGACGGCGGCACCGTACGCGACGGCCTCGTCGGGGTTGATGCTCTTCTCGAGCTTCTTTCCGTTGAAGAAATCGCTGAGCAGCTTCTGTATCCGGGGAATACGGGTGGAGCCACCGACGAGGACGATCTCATCGACCTTGTTCTTTTCGATGCCGGAGTCCTTAATGACCTGCTCGACAGGCAGCAGAGTGCCGTTGAACGCCTTGGCGTTCAGCTCCTCGAAACGGGCACGGGTGATGGTGGCGTTGAAGTCCTCGCCGTCGAACAGCGAGTCAATCTCCACGGTGGTTTGCGTGCCGTTGGACAGGGTCCGCTTCGCGCGCTCACAGGCGGTTCTCAAACGTCGCAGAGCGCGAGCGTCACCGGAGATATCCTTCTTGGTCTTACGTTGGAACTCCTTCTTGAAATGGTCAAGGAGGTTGGTATCGAAATCTTGACCACCCAAATGGGTATCTCCGGCGGTCGCCTTGACGGTGAAGACGCCACCTTGGATGTGGAGCAGAGAGACATCGAACGTACCACCACCAAGATCGTAGATCATGACGTTACGCTCCTTCTCGGACTTGCCGGAGCCGAGACCGTAGGCGATAGCGGCAGCGGTGGGCTCGTTGATGATACGGAGGACGTTGAGACCAGCGATGGACCCGGCATCCTTGGTTGCCTGTCTCTGGTTGTCGTTGAAGTAGGCCGGGACGGTGACGACGGCCTTCTCGACCTTCTTGCCAAGCTTGGTCTCGGCAACTTCCTTCATCTGTTGGGGGTTAGCATAGCCGGGGGATATAGGGGATTTGCGAGGGAACGCACCTTGACCAAAACCATGGCGGAGATCTCCTGGGGAGAGAAAATCTTGGACTCTCCAAGATACTCGACCTGCACCATGGGGTTGCCACCCTGGTCGATAACCTTGAACGGCCACGACTCGATGTCCTTCTTGACGGTCTCGTCCTCGAAACGACGTCCGATCAAACGCCTTTCAATGATATGTAAGTACGGTGTGGATGGTTGCGCACGGAGGCAGGGTACTCACTTGACATCGAAGACGGTGTTCTCGGGGTTCATGGCAGCCTGATTCTTGGCCGCCTCACCGATCAATCGCTCTTCCGGGGTAAATGAGACGAAAGAGGGAGTGGTGAAGCTTCCCTGCTCGTTGGCGACTACGACAATTAGCGAATCCTTGGACGATGGATTTGCAGTTGCACTTACTGATCTCAACATTGTTGCCATCGTAATTGGCCACACAAGAGTAGGTGGTGCCTAGACATGGTCAGTCGGTGTGATATTCACGGTGCGACAGGGCACTCACCAAGATCGATGCCAATGGCACCATCAAAGACTTCGTCGCTCATATTGAGAGAGGGGATCAAGTGAGATGTAGTGGGTGGAGGGGAAGGGAGGGAGGATGGAGATGGGAGAAGGATTGAGAAAGATGAGAGTGAGTTGTAGAACGGAGGAGGAGGTGCACACTTTTTTTGGGCTTCGGTGTTGGAGAATTTCCGGGAGAATTTCCTGCGGGTGGAGGGTCTGGTAAGTGCAGTGAGTGTGGAGACGGGAGAGGCGAGGGTCGAGTGGCGCAGTTAGTCCCTTACACAACAGCGAGTGAACTACAATTCCTCTACCAAAACTTTCGGTTCGGTTCTGCGCTTCTGCGCTTCTGTTGTTCTGAGAACCCGACAGAAAAAACATGCAAGAGGCGATCCGAGCGTTGCCACTAAACTAATAAAGTGATAAGCAGATAAGGCTACCGTCAAGTCTTTCCTCTTTCTTGTTTACACTTTGCACTTTCCTCATTTCCTGTGGGCTGTGTGGTGTGTGGTGTGTGTATCTTTTCGTTCGGGCGGCACTCCTTACGGTGATCCATCGTCTACCATGGTCTCGGTACAGTACGTGTGTACTATGTACATTGTATAGAGTGTCAGCCAAAATACGACATGGATATTGATTTTTGAGCAAAAGTCCTGCATCACCACCCACACAGCCTAATTAGTAAAATACGGTGATTTCACGACTTGAAGCTCTAATTATGCGTATATAGCGATTTCATGGTGTTTTAGTGATCTATCTACCTAATACTTCGTATGCCCACCTTCCACGTCGATCACCGCCTGGATCCTGCGTGGCATAGACTCCACTAGCTTGATCAAAAGCTCTGGATTCGCGATCTGATCATACCGTTCGTGCGCCCATTCAACGACCTCCCATCTCTGGACCCGTGAAGGGCCCGTACGGAGGCAGAATTGGCGTGTGAAATCCGCCTTGGCGGGACTCCAGATATTCTCAGAGTAATTCAGATCCGGTGAAGCAGGCGAATGAGCCACTGTATTGATGCCGTTACGGATCCTCCATTTAGTAGCGAACTTCATATGCCCAGGAGCGTTATCCTCAAGCAACGCGACCTCCCCATATCGCTCCGTCATCACGTAAAAGGGCCAAAGGTGAGGCTCTAGGATCTCCGTAACGTAACCCGCGGAGTCCATTTTCACGCCTAGAGGGATCTCAAGCAACGGTGTATGGTGCTCGCCGCAGAAGGCCCCCCAAAAGGAGACGCCCTCACGACCACTGAAGCGCTCGTCGTGCACGCAATCAGGGTGATACTCCTCTCCAGGGCGCCGGAGCACCCGTTCGTTTAAGACCGCCGGATTGGTATCAATACGGAACTCGTCGCACGCGATGACACGCTCCCACTCATTGAATCCCCGATGCTGATTACCTTGCGCCATCGCGTGCCTGACCTTCTTCGCTCGTGGCGTTAACGCGGGTTTTTTCCGGGTCGACAGGATTTGAACCCAAGCTCTTTCGACGCCTCCGTGAACCGCCATTCGATCCAGCGCCCTGGCGTATCATTTTCCTGGTTCAAAAGGTCCGCGAGCTGTTCGTAATTCATTCGCCTTGTGTCTCGATTCCTCATAATCAGGGACTCAACGGAATCGAGCTCCGTTTTGGTGAAATTGGTGGTGGCGGGCCGCCCAGATCGTTTCCGCTTACACCCTGCATCTGCTCCGCCGTACTCATAATTAGCACGGATACGGGAGACTGTAGATTGATTGATGCCCAGGGCCCGTGCAAGATCCCTCTGCGAAATATTGGTTATTTCGGATAAGGTAAGGACCACAGTACGCTGGTGATGCGTAAGATCTCCGGATTGTTCTCCTACAATATCCGGAAATTCAGCCCATTTGATAAAGGGGCTATTCGGGTTGACGTGGAGATCACCAATTGGTTCTTGCGGCGTACGCGCAGCCATATTATTCGAGATAAGCGCTGAAGCGAGTAATTCAATTCGAAAGACTTTTAAATTCATAGAGAAAACAGTATACTTTAATAAGAAAAAGAATAAAGCTGTACAGGACGCCACCGTCGAATGAGGACCCTGTGATGCAAGGGTTTCAATCAGCTGATGCCGTATTTTGGCTGACACTCTGTACATACCTTAATACTCTGCAGCCACGTCCGCCACACCTCAGCCGAACTGTGCAGCACGTGAATCACGTTTCTATCATCTGCTATTCCGTAGTTACGTGCGGGTTTACTATATAGTAATTACTGCAAACCTCGTATGCGCGGCGTAACTCCCCATGTACTCCGTACGCGATCCATAATATAGTTTATTCCATGCCATCGTCTAGTTTGTTCGTTTCGTGCTATTTAGCTACAACCCAACTTCTTTCGTCTTTTGATAAACATATCCTTCTTCCGCGTTTTGTGTAACTAGATCTCGTTAGGGTTGAATAACATTTCATCGATTAGTCACGCTCTCCTCACGGCCTCACCCATAATCCACCCTTAACTTTTTGTTGTCCCCGCGTGAACCGCCAATCGCGAGTCGCGACGTCGCCCATATCACGATGCCCTCATCCCTCTCCGCTTCCCCCGAACCCATCGTCTTCCAATTCTCCTCTGACCCCGAAGACTCCCTCGTCAGCGACGATGACCCTTCCCCCCAACTCCTCGCACCTGAACCCGCCGTAACCGTTCCCGCGAAGCCGCCTACGTCCCAGCGCCCATCTCCCCACCACCGCCCACCGAACGGCCTGTGGTACTCCGTCTCCGAGGAGACATGGCAGAAAACATCCACCCTCCGAAAAGCAATCATCGAGAAAGTTCACGCCATCGAGAGCGACGAGTTGGGTGAGGACGCCAACCCGCCCTGCGAACGCTGCAGTGAGCGAGGCTTCCGATGCCGCACCTTCCAGTCCGACCGGGGCTTCACCGGGAAGATTTGCGCGCGGTGCAAGTTCGCGCACGCACGATGCAGTATGTACATCTAGGCATTCCGACGTTGATGGACCCGACTGACCGGCGACGCGACAGATTTGAGTGGAGGAGACTTCCGCGCGCGAGGGGGTCCCGGATCGAGTCTCTACCACCCCGACCTCCTCAACGGCCACAAGGGTAAAAAGGGCACAGTCAAGCGCCGTCACAGCGATGCAGATCGCCCATCCGCTCCGGACAAGAAGATGAGGGTGAGTACACTGCGCCGGAGATCAACCCAACCCATCTAACCCGCACAGTCGCAACCACAACCCGCAAAGCTTCCCACTACCGCACCACCCACACGCGAGGGCTATACCGCATCCTACCCCCCTTCCTCCACCAGCCCTCCCAACCCTCCCCACCAGCCCTCCGCCCCCCCCAAACCTCTCGGCTCCGCCCTCTCCTCCCTCTCCGCCGAAATCGCCGACACGGTCGGCAAAGCGATCGTCGACCAAGTGGCGACGCGGGTGGTCGAGGAACTCCTCCCTGACCTGCAGGTGCTCTACGACAAGCTGCGCGGCGTGGAGATGCGCCAGGTGCAGATGGAGCGCGACGGCAAGGCGGCGCGCGAGCAGGCGGCAGAGGTGATGCAGTTGATGAAGGAGGAGTTGCGGTTGGTTCGCGAGGAGATGGGCGCGGCGCGGACGGGGATGAGACCGTCGAGATTGAGCAATGCGTTTCCGCCGGACTTGAGGGACGGGGGTTAAATACCAATGGGGGGTTTGTTCTTACATATTTGTGCACGCGTCCTGGGCGCATATCTTACGACGTATCCGCATGATTCTATCTCTACATGGTACCCAGAGGCCAGGGGAAAAGGAAGTGTGGATCACATTTCATGACCACATGGAGAAGACCAGCGCACGAAGTTACGGAACCGGCAGGGATACAGCATGATCACATATCATTCCGGGGGTTGACATAGCTAGCCAATTCATCTTGACCGGTTGTATTCTAGAGGGCGGTGGACGGACTCAGACATCGACCGTGTCGGTCCATCCATTGTAGCCAACCATCGCATGACGCTCCACAGCGGCGTCGTTCCGCAATGGTATCATAATCCCGTGTGCAAGATGAGAAATGTAAAATAAACAACCCCCGAAACCGATGCAGAACTCCAGAAATGACCGTTTCTCCCCATTCGCCATACCCCCGCTGCGTTAAAACGAACCCCTAGCGACCGTCGTGCCCCACCCGCCTCATACGGTATTGTCATGAAACAACCAAGTCACGTCCCGCGGCCGCAGCTTATTCCGGCGCACGAACTCCTCGTCCCCCGGCGGCCGCTCGCCCTTGCTGTTCCCCGTCAACATGCTCTGCAGGCTCATGCACACGCTCTCGACGTTCTGCACAGGCGACCAGCCCGCGCGGTCCAGCAGGTCCAGGCAGATGTAGCCATTGGAGTAGACGTGCGGGTGCAGGGGGATGGGGTGCGTGGGGTCTTGCACGAAGACGACTTCGGGGGCTTCTAATGGGGGTTTAGAGTTATGGATTGGATTTCTAGATCGAAAAGGGAGGGGGAGAGCGAGGGGGAACAAGGGGGAGGGCGTCCTACCGATGGGATACTGCTTGCTAAAGCGGAACTTCAACCGGTACGTCTCGCCCTTGTACAGCGGATTATCGTCCAGCACCTGGATGTCCATCGTCCATTCCTCCAGGCTCTCGGCGTCGATCAGCGTGATTCCCGGCGGGGTGGTTTGGTGGAGCTTTGTATTCGGTCCGGTCAGCGCTTATCAACCTTAAGGGAACCGACGCAACGCAAGCACGGTGGGAGGGCGGAGGCTAACCTTCGTGAGCTCCTGGGAGGTGTTAGCACGTGTGGACGGATTGGAGGGGAGTGGGAAGTACCTTGCCCAGTCGTTTTGAGGCTAGTACCGACATATTGTGCCAGGAGAGTTGGGGGCGACAAAGTCTAAGGAAGAGGGGTAGATGATAGGGTGGGCGTGGGTATACGTCGAAAGAATCTGTCCTTGGAATAGTACCGGCGAATTCTAGGTCGAGCTGTTCAGATGGAAGGTATGATTGCTCGTGAGGTGAGCGCTTGCGAGCAGTCGTGCCTGTGGCAGAGGGTCAAACCGAAGCACTGAGGGGGTGAATGGTCCACGTTGTCAATAGGGACGAGGAAGAGGACAATGGGCAGGGTCTAAAACGAATATTGAAAGTATCCTCGAGGATCAATCTTGGCAGAGAATGAGTAGGAGAATGGATCAATGGAAGGCAAAACCCAAGGGACGGGAGCGTGTTATATGCAGAATTGACAGCCCCGCGGATATAGGTGGGATGGATAGGCAACCAGAGAGAGAGGGAGAGAGATTCATACGCCCGTCAGGCCTCTCGGCGAGGCCCATGCAGGGTGGCTATTTAAGCCGGATCGGCTTGTGTAAAACTGTATTTGGACCCTGAATTAACAGCTTGTAATTGACTCGGTTTGCAAGCCGGTACGAGCCAAACAGTCTTCACCTCTAGCCTACCATAACTTCTTGGTTTCTGATAATCAATTGCTCGCGATCCCATTCCTACTGTGAAAAAGTGGTGGCAAGAGGAAGCGATTCACAATACACTCAGATAGAATCAAAATAAAATAGGTTTCAGTAGAACTTACCTTTGTAAAGTCCGATCAAGTTGCCAATTGATATGGAATCACAATTTTCGCAGGCGACGTCGTCGCAGGCATCTTTCGATCAGGAGACCCCTTACCGGGACACATCACAGGAGGCCTCACAAGCGACCTCACAGGCGACTTCACAGGCTGAAAGTCCTCCAAAAACCGGTGTTACTGCGTCTACACAGAGAGAACTATACCGCTACGGCCTCATCCACCAAGCCCCTCTGTCGCGGAAGCGTCGTACCAGCTCCATATGGGACTGGGGGTTCCACGTCTACAGAATCGATGCTCCCCGTACGCCCCTCTGGGCCTGCAAGGTCTGCTGGAGATGGGCGGTATCTATAGATCAGCTAGCGATATACAAGGCCCTATCTACGAGCAACTCCCGTAGGCACCTCAAAGCTGCACACGGGCTGGTCGAAGGGCCACTAGGGCGTCTTATATCGCCGGGGGATCGGATAGAGAACCCGACAGGACGTCACGAAGGCCCCTTAGATCCTGAGATAGAGCTCGTTCGATGGGTCGTTATGGATACGATATCGTTTCGTCAAGCATCGTCTGTAGCGCATAACGATTTGATGGCTGCGATTAATGGTGGAAAACCGACATTGTCTCTTCGGAACCATTCTTCAATTAGTACGAGGATCGATGATGTATTCAAAGAATGCCGTCTTCTTGTTTCCCAAAGGATTTCGCAGAGTATAAGCAAGGTCTCTTTGTCGTATGACATCTGGACGTCTACGAACAAGTTACCATTCATTGGACTTCTCTGTCATTATATTTCCGATGAGGATACTATACGACAACGATCAGTCCTCCTAGCTCTACAGGAGATCCGGGGACTCCATACGGGCGTCAATATTGGCTCTGTGCTTCATCAGGCTATCCAGGACTATGGTATTACACACAGAATTGGGTATCTTATGTCGGATAACGCAGAAAACAACACCGCTTCGGTCAAAGAGCTTGGGAGACTTTTGGGCATCCCTTTGGTTGAAAAACGACTTCGTTGTATAGCGCATATCATTAACTTGATATGCCAAGAGCTCGTCAAAGTCTGTCCACGCATCGACCCGGAGATTGTAACGGAAAATACCGATACTATGCAAAATGGCAGACTCGATACTTTCGAAGACAATCCTCATGGTCAACCGGCGGAGCTTGATCTGGGATGTATTACACGACTCAGCGCAATCATTGCTTATATCGAAAAAAGCGCTCAACGCATGCAAGAATTCCAAAACATCCAGGAAGAGATTCTGGCGTCGGGCCACGCAGATCTTGAACAAAAACAGCCCCTCAGGCTAATCCGCGAGAATACGACGAGATGGAACGCGAGATATGACTCGATTAAGAGATCTTTCCTCTTACGTCGCTCAATCGAGCGATATTGTGATCAGGAAACGGACCTTACGGTCGACGCTCCGACTGAGGTAGAATGGAAGGTCCTGGCGACGATCCTCAAGATACTCGAGCCGATGAAAACGACCACGATGTCTGTCCAAGGAGATCCTGTTGATGGTGAGAAAGGCGGCCTTTTCCAGTCGTATCTAGCCATCTGTCTTATTATCCAAAAGCTAGGGCAGGCAACGAAGGATATCACGGAAAGCAACGTATTGCGGATATTGCTCAATCCGTTGGCACGGGCCCAAGCGAAAGCGATCAAATACAGGGCTAAAATAGAGGAGACAGACGTATATCGTCTTGCTTTGATTCTTCACCCCAGGTATAAAAGCCGCTTGTTGCGCTGTATCGATACGAGCTCCCCTTCGGTGGACGATGTTATACAGGACCTCCGCACAGAAGTGTCCAAGCGACGGGCAATGGATTCGGTCGCGCAGAATGCCGAATTTGCTAAAGGCAACCAAACGGACAATACCTTCAGGGAACTCCTGGATACATATGGCCCGCATGTTTCTCCTCCGGATACTACCGCTGTAGACGAGGTCTCTTGTTACCTCGCAGACAGTCTTATCTCTACAGAGACTCCTCTCGGATGGTGGCACAACAATCGTATACGCTACCCAGCGCTGTACTCTATCGCCCTGGACCTCTTCGCGACTCCTGCGTCTGCAGCAGGTATTGAGCGAATCTGGTCTATCTGTGGAAGGATCTTCGATGATGAGAGGTCGCGAATGAAGCCTTCTACAACGGAGAAGTTGGCCTGTTTGCGCGATTGGTTTGCGAATGAGATAATCTCAAGGAAAGATCTGGAGGATATGATGGACAAGAGAAGACGTAGTTGATTGAAGATGTACCTATTTTGTTGACTTGACCAATGCGATGAACTTACTGTACTATGCGATTTTGTATGAAGAGATACAAGGTGGAAACGAGCCAGGCCAAATCACTCAAAAGTGGAGACAACGCCGGAATGGCTTGTATTTGCCTAAATAGCCACCCTGAATACATCAATATGTATTATGTAATCGACTCGGCATTAATATTATCACGTGATGAATGTTTGACATACGACGCGCCTGTTCACGTTCCAGCCTCAATCCGTCGCTGTCCCGCATCTTCGTCTTTTGTCGCGTCAATTCCTCCAAAAGCGGCTCGGTCAAGATGCGTGGAGCTGCACTTTTCCCTTTCGTATTCTAGTGATGATATTGTTGCAGACCCCTCGATGTAGGAGCTCAATTGCCATTTCTCAATCACGTATATGACCGCGCATGTCTCCGACCGCATGCGCTCGTCCGTCCCCCTCAGTTTAACCCTCTCGAATGACCACCAACGCGCCAAATGAGGCCCCGACAGTATCCGACGATGGTGAATGGCTCCGTCCTACGATCCACACGCAATCATCTGACTTGATTTACAGACGTCATCCATCTCTTTCAGATTGTCCGCCGAGCCGACAAGAACTACGATCCGGAGATTGAAGAGGGAGCCACAGCAGCCCTCTATGCCGCCTTCAATCAATACACCGCAGATAACGCCGTCCACCTGGATGACGAGCCCCGATTTTTCGCCATCTTAGGACGCGTGGCTTCGGACGAGCTGCCCGACAGAAGGCTACTGGACCGCCTCAAAGATGCCCTCCAGGAACAGAGAGTCTCCATTGAGCTCGGCGCGTTGGACGAGTTCGATCAGGACGATGTTGTGGAAGGCGTCAGCCAATACCTGATCGAAGATGACGGCACCGACAGCCCACACTCTCCTCTGCGATCTTCCTCGCCCCATGCGACGTCCACATCGGATGATGAGCCGAGCGAGGATCCCCGTGTATTCGGAGATACCACGACCACATCCGACGGCCAAATGCCCCCATCAGACACCATTGGTCAAGGAGAATCTTGGGAGCTGGCTCTGCGGCCCATGCCTGAAAACCGAGACTCATCTGCAATGGTTCCGGCCCATATCCCATCTTTATCGATCGGCGAAGCGATCGCCTGGGCGGATGAATGCTACGACCGCAAGGTTCAGACCTATGCGCGACAGTGCCTGCAAAATTGGCATAACCGTACTTGGGACATTCTGCGTGTGGAGGACCAAGCCCGCGCGCACGATGGATACGTCCTTCTCCGGCAATCAATGGACACTTTGTCGCTGGCATGCAGGGGCATCAGGCAGAAGCGGTATTCGCTGCTTCATTTTGCGAAGCGCGTGGATCGCATCAATTCGCTGCTCGTGAAGGACAAGGCTTTCTCGCACTGGAAAAATACTACCACTATGGGTCGCGACAAGACGCAGTTAGCACGACGCCACATCCTTCGATACCGTTGCTTTGGTAGTTGGCTGAGTTTGACACTTGCCAGTGAACTCCTGCAGCAGAACTTCATTCGCAAGAACTTTCTCCTCAAGTGGCGGCACCGGTGGCTGACCCGGGAGCAAGAGGGCGTCCGCGCGATCGCTTGTCACCAGGACGCCGTGATGCGCCGATCCTTCAAATCGTGGGCCCTGGCAACCCGCGAACGTCAAGCATCACGAACGCTACCGTCCACTCAAAAACAGCGGATCTTCTATCAATGGGCCGACGCGGCGAGGAAGCGCCGATTGGCAACGACCTCGCAAATCAATCTTCACGAGAATAGCCGACGGGATCACCTATTCCGCCGGTGGTTGCAGCGAAGCGGGCAGCATCACGCATTGGAAGATACGGCGCAAGTGTGGAGACGAAGAAAACTACTTTCTGGGACCCTCACGATCCTGGAACGGGCCTCGCAACATCGCATCGCCTTCATACAAGCCTGTGAAGGGTCGAATCGACGACTTGCACGAACTACACTTAGTGTGTGGCATCTTCGGGCTACGCAAGAGGCTCAAGCCGCGCAGTTCTATCGTCGGAGGAAACTTCCAGTGATTTGGCAGCGTTTCCTCTCCGCCGTCATCTGCCGTGTATTTCCGACTCGTCTCAACTGGAGATTCGCAGCCGAGTCGTTGTACAAATGGCGCATGGCTTACTATGAGCGACTAACCGAACGAGAGTGTGAGGCAAGGCTCCGACGAGGCGTGTTCGGCATCTGGGTGGCGCGAAGGCAAGAGCGGGAGACTGATATACGACTCACGACTGAGGTGTTCGAGGACCGAAAGCGGAGGGTCTGGACGCGTGGGTGTCTAAACCGGATGCTGGCCGCGACTCGGGCTCGCCAACGAGACGACGAGACGGCCCAGACGGCCAATGCTCGACGATTGAGCAGAGCTGCCTTGGCAACCTGGCCGCACCAGGCGGGACGTTTGAGGGAGTTGCAAGAGATGGCACGGTTGGCGCAGTTCTTCCTTCTAGCGAAGTACGGGTTTCAAATGCTCGAGCGTGGGTTTACGCAAAGTCGCGAGCGGAGGCGGGAGGAGGGGTTCCGCCTCGTACAGAACCACAGCCGAGTCAGGATTCTTCGAGGTTCCTTTGGCCGATGGAGAGGTCGCGTTGCATTGCTGGAGCAAGGCGACCTAGAAGCCGAAGCCCGTGATGAAGATCGAGTGCTCGGTACCGCTGCTACCGCGATTACGGTGTGGGTGAATCGAACCAGGTCCGTGGTCGAGCAAGACGGGCGAGCCGTCACACATAGGCGACAGCATCTGCTGAAAGGAGCGTTTAGCGCACTCACTGTCAGGCATGGACAACTCCAAGAGCTGGAGCTACATGCCTCTGCATTCCATCTGGAACTGGCCGCAGCTAGCACCACCACATGCCTCCGACAGCTCAACTGGCGACTGTTCCAGCTTCGGCGGAACCACGAGAGTTCTATGGCGTTGCTCGTACGCAACACTGAGAAACACATGCGCAACATGCTACGATACTGGGCCGAACGAACCACGAATCGTCCGAGGCATCAAACCAGCGATACCAGCGGCCCGGGCGAGAATCCCTACACAGCAGACGCACCAGCCACCACAGTCGAAACCCTCCCCCTCGCCACTCCCGCCCGCTCCTCGGAAACGACCTCCACCCAGAAAGACTTCTCCATGTTCGACAACTCCGTCTTCAAAATCCGCGACCTCGACCTCCACCTCGACGCCTTCGACCGCGACGACCCCAAGCCACCGCCCGCCCCACCCTTCGACCCGCACCCCGACCCGCCCTCCGTTCCCGCCGGCACTCGGGATGTTAATCTCTTAGGAACAACCCCCGGCTACCTCCGCACCCCCTCGAAACGCAGCGCTGCGCGCGCGAAGACGCGGGAGCGGCTGCTCGAGCAATCGTCGCGAGTCCCTACGTCTACGCCTGCGGTGCGGGCGGACCCCGGACATGGGACACCGGCGGGGGGGGAAGGGACACCGTTCGTGACGCCGTTTGAGCGGAAGTTGCAGGCTGGGGGGTATCGAGCTGGGGGGTTGGCGGGGAAGAGTGGAGGGGGGAGAGGGAAGAAGGGGGGGGTGTCGTTTGCTGCGTTTGAGGATGTGGCGGAGGAGTGAGGTGACGTCCTGGATAGGGAGGGGGATGGTGTTGTGCTCGTTTGCAGGTGATTGTGTTTCGGGTGTTGGAGGTGTGCGGGACTATGGGTATTGAGATGGACAGTGGGCTATTGGATTGGAGTCACGTCTTGGATTCTGGTTTTGCACAGCGTTGCTCGCCTGACGTTGCTGGCGTCTGGGTTGTGGTTTGGTGGCATTGGATGTGTCAATCGGGCTTCATCCCGTGTCGATTATTGATCAAGATACCCCCTTTTCAGAGCTTTAAGATTCTAACGAAGCACATGAAATAAGCGTCATCAATTCCCCTCGGTCTGCAACCTCTTCTTACTTCTTTCGCGATTTCGAGTAATACGGACGGTCGGGTTTGCGTGTAATTGGTATTCAGTATGATCTCATCTGTATTACATGGAGGACGTTTTGCAGCTCTGGCACATGCATTTGATTATTGATACCCGCCATGAACCCTTGCAGACACTCTTGGTTTGTGTATTTCGGAATCCGGATCTGTTAGGTTGGAGGAACGTGTCAATTGAGATTTGAGATTTGAGACAACGGACCGTTTCACGCCTGACAGCGCATCGCAAGCAATATCATCAGACAACAACAAACACATCACAACTCCTTCAGTCCATGGGGATTTGAAAGCATTTTAGCAAAGCAACACGTCTCCTGGTTTGAAAAGGAGCAGGATCTGTGGCAGACGGGTTAAGAATGGATGTATTATTCATTACGAATCGGGTTCGAAGGCAGTTCACAGTTCATGCTAGCGCTACAGCTGGACAGTCAAGATATTCACATGGCAGCATCCTTTCTACAGATAATCCCCCGCGCCACGTGGTGGCAACAGGCAAAGCAGTCAGCAGCACTGTCCGCGGTCGCCACGCTGGCCTCCGATTCTCCGAAGATCATAGTAACCCAGTCCGACGGAAGCTGATCAGCGTCGCGTCACGCGTGCGAGTGGGGCAGAGAATAAGGGAATCGGGATGGCCGATGGATGTGATATTACCAACCATTCTCTGTAACATCCATCGAATTCTTCATGAGCGCCTCCGAACTCCAACGGACCAAAGACCTTAAACGGTGTGCGTAGTCGCTAGGTCAGGGATACTCTAAAAGGTCGTCGCCTAATATTGTCCCAGATGGGTCGTCGCCGAACGACTTGTCGACATCCTACCTTTCCTACTTACACGGTGGGCGGTGGGTGGTGGCTTTGATAAGACTACTAATATAAGACTCGAGAGAATAGCCTGTTGGATGAGGAGAGATTAGAGAAGGGTCGGGGGTGGTCGAGAGTGGGACATGATATTCAACAGACTTCACCTTGATACTGGAATCGTCCTACTGTCCGGCGCGGTTGGTCGTGGCCACGGTCAAGCGGTATTGGAATCAGGCAACGAGGAGGTACTGATTTGCTGAACGTTGATCTTTCCAAGCAAACGCGACTTGGTTGCTGCGATCCCCCGCCGCTGACATTTGTCGACCCCGGATCACGATAATTATACTGCTACTAAGTAAGCTTCGTTCCCCGTTCACAATTGGGCCGGAACTCCGAGGACCTCGACCTCGACCTCGACCTCGATCCCGAACCAATCGAAGTACCAAGCCATGGCGGTTGAGCAACGCAAGAGGTCGGGTCGCACCAAGTTCCAGGCTCCAGCCCCCTCTTTCAATATCGTGCACCCAGGCGAGCACAGCAAAGGGAGAAATGCATGAATGAAATATTTGCATTGCTAGCAGCGTGGATGGCGAGGAACACGGCATCGGGAGATGGACCGCGGCATGCACGAAACGGTGCCACCTGATTTATGGGATGATTGAAGGAGTGGTTTCTTGATCTCGTTTCACCGATTGGTGATTGCTTCTAGAGAGCTGGGAGTAATAACGGATTCGTACGGGTTAAATGGCCATAGGGTCATAGACAGAGGTGTCGAGGATAGGGTCCCAGAGGACAGAGACATTCTTCAGTCTTCGGGCGATCTCAACGCAGCTGTCCATATGGTACTTGTCACCTGTCAGATGCTGTGCGGTATAAATTCTTTCAGTTGTTTCAGACCAATGGTCGCACAACAGTTCTCAAACAACAAGCGGAGGCACCCCGAATCAAGTTTGCTGCACATTTCCGTTGGAAATTTCTCCGCCATTTGAATGAGGTATGTATGTACGGAATACTAAATAGGTATTTCCTCACGCGAGCGCTGGTGGGCCGATGGCTCCATTGCTAGATTTGCAAGCACTGGGAGCAACGAGCATGTCGATGCCCTGTCCTGCAGTGATGCGATTATCGCAGCATTTCTCGCCAATAATGCGCTCGAGTCTATCCAAGCATCGTCAATGTCGGCTCCATGTCCACAGTCCGCATGAGACCCCCATGTCGGATTTACAGTTTGCTGTACATTCGGGTTCTCTTAGCTTCACCGCCTACAGTAGTGGGCACATGATCCGAACAAGTACCTATTCGGTGGGTGCGAGTCCGTACCGCATCCTGTGATCGTGGCGAGGTTGGTATTCACCGGTGGTATTATGAACGACACTTGGGACGAACGTAGATGGACGAACTTAAATCTTTATAGAATGATTCCATACCGTACTAATATTCGAGTGGACAGCTCTGATCTCACTAGTACTTACCACTTATTGCTGCTCTATATGGATGATTTTCTCTGATACTGACGCCCCCGCAATCTGCCGCAGACTGGATGGACCTAAGACCGCTAGGATCATCAACCATGGCATCAGGCTCGGCAGTGATGATGAAAGTTGGACGCTGTTTGGCTGCCCAGCCTCTTCACCTGTTGGTCAAGGAACTATTATGCTGTCCAGCTGTACCTCCGTACTGCTGTTCCTATTCCCCTGGTAGTCTGGAATTATGTCCTATATGTACTACTATCGAGATTCAAGCGGCATGAATAAGTATGCGAAAGATAGCAGAGAGATGATTTGTGGGCTTCCCTGGCGCCAGCACCGGCCACCACTGACGCAAGGTAGTCCCACCGGCCCAAGAAGGATTACACTGAGCGTCTGGGCGGGTGATTTGCACGGAGGATCATTGAACGAGTAAACGAAAGAAACCCCGTCATCCATATCGCCATATCACCGCACCGGGTTCGCCCTCGCGGCCCCGCCGGCGCTTTGAGCGGACCCTTTCACAAGATTACTGCTGCCCTATCTCCAAGACCCCAAGACCCTCCCAATCTCCTAGATCAGGAATTCAGGATGCGAGGGAGCAAGGCAGCCCAACTCCCACCAGCACATGCATAGCGATCATCACCACAGGCATTATCATCCTTCTGTTAAGAATAACAGGTCTGCTTCATCCAATTCCCTTCAGCTCTCTGACACCGTCAAGTGACGAGTGACGAGCCCGCTATCTGTCGTCACTGCACCCTGTCCACGATATCAAGTTCCGTTGCTTGGTCTCTCTGCCGCACCCCACTCCCACGTTTCTCTCCCGGTTGACCCTCTCTCATTTCCTTTCTCACTTCTACATTTCCTGTTCATCCTTTATATCCGTCGTCGTCGTTCCCATTCGTTTCGTCTCTGCATCCACCCGCCCAACGTCGCCCGATCCCCTCGAGTATCCTTATCCGCCCTCCTGGTTGCTGGCCCTCGGTGCCCCTCTATCCTTGACAGGTTGATAGGTTCTATCCGCCACCTCGAACCTCTCAAAAGTCGGAACCAGAACTCGACATGGTGCAGCCCATCGACTCGTACGCTAAATCCCCAAGGTCAAGGCGATACCGACCTTGACGTTCCGAGTCCTCCTCTCCCATTTTTACCGAAACCGTTCCCATTACGACCGCGGCGATATCTGAAAAGACGGCTCCCACCTCGACCGATTGCGCGCTCACCCCTCTACGGAGGCGGTGAGCAACGACCTTGCGATTGAGCGAACAGCGTGTGTGCGTTCAATCACCGTCATGTTGGTCTCGCGAGGTCCCTTCAGCGATGCTCCCCCTGAGGCACAGTCAAGGGTCGACCGCAATCCAACCCTCCTCTACTCATGGTTCTGTATGTAAATCCCCAGGCCTATGCGGATCCAGTTGGGTCCGCTACATCATAGTAGAACAGATGCTTATGATTTCGTGCAATAGGCACCATCTTCGCCATCACCATCGTGGTGTTCCGTGTGGCCGGTCGCCTGATCAGAAACAACCGCATGTTCCGCGAAGACACGATCATGACCTTGAGCTTGATCCCGCTGCTGATCCGGATGGCTTTCGTCCATGTGGTCCTCGTGTACGACACGAACAATGCCCAGACAGTTGGCTTGAGTGAAGAAGATACCTATCGACGGTCAATTGGCTCGCGAATGGTTCTGGGGTCAAGGATATTCTATGCGCTTTTGTGAGTTTCACCCAAAGTTTATGCGCCGCGCCAGACCATGCAAGGCAGACTTCAATGAGGAATCCATAGCTGACGAGCCATCAGTATTTGGACAGCCAAGTTCACCGTGTCCGAATTCCTCAAACGCATGACATCGACCATCTGGAAGAAATCTTACGAGCGTATCTTGCACAGTATTCGGATCTTTCTGGTCGCCACCTTCTTCATCGTCATTATTGCAACTCTAGCCGAATGCCAGCCATTCACCCACTACTGGCAAGTCATTCCAGATCCCGGCCCTCGATGTCGCCAGGGCTACGCACAACTCATCACTATGGGTGTCTGCGATATGATCACCGATATCGTCCTCGTCGTGTTCCCAATTCCCCTCATTATCAAATCCCGCATGCCGCTGAAGCGCAAGATCTCCCTCGTCATCTTGTTCTCCATGTCCATCATTCTCATCGCAATCACCGCCTACCGCATCCCCGCCGTCATCCGCCACAACGGCCGTCAGCAATATCGAACCGTCTGGGCCAGCTCGGAGATTGTCGCCGCCGCCGCCATTTCGAACGCCGTGGTGCTCGGCTCCTTCCTGCGCGACCGCGGCGTGAAGAAGACCAAGTACAAGTTCGGATCCGCATCCGAGTCCGCCGAGACGCGCCGTCGATCCGTACGTCAAAGTACCATCACCCACAGGCAATGGGGCAGCGATGAAGATCTCGTTGCCGGCTTGGGAGGCTACCGTCTTCCGGAGGAGCTACATGATTCTCATTTTGTCCCTCACGCTCCATCTGTCGCCTCCCCTGCCCAACCACCCCCCACGACCTCTGGACCATTCAAAAGTTGGAATTACCATAATGCCCAGTCAAACCGGGAGTCGGACGATAGCGTCGATCTGAAAGCATCCATGCACTCACCTGTAGATCCCAACCATTCGGACCCCACCGCCCGTCCGCTCCTCGATCTGACGTCCCCATCCGAACGAACCCGCCAACCCTCCTTCTTCGACGTCGGCGGCCTCCTCGACACCGGTCCCGAGCCCTCTCGCTCCCGCAGAACCAGCCACACCTCCCCCATCGCGCACGACTTCGCCCTCGGCAAGAAACCCTCCTCCCGTGCCCTCCTCGACCTCGGCGGCCTCCTCAACAAATATCCCCCCACCGCCTCCGCCTCTCACTCTAGCATCGAACTGGCTAATCGCCCTAAATCCGACAAACGCGCCAATCGGTCTCTCAGCCGCAGCCGGAGCCGAAGTCAGGGCGCGAGTCGAAGGCTCGCGGGCGGGAAGCATAGGGATGCCAGCCAGGACGAACCGGTGCCACCGAGCGGGATCCCACATCCGACGCTCCGGCGGGAGGCGACGGTGCGAGACCTGCAGGATGTGGGGGGCTTGTTGGATGGGGGCGAAACCGGGGAGTCCTCTACAGTGCCTCCGAATCATCATGCGCGCACGAACGCGCAATAATGGGGATGAATCATTTACGGAATACACGGGTCACGAAATGGGTTATGACGTTTGGGAATCATGGACAGCGTTTGATTTTTTTTGGCTCGGTTGGTTTTGTGGATGGCTCGATACCCCCTTTTTTATGCGCGATGCTCGTGGACGTTTTTCGTTCCTCTTGTGGTTTAACATAATGCTTTTATATCCATCGATACGTGGAATGGGCGCCATTCTCGTCGCGTTTGGTTTTCAATGCCTCGCAGACGTCATGTGGAGGACGCTGGGTTGGATATGCCTCCGGCCTAATAAGATTCGAACTGCCGCGCTATCAATGCAATACCTTTGCGTGGAAGAGATTGCGAATACCCTCCTACAACCTGGTACTAGTAGTTGGACCTACGAGGTCCATCGAAGATAGTTACCTTGGCTTGTCGCCCAAACTGTAGTCCGAATGTCCCGTAGACCGTAGTACTCCCAGAATATGTCAGTATTCCTTAAGAGGCAAGTCTCGAACCAAGAGGTGGTGTAGATGAAGCGCGAGATGGGATCTATTCTAACTACAACGTGTATCAATACCGATTGCCGTGTGGTCGAAATATTGCCTTTGCGTTGGGGAGATACGATACTTGTAGTTGGCTGGAATTCATCTTGAGGTACCCTGATCCAGACTCCACTACATCAACAATACCCATCTAGCCAAAGATGCACGATATACCATTTGATTCAATTCTATTCAATTCGTCTAAGGGCGAGACACATTGTATCTCGGCGGGTATAAATTCGACCCGATCTTTTCGTAATATACGCGTGCCATGGTATTTAAATATATTGACCCTCCTATGCAAATGATTTCGGGCAACTGAACATCAAACACAACCCCAAACACGCTTTAATCATTTGGTGATTAGATTTATCTACAACCGCAATCTCATACTTCTCTACTAGATGACATCCATCCCGACGTCAAGCAACAGCGCTCACCAGACTCTCACGTCCATCCAGGCCACCCTTGACTCAGCCCTACCCGAGGATCCTTCAACCGGCTACTCACCATCCGATACGATCCAGGTATGCGGTCCTGCCGTGCTTTCAGCGCTCCCCATCGCGCCAGAGGCAGTGACGCGGCTCGCTCACGCCAAGCTGCACGCATTTCGATTCGATCAGGTGCCGGAGGGATGGCGGCGAGCCTACGTCGAGGGACTGCTCTGGGAGGTCAAAAAGCTCGTTGGTAACGCTATTAAAAATGGAGAGAGCGGTGCGGAGGTGGAGGGGTGGTTGAACGAAATAATCACAAAGTTGGATCGCGGTAGGATCATTGCTGGCGCATGTGGACGGGAAGAGCTGGTGAGGGGGGTGATGGAGAGGCTCGAGGTTGACTACGGAAGCAATTCTACATTATCGATTGAGGCATCATTTGCAATGGACGGTGCTCGATCGAACGAGCCTTCAGATCATGCTGCAAAGCGACGGAAGCTGACATCTCCATCATCATCCCTTCAGCCGCTCAATTCATCACCGAACCCCCCCCTCTCCTTTTCACCCACCCAAATTCCCGGTCCACCCATCCACAAACCCATCCCCCACAGCATCGACATGGACTTCATGTCCTTCCAAAGCCACCTCGACCGCCATGGCAGCCCGCTCATCATCTCCAACCACATCTCGCACTGGCCTGCCTTCTCCGATCCTAACAGGCGGTGGGGCGACCCCAGATACTGGTGGAAGCGGACCATTGGGGGACGGAGGTTGGTCCCGGTGGAGATCGGGAAGAGCTATACTGAAGAGGGGTGGGGTCAGAAGTTGGTGCCGTTCGGCGAGTTTATGGGCCGGCTGATGGGTGCAAGGACGGTCGGACGCGGGTCGATGGGGGGAGAGGGTGGCCGGGGGCAATGCGCCATAGGGGAAGCGGGCATGCAGGGAGTCGGAGAAGATGAAGCACAAGTCTGGTACCTCGCGCAGCATGATCTTCTCAACCAGATACCGGCACTCAGGAACGACATTGCCGTCCCCGACTTCTGCTACTGTACGCCTCCATCTCCACCGCATTATAGGCAAGGTGACGACGCGAAGAATGGGAAGAATACGGACCAGTCACCAAGCGGTAACCCAGAGCGGGACTCCACCTCCCCAGAGCCGCCATCGGATCCGATGCTTAATATGTGGCTTGGACCGGCCAACACCATCTCCCCGCTTCATACGGACCCGCACCACAACATCTTGTGCCAGGTGGTTGGGAGCAAGTACGTTCGACTGTACTCCCCGGGACATTCTCAAGCCCTATACCCTCGAGGACTGGGCGAGGACGGGGTGAATATGGACAATACGAGCCGTGTGGATCTCGATGAGTTCATCGAGCTGTTCGAAAGGCAGAACGAAGACACAGCCGATGAAGTTGCGGAAGAGAAAAAGAGCGATGAAGATTGTCTCACTGACGATGGCTTCGATGACGTCGACTGGCTCTTGGAAGCAAGAAGGGAGGCGCGGCGAGAGTTTCGGGGGAAATACCCTGGATTCCCCGGGACGCCGTACGTCGAGGGCATTATAGAAGAAGGGGATTGCCTGTATATTCCACAGGGGTGGTGGCATTATGTCCAAAGTCTCAGCGTCAGTGCGAGCGTGAGCTTCTGGTGGGACTGAGGGTTCGAGAAGTTCGCTGGAGAGTGCCATGGCACGCTGATGGTATGGCAAATGTATAGATCGGAATCATTGAGGCGCCGAGAAGTATTTCGAATTAGATTAATGTAGATTCCACGGACATGCATCTCCATTCCCCTTCGCGATCGTGATGCATGCCCGCCCAAGCCTGTCATTGCTGGAGGTATTTATCGTAACGCCTGAATAGATGAAAACCGGACCGTCACAAGAGCAACTCCTCCAACCTAACCGTTACCACCGAAGAAAAAACCGTCGAACAAATCCAATTGGCCATTACCGCCCGCCCCATCGTTGAAATTGGCATCGAATCCCCCCATTCCGAATCCAAGGTCCAAGGGACCCATCCCGTTCGACTCCTCGTTGCTCAGTGGGTATGCATCGATGAACTCTAGTTCCGGCAGAGTGGTGAAAGGGCCGGTATATGGGACCTGTTGCTGCTGATAGGGTCCACCATCCTGACCCAGAGTCATCTCGTAGGGCGACCGTGGCTGGTGAGGATGTTGCGCAAGCGCCTGCGTGGGGGAGAGTTCGTACGGGCTGGTCCCGGGGAATGTCGGCGGGGCATGCGAGACTAACGAATCGGACGAGGTAAGCGTCGGACCTGGTTGATGTGGGGGGATGTTCGGATTGGGGGGGTTCATGGGGCGGGAGAGGGCTTGGGAGATGCGGCGGAACGAACGGTCACTGATCTCGTCCTCGGTGAAGAGGTCGCGGAAGTCGTAGTCGAACTTCGGGAGACTGCGGTTGGGCAAGGTGTCTGGCGAGGTCTGAATTACTGATGTGGGTGAGCTCAGCGTCCTCGACGGTTCGGAGAGTGGCGTTTGGCTCGACGGATTGAAATTGGGCCGAGGCCTCTTGGCGTTATTGGGGGGACCGAATCCGGTGGTCGATAGACACATCTGGATCGTGGCTTTGCTCATGCGGTCGAATGCATCGCGACATGCTTCAGCGGGTGGGCATTTCTCGATGAGATCGCCCAATACGGAGGTGGCGGCGAGGACTGTGAAATCCACATCGTCAAGCGTCTGCAGGGATAAATTAGTTGGGGACCAGAGCGGATCCAAGTTCCCTTTACGTACCAAATGTTGCCGCACTATCGTGGAGTGCCAAATCGCGTATAGGAAGGAGATACCTATAGTCCTTGTTAGAGAATTCCCCTGTAGTACCGGTCGTGACGCGAAGTGCGACACGATCACGTCTCTTTCTTTGTCCGGGATCCCACAACCCTGACGATCTAGGGGGGTTGCTTTTGACCAAGCGTAGGGTGGAGGGTGAACACATACCAGCCATGAACAGATGATGCGTTGCAAGATACGTGTAGCTGACCAAATGAACGCGATGCAACTGCCGATAAATCTTAAGGACCTTCTGCCCGGCCTGCGCCACCGTCAGATACACGTGTTCCTCATCCTCTAGATCCTCTACGCTAGCGATGCTCGGGCTATGGACGTCGTTCGGCGCAGACGCCAGGTCATTGGCGAGGTGCGCGGGAACCACTAGACTTTGACGATAGAGCATGATGAGGGCCTGCCAATAGTTGAGCTCCAGAAACAGCGGCGAGAACTGCACGCCAGTGTCGATCTGCGTGGGCGCCGACTCCTTCCACTCGAGCAACCGGCGGTCCACGTCGGAACGCCAGGACTTGAAGGAATAGAAGCCCTCCAGGAACGGGGACGGTAGTTTGGTGTGCATGAACTCGTTGCTCTGGTTGACGCCGCTGGAGCGGGCCTGCTGCGCTTGCTGATACTGCAACACCTGCAAGATTTCGGACTGCAGCAGACGCAGTCGGAAATAATGATGACTGACCCGCTTGTAGCTGGGCGTCTCCGAGCCCCCGGGCGGAGCGAGAAACCCGTCCGGAGTGATATATCGGTCATCCAGGAGGGAGGGGAACTCGGTCGTCACCACCTGGTCGGTGATGCCAAAGGGGCGGCCGACGCAGGTCGACACCAACCGGTCGAATGCGTAGACACACCACCACAACCGTCTTCGCAAGTCCCGCAGCCACTGCCGCCGCCCCCCTTTCATCCCGGAACTGGTCCCCCTCATGGAGACATCCAGATCCCTCGCGACCCTGGCGTCCGCACCCTCATCACCGGGCGGATCCTCGAAGTGGAGTCCCAAGTCGACACCCAGGCGCATGGCCACGCCGCAGATGTACCATAGGCCCGGCGCGATGGGTCGGAGCAACGCGAACCCTGCCAACAGGAGCACAGCTTGCAGTTCCTCCAATCCGCCGCCGATTCCTTCCGGTCGATCCGTCGACGGGGACGAGCCGAGGAACGCTTCCAGATGCACAATGGCCGACGCGTGGTACTCTTCCGGCTGATGCTGCTGGCTCGAGATGCGGCGGCGCTTTCGCGACGGTGGGGAATGCGGTGGCTGCATGGAGGTGGGCTGATCCGGCAGGGGCGGGGTGTCGGAATCGGACGAATGGGCGAGAATCGTGCCGGAGCCGATGGCGCACACGATGTTGAGCATGTAAAGGTCGCGCGGCGACCGGTCCCGTTCCTCGCTTGCATACAGCGTGTTCAACATGGCCATGAACTCGCCACGATGCAGGATGGGGATCTGCGGATTCGCGTGCTCGAAGTATATCTCGACTAACCGGGTCGCAATGTCCCGATCAGGGAACGGCGCGGGCTTGATGGTGGGCCTCGTATGCAGCCCGAAGAACGAATCTCGCATGGAGGCAGTACCTGCTGCTACCGGAGCTGCGGATGACATCGCGCGGCCGGCGCGGACGCTGCCGCGGTCGGATGAGGAGCCTGTCACCGAGCTCTTTACTGCGGCGAAAACGACGCGGGCGAAGGAGATGCCAGAGGTGGACCCCAGGTATCGCGGATCGGATGCCCCTTGCACGGACACCATGCCGATGTTATCTACTAGCTTGTTGAGCTTCTCCTGGTCGTACTGCCCGTCTGGGTTTGCATCCTCCGACTTCCCTGGGACTGCCCCCGAGGAAGTCACCTGGCCGTTGGGAGATTCGTTCGAGGGTTTCTGGCCGGGTTTAAAGGAGAGGGCAAATTGCTCCGGGGGCGTGAATTCGACGCGATTGTCTCGTAACAACCCCTCCAGGTACGCGACCCGAGTTTCGAGGTAGTAGACATATCTGTACGCATGTCCAAAGGTCAGCCGACATCTCCTGAGTATCGAGACGGCACGCGTCACAGCGGGATGTCACTGACGAGCGAGGGATCTCTCTCTTGGTGATGGGGTCAAAGCCCACACACTTCACCCGCGCCTTCTCGCACGCCGAGCAGGCCGGCAAGCGGAGGTCGCAGCGGTGCTTACGCAACCGGCAGCGATTGCAGGCGCTGACATTGCGGAAGGATGACGCACTGGAGGCGGCGGTGGGGGATGCCGCCGCTTTGGCAGGTGGATGACTCGGTGCGCTGGGAGCCCCCAAGACAGCGTCATCCTCCGGGAACTCTCGTTTCACTCCTTTGAGCATTGCTCAGGTCTTCTCCCGTCGCCGAGGCACCAGGCCATGCACCGGCACCGGTCGGCAAGGCCAGAAGGACGCGAAACCGCCGGAGGGAGGCGAGGGAACAATAAGGAGATTGCTCCGGTATGCTGCGTCAGGGACTCGGGATCAACCAGGCTGGGAGATTAATCTGGGACGCTGCACGGGGGCGCTGCAACGGTATAGCGCGGAAGTGCGGTACGGCGGGAGAGGGACGCGGTCCGACGCACCGAATCTGTGATATCGGGAGACTGGATGGTAGCTTCGAAGTTCTGACGGGTTCAAGATCGCAGGGTACATCGGGGCGAAGTGGCTTCAGGAGGAATCAATCTACGGTACGATCCAGAGGCCAAGCATTCGTATCTGCGTTCGACCTTTGGGGGACAAAGATAGGAGTTAGGGTAAGACGGGCTGTATGGATAAGTAGTCGGAGCAAAAGCAAAAAGACGAGATGGTGCGGGGACGGAAATGGCGGGTGTCGAATAGGCGTTGGAGTAGCTGCAACCGCGCGGGTAGAGCCGGTGAAATAGGCGCCTTTGCCGCCCCTCGCTCCCATTCGACTGCCGCCATTTCCGCTCCACTGTCACCGTCACTCATTCTACTGCCAACTTCTGCCGATATACAGGTATTCCGAAAAATATCCCGCGTGTGGCTTTCGTCTGTGATATGTCTGAATGTGGACTGTGAAGGGACGGTTGTCTTAGATCTATCACACAGGACGCTACTTCGATGCACCAGGACTCAGGAGTGCATATGCCGATACCGAAAACGTTGAGATGGATGAATGGACTGATTGAAACAAGTCTCCGACCTGCAGACCACGTTGTGGGACCGTTGCAACGCATCAGATGAAGTCGAGGTTTCCGAGGACCTGAAATAAGAAACAAAACTGGTTCGTGCGCTAAATACTAGAATTCCATATAATCCGCACGTTAAACGATTCCAACGTCGCCTCGACTCCATGTCGTCCGTAGTATAATGCCTCTGGAGCGGTCCCCTCTTACCCTTTCCCTGTGGCACCATGATGCCAACCCGATGCGTTTGATTCCCGCCAATGTGGTTCCCTTTCTGCGCCCTAAAATCATGCCTGCTGGGGTGGTATCGAAACCCGTGAAAAAAAAGACGCCTCTATACGAAATAACTCCGTCCCCCGAATCGAAAAGATGCCGTTGTGTAACGGCGAAATAAGTCCGTCAATAGAAATCCAGTTCGTGGGTCGTCCATACTCCTCCCTGCGCCGATCTATGTCCATCGTCGATGTCGCCCTCCCCCGGTTAGCGAGGTCCATCGTCTTTCTCAGGCGACACACGGTGGGAGGATCGCGAAATAGAGGAGTGCGAGCCAAGGAACGGCGCCGACAGTGGTCGTTCGATGTCCGGATCCTCTTCCATCGGCCGGTCCATCACTGTGCTGGCCTTCGTTCGGCGCATCCACAGCGTCTCCACTCCGCCGCAGATGGAGATGAACGCGAGCAGCCACCACGCCAGACCCGAATAGCCCAACCGCGACCCCGCGCTGTGCACCACGCCCGACACGATCGGCCCGATGCCGCGGCTGAGGCTGGCCGCGGACATAGAGATGCCCAGGAGCGTGCCCCGCAGTCGGCGGTCACCCGTTTCGGAAAGCATGACGTTGAGCGAGGGGAACGTGCATGCTTGGGCGCACACTTTCCAGACGAGGACGAGAAGGATACCCGGTCCGTGGAGGAAGGATGGAAGGAGAGCCAGGTACGGGATGCCGAAGTACAGGATCGGGTAGGAGAAGACAGCGCCCTGGAAGACGCGGAGGCAGCCGAATCGATTGCTTAACCGCGGGTAGGCGACGAGTTGGGCGATTATTTGGAGTACTCCCTGAGCGGAGACGATCCAGCCGATCGATGTCTCGGACAGGCCGAACCCCGTGTCGAACTTGAACGGAAGCTGCGGTGTAGTTCGGGAGGGTTGCTCGGCGAACAGAACCGGGAGAAGCTGCTCAAAGCAAATGGTATGGCTGTAGTCTGTTAGCCTTCGTATCTGGATATCGCGTCAAGGCACTCACAATGCGAGAATGAAGATCGCGGCGATATTGAGAAGGACCTGTTTGGTCAAAGCTCGAAGTAAGGGGGGCGTCTTCGGCCGCAGCGGTTCGCAATTTTCCGGGCTGGTTCGTCCCGACGGGGAAGAAGGCAGCGAAATCAGGGTGGGTAGCGAATCGGTGGATGGGCAGGCCGGCGCTCCATCCTGCAAAAATCGCATCGTCTCTTCCTCGTTCAGCCGAATTTCGCGACCTTGGCCGAAGCACCGCAGAAGGGCATCGCCGCACTCCACACCCCTGTCCCGTCCATGACGCTTCTCCTCGTGCGTCTCCTCGAGGAACAGAAATCCCACCGACAGCGAGAAGAGCACCACTCCAGTGCAGAATACATTAGGTAGCAAGTAAGGGAATCGTACGAAGATGGAGTCGGCCGAGAACCATGACGGATGGTTCTTTCCTGGATCGGCCAAGGATCCTCCGATGATGCCTCCAATAATGGACCTGACAGTAGTCAGCTCATGTAACTGTTGGCATTTTTGGATATTGCCTTACCCAATGCACCACACTGACGGCATAATGGAATACCCAAGGGCTATCATGAACGGTTAGCAAACTTTCCGGATTTGTTGGATAGTGAACCTACCGATATGCTCCGGAGCCGTGACAATCTCCGAGACAGTGGTTTGGATCACACCGATGTTCCTGATATAATTAGGCAGATGTCATACAACAATGTTCTGCATTCTTACCCATTGAGGAGACCACCAAGTATCCGCGCCACCAATGCCACCCATATCGATGGGGCTAATCCGAACAGCAGCATGCTAAGCCCCGTTCCAAACATCCCCATCAGCAGGACCGGCTTCCGGCCGATGCGATCGCTCATCCGCCCCCACACCATGGCCGCGACAAATTCGGCAAACGCAAACGCCGCGGTGACGAGACCGGTGTAGGTGGCGATCTCGTTTTCATTCTCGGTGATGCTGAACCATTTGACCATGAAGAAGATGTAGGGGAAGATGGACATGAAGGCGATGGGCTCGCATAACCGACACAATGCTGGGGAAGCGGGTTAGCCCAATGTTCTGTAAATCGGCGCAAAGGTTGGACAATGGTCGCTCACCCAGTACTCCCAACTGCCTCCATGGGAAGGGTTGGTGCCCTTTCTCCGATGATGTAGCTGGCGACTCCGGTCTCCAGAAGACCAATCTTGCGCTCGACATGATGACTGGCGAGAGCGAGAGATCGGATGGGACTCCCAGAAAAAATTTATCCGTGGACGCAAGCCAAAATGGTAACGATGAAGGCGACTCTATGGACTCATGACGCGGGAGAGGGTCACAAAGGGAATTTAAAGACAAAAGAGGCAATCCACGTCAGAGCCGTCATGGGACACAGAAGGATCGTGTTAAAAGAAGGATTGGAAGCACGACAGTCGGGTAGGGGTGCAGGACGATACGGTGAAGGTGAATAGTGGCCATGATATAGCGAGCAGGCGCACAACATACCTGTACCGTCCGGTTGGCATGGGAAGGGCAAGACCAAGCCGCAAGACCCCATCCTCCAGTTTTTATTTTATTACCTGGGCTTGGTGTTCACCAATGCGCTCCGCTCGGCGCCAAAATACAAATCAAACACACGTCTCTTTCGGCATTTAGCCTGTAATTACCGTTCCATATTGTCGCCCGTGGGCAACAGCCCGACATGTCGTGGACGGTTCCAGGTGATCATTCCCTTCTTCCCCGGGCGACGCACCCCTGACATGACCAGGGAAAAGGGCCGTCGTTCGGGATCCATGTCAGAATCTTGGTCCATTCAAGTCATTCCAGTCGCCGTAGTCAAGGCGGCCGGTGGAGCCAGTGGGACGGGTAAGGCGGGACGAGGAGACGGTCTCAACTCCCACGCGAGGCTTTTAATGGAGGGACCTGGAGGGAAGAAGGGGAATAAGGTGAAGTAGCCAGTGACGAATGGGAATGTCGGGGGAAATGTCATCACTCACTCTAGCTGGATAAGTTCAAATGCTATGGCGGCTGCGGCAGAAGTCGACCAGGGCCAGGGGGATGAAGAGCAACGTACGAGGCTTGCTACTTGCATGGCCTGGGCCTTACCATAATTACCGCTACATATCGAATTGTAATTTGTACCATACGGTAACTTGTAGTAATAGCCCGTTTGAGAACTCGAAATGAAAAATTGGTTGGAAATGTTCCGCATGGATACTGCGGATGTCCTGTGATTCTGCTGGAAGAGAAAGACTGGGACCCAGAGCCACACCAGTGTCCCAGCCTAGCCCAGCCATCATGAGCCAAGTGCTGCGCGCCGCCTGCGCCGCTGTCACTGTCACGGTCACACTGTCACTGCCGCTAACATCGATGGTGGTAATCCTCCTTGTTAGTACGAAGCAGATGAAGATCGGAAGTTCGTAATTTTGCCCCTAGCTAAGCGTAAGATGCGCACTTCCGGTAGCGTGAGTATTGGGTTGTTAGTTTGTTCCTCTCATGTATGATACAGATAGGCGATGGGCTTCCTCACCTCTGGCTGGTCCGAATGCAGCTGCAGCTCAGGTCAACATGTTCCGCTATGAATCATCAGTACATATGCGCCATACGGCCTCCAATTCCTCACCAGGGAAAAAAATATTAAAAAAAAGGCCTACAAGGCAAACGAGGCATCTTGTATTCCCGAATCCTGATATATGTAGCCTGGAGGATGAAGTGTCATGTCATGTTTAGTGGGTGAGTTGCAGGTGTGTAGTGTTATGGTCAGGGTCTGGTGTGGAGTGGCAGCCTTACAGCCTTGCCGTCTGGCAGCACCGAGAACAAGGGAAAGGGACCAATGTCCGCCTGTCGGCTGGTGGGAAGCTTCCCCTTACCGTGGCGCTGGGAGACGCCAATCGACGCCCCATGCTGCCATGACCGGGGCCCTTTGGCACTCTCCACTCTCCACTCTCTATGACTTCACCTGATCACCTCTCCATCGGCCATCACCACCCCAGCCTTCCCCTTAACCTATCTCCAACTCAATTAGGTACGGACTATCGTATTGCCGAGTATCTTAGTGAAGATTGACTTGTCTGACTCGATACCCAGCAGTACCATAAATACCAACTAGGTACCTAATTCTAATTTGAATAAGCCCTCGTTTCAATTTCCAACTCAATGCCCTGTTAAAGTTTAGTTGCCTGTGCAGCTGCGTCATAACTATATTATCAAGTGACCTATCAACTATCAATCTAGCCAATCATTGGGCTTCATTCTATAAATTTTTCCACAAGGCAGCGGACCACTAGTAGCTAGATTGCCAGGCGCCCAGCAGTATTCCGTGTGCCGTTCTCCCCGTGCGCAGATGGTCCTGATGACCTGAATCCTGATCATATTAAGCTGTTCAAATGGGCAAAGTGTACCTCTCAACGGAGCCGGATTGATGCCCAACAATCCTGGCAATGCTTAATGCTAGTCATATAAGGACTTAAATAATATGTGATCTTCCTTCGGGAGCCTAGTGGCCAGTGGTTTTTGCCTGGCTTCACCGCTCTTGTGGTCTTTGTCGTTGTGCTTGACCACTTGACCTGTTGCATGCTGTGATACTAGATGGAATACGTCATAGCGGTCATAGCAATTTGTTAGGACTATGACGCTGTTTGGCTTTCGATGTTTGTGGCTCGGGTTCATGCAGCTCAAGAATAGATCTTATTTTATGGGATGGAGAGGATCAGGCAAGCCTCGAAGCTTTCATAATTCACCAATTGTCCACAACGTTGCACTCATGCTACACAGCTACCGTACATAGTATAGTAATAATATTATTGACTTCACCATTAGACGGACAGCGATATGAGTTATGCGATATTTCTGACTCCCTGGGCTGTGACTCGTGAAGGTCTCAAGTCTCAAAGTCCTCGTCCCTGTCATAAACTCACAAACCATACCACAATTCGTTGCCAAAGAGACAAGGGTGCTCCTGTTGATCATCCGCGAGTCAGTTACACGCTAATATCTATAATCTGCTTGTACTTCGCCCCTGACGACTGATGAGATCCTTATGGCTCCTGGTAGCTTCGGAGAGCACAATTTATGCCATCAATTCTCAAAGGCCCTGGTGATTCGTCGAATCGCTATGTAACACATTTTCGTCAGACCGGATTTTGTGCAAAAGGAGCGGTAAAAAACGATAGTCAGATCGTCCGTTTGATGGGCAGCGAACGACAAAAGTTGCTGTCCCACCAAGTACCAAGCTCTGGTCAGTCGGTATTGTATGCTCCTGGCAGGATGAAGTTGCCCCGTGCTGGCTCACGGCACAACATCAAACGACATGAGTCCGTTCGGCATTCGGACCAATTGGTCGCGCTGGAGCCTGGAGAAAGGAAACCGCTCGATGGAATGGATGAGATACGCCGCGAAGGTCTTGGGCTGCTGGGGAGAGCGCCAGAGCGCCATCCACGCGGAATGTCCAAAAAATTATCCAATTTACCAGACAGGGATCAAAACGGGGCTGTGGATTGATAGGCGTCGCGGTCATCGTTACCCTTGCGCCGTCGAAACTCGAAAGCGGTTTTCTTGTCCCCTGTGTGCTGTGCCATCAACAATATCGGAACGGACGGTTGTGTCGAACGACAACCAAAAATTGTCATTCACAGGTAGCAAAGGATCCGGAGGTATTATCTCATGTGATTACTAAGCCACCTTGATCAAACTCGCTCTTCTAACCCCCACTCCGCGTGACATCCCTAAAGTCCATAGGAGTAAGCCAGTTTTTTGCGTGCACGAGTCAGCTAGCGAATCGGAAGGCCAGCCGTGAAGAATCAGAAGGACAGCTAAATGAGGGAAATAATCTCATCAAACTTGTTTTTGATCGGCGGGGGTAAAAGGAGTAGACCCAGTGAGTGCCAACTGCTAACCGTTAACTGCTAGACCTTCAGCCGCGGCTAACTGGGCAGGATTTACTATTAGGAAAATAGAAAGTAAAATGTTTGGGCCATGATGTTCTCTCCATGACCAGTGGACAATGGCAGAGAAAAAGAGAAGGTTAGTTAGGTTAGTAGAGGGTCTTTGCAAGTGGACGGATCTCACGCGTGGACTCGTGGCATGGTGGCAGCTGGCACTTCTGGCTTCACTCATAAACCCAGCACCGGACCATACAAGTGGCATCCATCGGCCGTTCCTACCCAGCACTCCAGCCTCCAGGTCTCCTGCCGATGAGCAATCTTCGATCGAAGATCCATGCGTCGCCGAACATCAAACATGGCATGTTTCCCACGCGTTCTGCAGGGATACCCATCAAGCATTCAAGTTACAGTTGGAGTCGCGTTGCTGATTTGCTAAAATTACGAACTTTCGGTTCCACAGCACTAACTCACAATACAGCAAACGCCTTCCCAACTATCCACCTGGGCCAGTAGGCAGTAGTGCAAAACACTGGTGACGAAGTTCTACGGCCTACGGGGGAGTCATTTCCCCTCCATTGTCTGTCCATTCTGGAGCTACCACGACTTGGGCGGTTGGGGCGTTGGGCCACTCGGCTTCCCCGTCCTCGCTGCTGTGCGGGATCAGACCGAATTTGTCTTCAGGCAAAATGAGGCAACCCAAGGCGACCGGCGGACAAAGGTGAGTCTTCGTCTCACCACTTGCTCAGCGGCATCACATCCGCTTGGCCGGGGAGAAATGGACGCCGTTCCCCGCGGCCCTGATGGGATGAGCGGGCGGCCAATCCGACGCGAGGAACAGCCGACCGGAACGCCCAGGCGGCCTCGCGACCCTGCGATTCAGGTCGATTGTTCGCATCAACCAGTATCCATGTGACCTGGGAGGGTTCCAGTAACATGGTCCAGGAAAGATAGGAGGATGGATCCCCGTCCCAGCGCCGTCGATCCCCCAATCGAACCAGCAAGTCGAACCGCCCGATTCCCGAAGTTCAGCCGCCCTCGAGGAAACCTGGATGTCGCTCACTGAGAATCCCCTGGTTCTCTATTCTTGTGTTACATTTTGGAGCGATCGTTCACCGTTGTCAATAGACGATATTATCCCGTACCACCGTGCCATGTGCTTTGGGCCGTGGCGGTTCTCGCCCTATTAAAGCAATAGCGGCGGCAATCCTCTGGATTTCCCGAAGCCAAAACTGTGACTCGTCGATTTGTCACTCGTCACATCTGAACGATCATGCAGCCCGGGACGATTATCACAATCCAAAGGGATCGGTCACCAGAAGCCTAAAGCCCAATGCCAACCTGCGATGCGAACGGCACTAGAAGACGGGATGGAAATCAAAGGGAGTGGACGGGAAATTGCGAAATTGTACTCGTCCTGGCGTGATTGGGGCTTATGATCCATGATCTTCAACATTCGTGTCCCTTTCACCGGGAAGCCCAAGTCATGCAAGTATTCATGGGAGCCAGGAGCTGGGAGGTGACCACGCGGCATGAATTCTCGGACAATCCTGGATACCTAAGGAATGCCTTCAAAATGCAGCAATGCACAATACGGATAAACTCAGAGCAACAATAATAATGAAGAGGTTGCTCAAACCATTCACTCGTTTTATTGGATGGTAGAGGGTTGTGTATGACGCCTACATAGTGTTGCCCAGTTTCGTCCGTTTTCAGTGCTCGTCATAGGGAGCTAGTGATCCTAGCGGCATCGTTTTCAATTAACCTTCAGCCTCAGATTTCGGTTCCATAGCGTTGGGTGGTTGGGTTGCAAACTTACAAGAGTTAGCATTAGCATGAATGCTAAGCGTGTCGTTCCGTCATGGCAGCAACCGCAGCATGTTGTGTACCTGACAACGGCAGACCAGAGCATCGAGTCAACGTGAGCGGTGAGACACAACATCCGGGCGTCAAGCGTCTATGGCTCTCCAATCTCCATGTGTCGTTGAAGAAGAGCAAACTATCCGCAGGATTAACGCCAGACACGGTTCTATTTGCGATTCGCATGCATTCAGCCCGTGTCAGTTACAGTACAGCTCCATTCTATGCGAGATGCTGAGGCGGTGTTATGCATAATATTGCATGTGAAGTTGTGGACGTGTCCACCATGATAGGGTCAAAAATACCAATATTGATGCCTCGATGCCTCGATATACAAACTGAAATGTCACTGGATCTGCAGGAAAACAGCTCACCGGTTCAAATGTTTGACCCTCTCTCATTCACTGCTTCGTCAAATTTGTGCCGCTCCAAATCCATTTCCATTCCGTATTTGATTGAGTCCGCTTGTCTATGCATGTCATATCCTCATCATAATCCAATAGGATCCGGATTTGAAGTGCACCAGACATCTTCATCGGTCCTGAGCGTCACACCATCAGAACGTGCTCGCCCCATTCGTTGCCTGTCGTGTGTCGCATCGCGCCCTTTCTCATGATGCATCTCTCACATCTATCGTCCTTCTCGCGTCAGAACCTGTTGCTCGAATTGTAAGCCAATGCAGTACACCCTGACGCATCGTGGTCACGAGACGTTGCCCGCTGCTGTCGTGTTTCGTGTCTTCCTGTGCTTCTTCCATCGTTCGAGCTAACCGCAACGACCAGCGCAAGCCTCAAGCACGCTCGTCCTGATGGGGTCTATCTCTCGCTATCCCCTGGGGACGTTGCCCTATGGTCTGGTGTTATGTTCGTTCGAAAAGGTAATCTCTCTCCACGGGCTGAATTGGGCCGAGTAATGGGAATACAGCCTCTGATTGGCATCTCTTTCGATTCAGGACCGTATGCACCTGCCCTTCTCCGGTTCCAAATATCATTTCCTCCCGACTTCCCCCGCTCGGCTCCGCTGTTGACCTTCTCTACGGATGTATTCCACCCACTGCTAACCCCCTTGACCACCTACACCTACTCGGCAAGGGATACAGACACGGTAAGCTCGGGGGATACGGAGAGGCTCCCTCCCGGGGGGTTCAGTCTCCGTTACGGATTTCCGCAATGGTATGACCGTACAGGGTCGGCAGAAGCAGGACCTGTCACCGTGTACGAGCTGTTGCGATATGTCCAGTCTGCATTCACGGACGAAAGTGTATTAGACTCGTTGCCACTTGATTGTGTAGCTAATCCCAGTGCATACCATGCATGGCGAACTCACCATGCCCAACAAGAACATCAAGATGGGGGTATGGAAAAATATACCCAAACTGGAGCAGTCTCTCTTCATGGATCTCCGCAGAGTAAAGAAATGGGAAATGCCGAAGTTACGAGGGTAAGAAGGCCTGGCGAGTGGAATTGGGAAGGAGTGTGGGAAGAAAGGGTCAGGAAGGGGATTCAGACCAGCGTATCTGACGTTGCCCTTTTCGGCGGCGCCTCTGGTCAAGATGACATTGTGAGTATTCTCTATTGCCCTGCTGTTATGAGTATGATACCAACCCCTTCGAGATCCGATTTAGCGAAGTGGATGTAGAAACGGCAGCGAAATTGTCGGAGGATATTCAACGACTCTTGGACTTCACCAAGGCGGGAATGGCGATTCAGACGGAGTAATTCCACTGAAGTGTTAAACACCATGAAGTCTGAGGCACTAGTAGTTGGTGCTTGCCTTCATCCATCGATGGAGACCAACAACACTGGATATTTCCACCTGCACCTGAAACACGAACGTTGCTTGCTAAACACAATGATGGACGTCATCCTCTGTGTCGTGCTAAAGCTTTTGATTCCGTTCAGTTTTCGTTTGATGTCGCGGGTGTCTGCGCTTGTGATGGTTGATTCGCCGAAGCCAGATGATACGAATCGCCGTTCAATGAGCCACGGGTTAAAAAGCCAGGGAGCACAAAACGATACAAAGTCGACAAATCGGCCGATCACGCTTCAAGTGAGCAAGTTCAACCATGGGAGATGAGAACACTGATCCGCATCTCGTCACGATTCCGCGGCGACAGTCATCAAGGCAGACACCAGGGGCCTGGCATCACAGCAGAGCTTCCGGGTCGGCTCAGACGATATTGACAGACACCACCACGTCGCCTATTTCACCCAGACCCAAGGAGTCTCTCCATCGCACACCAGCGTGGTCCAGTGTTAATGTCCGAAAAACCCGAAAAGCGGAGCATGGTGGAAGCCTTGGACCCATGGGAAAGTCGAGCACAAAACTGCGAAGGCTTCAGATATTTCAAGGCCATAATGAGGGCAGACCGTCCGCCCTCAAAGCGGATCCTCAGCCGTTGCGAGAAATTCCTCCCGAGGATAATATCAGCCTTCGTGGTCTCGGGGGGCACGGGCAACCATGGGTAACGCCATCGCGAGGCGCGGATCTGGCGCGAAGTTCGACGGAAATACTTGCACGTCTACCCCTCTCGTCATTCGGTCTGTCTAGTGAGAACTCTCGAAAACGCGGCTCGGTGAAACGGCGGGTGTTCTCGAAACTCCTAAGCTTCCGTCAACCGAAAACACATCCGAGCACGGAACCGATGATGAATGAGGGCTCAAATCTTGGAGTCACTAGTAGGAACGGCAAGGAGGGGGGTTCGGTTACTTGCTCCGATGGCAGTGTGACTGGTCTTCTCAACATTCGGAACGATACGCCGGAAGATGCCACGAAGCAGTATGTTCGACCTAAATAACTTAACGGCGGCGCTGACTGAATAGCACATCTCCTAATACGAGCCAGGATCTATATGCCTCCCTGAAACGCCATTCCTATGAGACTCTGGAAGCCGAGCTTGAAAGCCAAACCTTTCGGACAGAGGACGCAGTCTCTCCAAGTACCGGTTCCGCCCCTTTTCCATGTAGTGTGTCCTCCACAAAATCTGTCATACGGCACTACCAAACAGACGTAGGCCCTGAACCAGCGCTCACTGCAAAGTTAGAGGTTTTGCAAACCGCCGATGTAATTGATGCTGATCAAGGGCGATCAATATGGGTGGGCGTCGAATTACATGCGATTCTGACGCACCATGATGACCTGATCCGCTGTGGAGCTAACCTCGACGTGGTTCTGGTTATTGACGACTCGTAAGGCCCTACAAAGCAGCGATGGCACATGACTGACGCTATTAGACTTGCATCGTCACAGCAATGGCTAAATATGGTGCAAAAACTCGCCATTTCCATCGCAGGCCATTTGAATAGGCTGGGGGACAGGATCGCGGTGCTTCACTCTGCCTGTTCCTTCGAACAGTCCGACGAAAATGACGGGGACTGCGATTTGTACGCTCTCGATCATCCCAATGTTCCAGCCCTAAAGAAAATCCTTTCGTCTCCCGCACAATGTCGGCGCTACTCGAACAACTGTCCGAACGACCCGTGCGAGCATTTTAATTCCGCGGTCAAAAAGGTATCAGAATGTCTTGCAGTGCCACCCAGGGTGCCTAGCTCCCAATTTCAGGCCTTTATCTTCAGTCGAACTCCGATGAAATATTGGTCCGCAATGAGACGGTTAGCGCCATCCGCAATCCACGTGGTCCTGCCGCCCGGATCTCCTTGCGATGTGCCCCACAGCCGTCCGAGCGGGTGGAACATCGTTCCCACGTGCGCCGATATGGCGAGTTTGACGGATGCATGCGGGCCAGGATGCACGGAAACCGGTTCGAGGATTTCGGATATAATGAGTCTTGCGAGAGCGGGTGTCACCTTGGAAAAAATCACAGACGTCTCCATCTGTGCGAGAGCGGGCGATGGCTGCCAGGAGCAACGTGTGGTTGGCAACACGTCACTTCGTGTCTTGCGTCCGGGCCAAGTTGCGCGTCTGTTTATGCAAATCCGAGTGCCGGCGTTGGAACATTGTCTTCATTCACGTGAGCACCATCGAAAGAATCCCGCCGATGGTGCTTTCCACGACTTAGAAACGTTGCTGGGAGATATCTACACCGACGTCTTGAATGTCGAAGTATCATTTCGACATTCTCTTTTCCCCAACAAGAGTCGGGTTGTGATTCGTGAGGACGCAAGAGTCCGGAGACCAGACAATACGTCGTTTTGGGCGAATTCGGACGCTGCCGCCTTGTCGTATTCGAACTCGGCCCGAATTGGAAGGAAACAGGCCATTGAATCTCTTGCATCGTTGTTCGCAGAGTCTTACTCTCCGGGCAAGGCGCTGTCTGATATTGATGAGCTACTCATTGAGATGGACTACGACTCATCGCCGAACGACAGCATGGGTCGTCTACGCGATGAACTCGATTATCGATATCGAGTCGAACACAAGCTCCCGATTCCCGAGTTATCCATCCACGAGCGAAGTCTTCACAGTGTCCCTTCATATACCGAAGTGCTCTCGATCGACTCGCAAGAGCTCCTTCGTCTGTCTCCCAGTGTCAAGTCCGTCCCCTCCGTAGGCAGAAGCGGATCACGCTGCACGATCGTGCATAATATCTCTCACAAGAGCAGCCACGAGGGCTCAACGACGCGTCTTACTCCCGACCGCGCACGCGTGATCTGGCGACACATGCGCAAGGACTCCCGGGGGAAAAGTCCGGTGAATGTTAAGCATTTGCGCCGAAGGAGCAAGGACAACCTTAAGAGCCTGGGTGGAGCGAATAGCATGATGTTGAGGCTGAAGAGGAAGGCGTTGCTGAACAAGCGGAGTATTGGTGCGGACTCATTGAGGAGCATGGCGTTTGATATTGCTGAAGAAAGCCGGTTCGAACGCGACTATGCACCCTGGATGCTATGAGTCTCGCCGGAGGTGGTAATAATGGTTGACTCGTTTATAAATATATGGATATCAGATATACACATCAATTCCCGGACCTATTCACCCCGAGCTAATATTACCCCTGGATGACTGATATCCATACCTATCTATCGCGACATGTCCAGCTGTCTAGATGTTGCCCCGTCAAAACTCCATCACGACCTGAAAGTCGGCTCAGGTCTTAACACCTCTTGTTGGCACGTTACCCGCCGTCCATGCACGAATCCGTTTTCCATAAATATACACGAGCGGCATAACCAGCGTCAGAAAGCCAAGAATGCCGGCATAGATCGCAAAGCAACCCAAATAACCGCGCGCCTGAATCCAAGTGGTAGCCCGGAACGACATGGCAAAGCCGACGATGCAGCGGAAGCTGGAGACGTTGACGAGCACGGGGCTGGGAACGTTAGCGACGGAGCGATCAGTCTTTCTCGGGAACAACTCACCCGGCCCATTGAGGGTAGCTTTCCACCACGAACACGGCGGCGATAGTGTTCACGCTGAGGAAGCTAAACGCCAGCAAGAAGGTACCGATTAGAAGCACCGACCAATGCGACGTGTAGATGTGCTCGCCGGCGTACCCGAACGCGATGCATCCGGTCGCACCGCTGAGCAGAGGGAGGACGAGGCTCAGCAAATGGGCCTCGGGCTCGCGGCGGCCGCCGTTCCGCTTCGCATGCCAGTTGGAGACCTTGTCGGCGAAGAAACCGCTGATGAGGAAGACGAACGGGGTCGCTACCATGATGGGGATGACCGCCAGACCGATCTTCCGGAACTCCCAGCTAGCACTTGTCAATTGGGGTTCCGAGAATTCCAGGGCATGGGACTCACCCAGCAGCAAGCAAGACGGTGGAACCGGTTTGCGCTGCGGCATTGTAGATGGAGATGATGGCGCTATTGACTAGAATGGCCCAGATCATGTTCGGGAAGACCATAGTGCGAACGGTGTCAAGCATCGATTGTCCCGCTTCTTTGAATTGATATCCAAAATTCATGATACCGAAGTCGGTTCCGAGAGTCCGGGGACCGAATTGGCTGTAGTCCAACGCAGGGCGCGGCTCGCCAGGTGCGAGGGGATAAAGGGATTTGCCGCCTGCAGATGGTCAGCATTGAGGACCATGGAAAGTGTCTGATAGGTGTCATACTGAGCTCGGCTGGACTCCGTGGGAAGCGAGATTCTGGGACGAACGCCGCCACCATGAGCCATGCGCCGGCGGTCAAGCCTGCAGTAAGGAAATACAACAGCCGCCAGCCTGTGGTTACAACTATGATCGGCGACCCGATGCCTAGGCAAATAATGATGACGCCCTGTAATCAGTCAGTGCTTGTTCGTCAGTCAGGTGCGTGCTTGACTCACCTGTGCTGCCCAGATGCCAGCCATTGCGCGGTTGCGATGATGAATGAAGACCAAATCTTGCACCACAAGTGGAATCAAGGCTTCCACGGCGCCGGCGCCCAGCCCTTGAAAGCACCTGGCCGCGAGATGGCTATCGAGCGAATGACTGAGACCGGCCCAAACGCCACCAGCCCACGCCATTACCCCACACAAGAGAAGGACTGGACGTCGACCAATGGCAATGGATGCGGGAACCAGAAAATAACTGCTGATCCCGTTGGTGAGGATCGGCAGGGACGACAGTAACGAAACCTTCCAGATGGGGGGCCCTCCGAGACCGGCGAGCTGATCCACGGCGCTTGAAGGCACGATGCCAGACGGGTCTGGAGGGAATCCCGCGAGAGAGCCCAAGATTTTCGGGTCTTGTCCCGCATACTCGAGGACAAAGACGGGAATCAGAGCACCGACAATGGTCTCGGCGGAGAGAGCCAGCGCCCCAACTACATATCGTCATCAGGATTGAGCGACGACGACGATGGAAGAGCACATACAGAAACAAAGCGATATAATCGCCATCCATCTTCGCCATCTTGGGAGGTTTAGGGGGTCTATCTCGCGTTAGAATTGCCGTCGTTCAGAGTACATGAACATACCTTTCGGATCTGGCGTTGGCATCGGCACACATTGAAGCTTTCCATCTTGGTACAAGTTGGTGGTCCCAAGAACTTGCTCATCGGATTCATTGCTGTCAACCCGCTCAACCTTTTCGATTACCCCCTTTGAGCCTTTTAGCTCCGTGGCGCTGTAGAATTGATCGCGGATGTGCATGATGGTTGTGGTTGGAGGGAGTCTAGCAAACCGATTCCATTCATCCACATGGTGGATCAGCGAACAGAAGCAGAGTATATATCACCTCATCGGCTTGGGGCTCCATGGACTGACGCTCATAGGCTTTGATTTCTCGCTGGTTGGGAGAAAACATCGGTAATCAATCGATCCATGCGAGGGAGCGATCAAGTACTGGAACGTGAGCCCGTTACATCTCGGCAGATCCGTGAGGCGTGTCAGGATATGCATCGGATACGATTTCGATGGGACGAAAGGGACTAGGGGTGTGTAATGTAAGATGTATGAAAGATAGATTGCCCGTAATTACGGGTCTTGGCGGTATTATAGATTTTTTACTTTACCGGCCCACATTACCATACAAATTTGTAATACGACCTCGGGTTGATGATGTTCACAGACAACCATAAGTGATGGAGATCTCAGACTCAAAACACGCTGAAGTAGGAAGTTATGAAGCTATTTAGACATCGTCAAATGCGTGATATCGCAGCCCGATTTCCTCCTCAATTTGGAGGAGGAGATCCTCCATCTCAATCTGCGATACACCGCGTTCTTTTCGCTCCTGCTTCATCGCGTCCATCGATCGCCGATTCATATAGATATACATCATTTTATTACATCTCTCTGGATCCAATCGTGAGCGCTTCGCACTCATCGTGAGATTCTGAATAGAAAACGCTCGTTCAGATGGAACTGAGCTCGTTGGAGCTGAAAAGATGCGGGCAGCGATAGAAGCGATACGACTGCTATGAAGGAGAGCCTCCGCAAACCTCCAGTATCCCTCAGGATCACCAACTCGCTTCGCTAGGTCCTTATTTGATGCAAAGATGCCCGATGAAGACTTGAATAGCATAATCTCATCAAGGCAGGCCTGGACATCTTCCTCCTCTGGAAAAAATAGATCCTGGATCGTGCTTTTGATGTAATCGAGCGAATCAGCTTGGAGAGGCTCTTTCCTAAACTCTGGATGGATATAAAACGCGAGGTGGTGAAATGAGACATCCAGCTGGTCTTGATATCGCTTATCAAACACCGCGAGGAGCTTCGCTGCGAAGGCATCCATACCAAACCGGATTCCTGCAGACTCAACCTCTTTCCTAAGGTCGTTCCAGAGCTTTACGACACGCCCAATGTCTAATCGAGATGATTCCGTCTTTTTCAGAGCCTTGGTGATAGGATCAAGGACGTGGAGAGTCCGATCAAGCTCATTCCACAGACCAGGGGCCAGAATCTCATCGCGGTACGGTTTCAGCTTCTTAATCGCATCACCGGTAAGCAGAGGTAATCGCGAGAAAAAGAATTCTTGTATAGGATCTCTGTTCGCCTGCAGCGATTTCAGCATCGCGATATGACTTCCCCATCGCGTCTCTACCGCTGAAGCAAAAGCGATATATTTCCGTCCGTTCTCTTGCTGTATCTTTTTAATCTCACCGATGGTTTTGTTTGAGGACGAGAGGTCGCGGACGAGATTCTTGAAAGTGGTGAAATGATCGCGGAAATGGTCCATCTTGATGATATCGCCAATGAGGAGGTTTAAACTGTGAGATTGACAAGGTACACAGATGATATGCGATAGCTCTTCATCATTTTGACAGAGTTTCCAGAACTTCCTCATTGTCTTGCAGGTATCCGTCGAGATACTGTTGATCCGCTTGTAATCTCCTTTCACCACCGGTTTTACCACCGAGCGGAAGTATTCGTAATAGAATTCCCCAGTCAAGGAGGCTTGCGCATCGACAGGTCTTGTATGGAGTGTAAGCGATCCAAAGTCGGGATGGACAACGGAGAAGTTCAAGACGCGATCGTTCTGTTGGTTATTCGACTCGTCCAGACAGAAATTGAGGCTGAAATGGTCGCGTCGATGGTCGATAACGTGTTGGACTTGAAGCGATGTTTTGTGATATAGGTCGGCGAGGAGCTCACCACTGAGGCGTTCGCGATTAGGGAGTTTGAAGGCAGGATCGAGTATCTTGATAAAACTCTGGAAATCGCTGTTTTCAACAAGTGAAAATGGAGATCCAGACATCACGATGAACCGCGTTAGAAGAGCCTCGATTCTCTCCTGCAGTCTCTCGCCCTGCGTACGGTAGGTAATACCGTTTGCTGTCAGCGTCGTTTGCCTGGGTATTTTGACAATAGGCGAAGCATCTTCATTTGGAGAAAGAGGCCTCTTTCTCTGTATCTCATCCTTTCCTCTGTTCTCTGATTCCTTTGCCTCCATATTTTCCTTGCAAATAGTAACGAGATGTGTGCGTTCTCTGGTGGTGTTCGATTGACAGCTGTATCTATTGCAAAGTGTACAATACTTTTGCTTCGGTATGCCAAGCTCAGGGCGCTCCTCGAAATATTTCCAGACAAGACGATCTTTAGGGGGCATTTGAATAGATGGAGTAGTAGAGCTTATCAAGACGAATAATTTGATGTAAAAAAAGTACGAATTGATCGATGTTTGGTGAAATTATTTTGAGTTCTGTAGTTGATGAATAAAGTGGCCACAAACTTATTCAAGAAGTTGAGCACTTTCATGCTCAACGCAATGGCATACCCGTAACCAACGAAAACCTAGTCTAGATATTGTCTTATCCATATCAAATTATACAGCTCATCGAGAGCAATCTGCTCATGTAAATAATAATAATAATAAGTTAGGTTTCGTACGGCTATGGGCGGCGGCAGAAAATGCATCAAATATTCCAGCTCGTTGCCCAAGGCAACGTGCATCATCTTTCGGCTCGACAGTTGACAAGAAGACGCGACAGTTTGAAGTGAGTAGAACATAGACTTTTTCATGTGATATAAATATTGCTTTGTAGCCTTTGATCAGGGCATTATAGAAATGTATTGTATATTAAGATTAAACGTCGTTTTGTGAAGATATCGTAGATAGAAATGACGGTGGTTTGGAGTTTGGGGCCTTGGTAGAATCGTTGTTACTAACTATATACGACTAGCGTGCTATTGATACAAAAAAATACACTAACCATATTAAGCTAGCGCATAATACCGTCATGTAAGGTAAAAAATAACCTTTCCAGAAATCTAGGGCTAGTTTACGGTAAGGTCCTTACTTTTCGCACTTTACACATCCCTAAAAGGGACATGATGAGCCTGATGAGGTCAGGAGAAGGCAGGACTTGGCCTGTCCACATAATGAAAGCAAAACCCGACCAAACGACAATAACGATGAAAGGCTTGAATGCGCTACCGTTCTGAAGACCCATGCATATTGTAAACGACCTCACACATGATGAGTTGAACTTTTGTTTACACTTCATATAGGTACCTGTACTTCCGAAGCCCCAACGGCCTTTCTTGAGTGAAGCATCCTAGAATCAAGTCGGTACCGGTTTACTGGATTTCCCAACGTGCTAAGCTACCAATAGGCAGATGGAGCGAAATCGCCACCAAATTGTTGGACGGGGTACCGTGGTTATTCCCCCAACCACATCCTCCATTCAATTCCGCCTGCATGTCGTCTGTGTTTCGGGGGCGTCTGAGACCAGGATAGTTGATGGCCTAGATATGTCTTCCCATTGCTGAGCCGCATGGTGGAATTGGGGTTTCCGGCTTCCGTATGCGAGCGAAACCCCAAGAGGCCAGGTTAACATCCCGCGTCCAATCGGGAGTAGAATCATCATATTGCCATAAGCTGCAGAGAATACGAAGGCAATCTGGTGGCAGCCCGTGGCAGTGAGGTGTTGTTGGGTGAACGATGCGTGTGCAAAGTGCCAACCCCAGCCCCTGAGAACTGACGGGATCAGGGCTCATCGGATAAACTTCCGGGCCGAACTCCGGACCTTCCTCCTCGTAAGTCGCACAGTACATACAAGTTGTACCTGCTGGTCGGCGAGTGGCTGGGCGGCTGCGGCACGGTGTTGCCTAAGGCAACGAGGCAAGTGCGATCGTATGGCAGCATATCGTCACTGCCAAATCTTCTCTCCAACTTCATGCCAGAATGAATGCGATAATACGTGTAACCTCATGTGTACGGGCATGTAGAAATTGTAAAACTCTGCTCTGAGTAGATCAAGCATGAAAATGGTCGGATTCGGCACGCTCAATCTTCAAAGCTCCCTAGCGAAGTGAATAGCTTCAACTCCAGTCCATGTTTTCGACACATCCCGATAATACCATCACCTTTTCAACTAATCAAATCAGCATTACTCCAGCCGCTCAACCTTCTTCTCCAGCACTAACCGATCAACCCCACCTCATCTCCTCTCTTCCATTAACGTCAGATCTGCATGCTTCAAGTCCCTCTCAGTTCTCCGCCGCATCGGATTCCATCGCCAGCGCTCCCGACCGCTCGCCTACGCCGGAGCGCGACCTCCCAGAGACCGACCGTACCCCCAATCGCGACCGTAGCACGATGCCCGCCACAAGCTCCGACTCCCAGAAGCCCGATTCCCGTCCTCCAAGCTCCGGAGACGGCAACCGCGCGTCCACCCATCTCAAAGTCCAATCGACGCCCCAGCCACGTCGCATCCACTCTAGTCCACCGATCCCCGGCCAACCTCACGAAGGGCTGAACTCAATCATCCGCGCCGGATTGTTTTCCCCGAACCAAGCGAACACCCCCGGCGACGCATCGGGGATCACGCCGCAGAAACGGCGCGAGGCACCTCTGCCCGCGAAGGCGATGGGCGAGCCGGGGGAGGCGATCGAGGCGTTTCCGTGGGAGGACCTGGCGCGGCGACATCTGGACATGGTGGAGGAGTTCGAGCAGAGGGAGGGCCAGTTGAAGGAGGAGTGGGAGAGATTGATGGCGTACTTCGCGGTTTGGGCGCGGACCAGCAGTGGCGCTGAAGTGGAGAGGGCGAGCAAACGGTTTGTCGTCGCTGCGAGATCGCCATCACTGGGAGTTTTGCTTACTGATGACCGTAGGTTGAAAACTCGGGTGTATCACGTGCAAAATTCGGAGCAGAACCTGGATCTGAAGAGGCAACATTGTCAGTCGTTGCGAGGTTATGATGAAGGGAGAGGCTTGCTAACATCATCGGCTAGACTTGCGCGTTGTCGAAGCGTTTCAGAGCGCGCTTAAGCTCCTGGAAGGCTCTTGAAGTTGCCGAATACCGCTACTTTAGCTACCGAAAAGTTACCCCTAGCCATCCGGTGGAGTACGTCCTCCCAAGAGAGGTATGCCATTGCGAACTCGACTCTTCACAAGGGCCCAATGTCGCTCAATGCAGCATTCGCAGCATGATTAGGGATTTATGAGGTGTACGATCATAATGGTTGGCATGGGTCGGTGACCTGCGCCGAGAACAAAGACACTGTATAATTCACATTGTATGACTAGCTTTGCCGCGGGAGTTCTATACCAGGCGGGGTCCGCCGCCACACTGTCAATAAATCCAAGCTTGACACATGCAATACTCGAACATTGTCCCTAATTTATCCCGGAGCGCTCAACGATGCCGATCCAATCCAAATCTATCTATAATGCAGGTTTGACGTGCGGAGCGGGCCGATGATTGAGGGGCGGGTGTATCCGCAGGGGGGATCCGCGATCTACAGCAACGGGTTCGAGCGGTATTCCGGGACGACGCCGTTGGTCTGGGACTTCTCGGCCTGGTTCTCCTTGTCGAGGTCGTTCTCCACCGTGTCGTCCATCTCGGTGAGGTATTTCTCGGCTTCGAGGGCGGCGATGCAGCCGGAACCTATTGCGCAGCTGTTAGCATCACGTCATAGGGTTCAAATCAGGTCAGGGAACCCACCCGCGCTTGTCACGGCTTGCCGATATTTTTTGTCTTGCACGTCGCCGGCCGCGAACACGCCTTCCACATTCGTGTGGCCTGTCCCCGGCTGCGTGGTGAGATACCCGTCTTCATCCATGTCCAACTGCCCTTTGAACAGCGCGGTGGCCGGATCGTGTCCCACGGCGTAGAACAGTCCGCTCGCCGTCAACTCCTCCTCCTTCCCGGTCTCCTTATTCCTCACCCTCAGCCCCGTCATCAGCCCATTCGTCTTCTCGTCGCCCACAATCCGCGTGGCCGACGTGTTATACCGCACCTCGACCTTCGGGTTTCCTGCCAGCCGGCGCGCGTTCGCGCGCGACGCCCGCAGCTGATCCCGCCGCACCAGCACGTACACCTTGCTCGCCTTCTTCGTCAGGTAGATGGCCTCCTCGACGGCGGAATCGCCGCCGCCAATCACGACGAGAGGCTTCTCGCGGAACATCGGGAGGGAGCCGTCGCACACCGCGCACGCGCTGACGCCGTAGCCCCAGTATTTGTCCTCGCCCGGGAGGTCGAGGCGGCGGGCTTTAGCGCCGGTAGCCACGATGACGGCGTCAGTGGTGTGTTCTTCGTCCTCGATCGTGTCGTCGTCCCCCATGGGGTGGAGCCAGTAGCGGAAGGGTTTGGACTTGAGGTCGATCTTCGCGACGGTTTGGGAGACGATTTCGGTACCGGCTTCTTCGGATTGGGTGCGCATTTGGTCCTGGGACACCGTCAGCATGAGGTTCACGCGCTTGACCTCCCTCATATTCCCGCTTACCATCAATTGCGCCCCGCCGATCTTCAGGAACCCAGGGAAGTTCTCAACCTCGTCGGTGGTGGTCAATTGCCCGCCGGCCGCGATCCCGAGGGCCATGAATCCCTCGTACATGACCGCTGACGCTAGGTTAGCCCCACCGTCGAAAATTTCAGAGACATGCGCGACATACGTTTTAGGTCTGCTCGAGCGGCGTATATAGCTGCGGTGTGGCCAGCAGGGCCGGAGCTTCAAGGTCCATGTTAGTATGTCTCGACGGTGTAGTGGTGGTCGCAAAAAAGGCTTACCCGATGACTACAGCAGGGTCAGTATGGATGCTTCAGCGGGGCGATATGGTTTCCGCAGGACTTACTGATGAGTTTCGAATGCATGTTCCTCGTTCCTCGGACGGCCGAGTTTCCAAACGTCGAGGTCGCCGGCGAAAAAGCTGCGGGGGCTGGCTTCGGTTGGGAGAGGGCGGCGGCGGCGATGGGTACGGAGATGGATGCGCGAAGCGGGGAGGTGAAGGCTCGACGGAAGGTGAAGGAAAACAGTTTGGCGACGCGGGGAGGATCGGGTGAGTGGGCAATGTGTCGGGGGTCCAGGAGAAGAAAATCGGCGATGGGTTCAACTTATGCGGCTCGAGATATACGTCGATGGGGGTTGATGAGGGAGATTTTGCCCAGTGGGAAGCGGGACGCGGAAGATTGAGAGATAGACTAATGGGCGGGACCGTGGGCAGGTGGGCTTAGATTCGGTGATGATGTAAGATGGTAAGGTCGAAGATTGAGACCAGATCAGATTGGAAGGTTCTAAGAGAGACGATGCATAGAATTAAGTACCTATTTGAGATGATCCAGATGCAACAGTGGGAATGATGATTTCTAAGATGCACTTGTACTGTGGTCTAGGTATGGAGCTTCGGCGACTCCCTGGGCATCAGATGTATCAGAATCCAGATCGTCTTGCTCGAATTCTTAATCCAGGCGCCGGCTTCTGGCCACCTCCACGCCGTCTAAAAGATAACTGGGCCATCCACGAGAAATGCCAATCTGATTGCTCATTCTTGATGCCCGAGACCCCGAATTGAGCATCCGAGTTGCGGAGTTGCGTCGGTAAGTTTTCTCGTCGGTGGCTGACCAACTCGGCGACCTAGATCGGGTTCTTTGCCTGCACGGTCTAACCCCCCATAATCTACCTATCATGCCGGTTATTGAAGAATGAATCGGCTTGGTCATCTAAGCAAATGGTATTTGATATTTGATATTAGATATTTGGTATTATTATGAATGTCCAGTAATAATATCTTGCTGAAGCCTGCATGGCTGCATCTGCACCTGTCCTTGTCTTACTAATTACTGTACTAAACTGGTTGCCTGCCTCAGGTTTCGAGGCAGCACATTCCGATTCCGAACTGAGCAAACAAATGAACTGAATATTACCGGATACTTCCAACTTCCAACATCCATCACCACCATCAGGTCATCGTGCAGTGCTAGGTCCATATGAACCATACAAAATGTGAATGCCCTACACTTCAATTCGGTCAAGTCCTATAAAAGGTAACCGCTCAAAAACTATGAGGCCAAAAACCGCCGCTTGCCTTACTCTTCATCATCTCCCCGCCATGCATGATCCACGATAAAAAGCAATCATGCCCGACCCCCCACCAGACCAAACTCCCTCGTCTCCCCCTTCCATCCACCTATCCACTGTCCCCTCCTCGTTCCAGCGGCAAACCTCCCGCGTCTCCTGGACGGCCCCTGCGACTGAGGAGCATGGCGTCTCGAGCAATTCACCCGCTTTATCGAGGACCCGATCGACCGGCTCGCAACGACGATGGGGTGAGCCTGTCCGAAAGTTCTGGCGGCATCAGATCTCGCTGGTGGTGCCGGCGACGTCGAAGCGCGATCATCTAGGTAAGAAATTGGCGTCTGGAAGCCGAGCATGTCCATTCCCGCGCGTTTAAGTGCACTTGGGGCCAAACCATGCCGACGATATATCACGTTGAGTGACTGATAATATCCTACACACAGCACTCGAGCGCACGTTCCTGGGCTATGTCCGGGCGGCCATCCTGCTCTCCATGATCGGGGTGATCGTAGCCCAGCTATTTCGGTTGCAGAACACGCCCGATCCGGATCGATCGTTGGGGTACTACCGGCTAGCGATTCCGATCTCGTCCATCTTCATCGCCGCAGCGATTGTGGTGACGCTCCTTGGGGCGGTGCGGTTCTACAGGCAGCAGCATGCGATGGCGAGGGGGAAGGTTCATGCGGGCGGGTTTGAAGTGTATAGCATCATGGCGTTGGTGATGGGGGTACGTTTTGAGAGACGGATGGAATGGTCAATGCTAACGTGAGCGGTAGCTTACAGTGATGCTCTTCGGGCTACTCCTGGCGGTAGACATACGCCAAGAGAGCGGTTAGCATTGCAGCTCTTGACATAATCTGCATCAAGCAGTATATTGCGTACACGGGAAGCTAGTCCCTCATCTGAATAGAATACATCAGATCTTGAACTTCTCCAAATACTTGGTGGCGAGCTCGACGCCGTCGTCGATCTTGTCAACGTTGGTCCCCTGCCCAAACGCCGTAGCCCCTTTCCCGCCCGCCTTCCCTCCCACCGCCGCCGTAACGGCATTCGACCACTCGCTCGCGGATGCGCCCTTGGAGCTGAAAGCCTGTAGACCGTTAGCGATGTGACTCCGCGATCGACCACGATGCGTACCTCGGGCACATAGGACCCATGCGCGACTCTCCCCTCCCCGCTATCCGCACCGATGAGATACACCATACGGCCCTTCTCCTTATTTTGCAGGAACTTTAGTGCCTCGCTGATCGTCTTCGCCGTGGTCTTGTACGGGATCTTCACCACCGCGAAGGGGCTCGTGTCCTTCGCGAGCTGCGCCTTAACCACCTCGAGCACCTTCGTGCTCAGTTCCTTCTCCAGCTTCGTCTTCTCCTTGTTCGCGTCTTTGACTAATGTTTCGATGCGCTTGGCGAAGGTTCGCTTGGTCAGGAGGCTCACCGCGAGCGCGCCGAGGTCGAACTGTACTTTCTTCATCTCGGCGTCTTTCTCCGCGCTGTACGATGTGCGCTCGAGGCGCGCGAGGCGCTCGTCAAACGCCTTCGCGTCTTCTTGCACGGTGATCGCATCCTGGCCCGTCACTGCCACGATGCGGCGGATCCCCTTGGCGATGCCGCTCTCCTCGAGGATGATCAGCTCCTTGATATCGCCGGTCTTGTCGACGTGCGTGCCGCCGCAGAACTCGACGCTGACCTCGTGCCATTTCTCGTTCTTGACGTCCCGGAGCAGCTCCTCCACCGACACGCCCACGCTAACCACGCGCACCGGATCGGGATACGTCTCGCCGAACACGGCGCGGACGCCGTTGATCTCGCGGGCGGTGGCGAGGGGTACGTCTTTGGAGTACACGGGGTTGTTGGCGCGGATGTACTTCGTGCAGAGGTCCTCGATCGCGCGGAGCTGCTGGTCGGTCACGGCGGACTTGTATGAGAAGTCGAAGCGGAGTTTCTCCGGCGCCACCAGCGAGCCCTTCTGGTCGATCTCGCCGCCAAGGGTCTCGCGCAGGGCGAAGTTGAGGATGTGGGTGCCAGTGTGGTTGTTCTTGATTGGGTGACGACGTTCTTCGTTGTACATGGAGATGACCGCGTCGCCGACGGAGAGGGTACCATATTTCAGGTAGCCCGTGTGGAGGACGTAGCCGGCGTACACCTGGACATTCTGCACCTCCATCTCGGCCACGCCGTCGATGATAATGCTTCCGGTGTCATACTCCTGTCCACCTTGCTCCGCATAGAAGTTCGTCCGGTCCAGCAAAATTCCGAATTGATCGCCTTCGGGAATTTCGCCAGTGGATTTCACGAATAGCTTCGAGTGGTAGAGTGCCTTGATTTCCGAGGTGATGTTGCCTTTGGCGAATTTGGCAGAGTCATCGGTCTTGGGAACGTCGTTCATCATTTCTAGCGCCCCGAGATCGTGCACATCGAGCTTCACCAGACCGACCGCCGCCTTCTTCTCGCTCTTGCTTGCCTCCTTGGCTTTGGCCTGGGCTTCTTCGACCTCTTTGTCATTGATGATCAAGCCCCGCTCCTCGGCCATGATCCTCGTTAGGTCCACCGGGAACCCGTACGTATCGTACAAGCGCCACACGTCCGTACCGGGAAGGTTCTTGGTGTCCCTCAGCTTGCAATCTTGCGCGTATTTCTCGAACATGTGCTCGCCGCGATCCAAGCTCCGTGAGAACGATTCCTCCTCCTCGTCCAGGATCTCCATGACCTCCTGCTGCTTCTTCCGGATCTCCGGGAACATGTCTCCCATTTGCTCCACGAGCTTAGGGACGAGCTTGGAGAAGAAGCTGCCGATCTCGACGTCGAAGTACTTGCGAGCGTATCGAGCTCCGCGGCGAAGGACGCGTCGAACCACATAGCCACGGCCGACGTTGTTCGGAACGCCACCATCGGAAATGGCGAAGGTAAGCAGCCGCAGATGGTCAGCGACGACTCGGTATGCGGTGTCAATTCCGTCTGGATCCTCCTCCGCAAACTTGCCACGGTATTCCCTCGCCCCGGTAACCTCTTGGATGGCCTTGAAGATCGGGGTGAAAACGTCGGTGTCGTAATTTGACATTTTGTTCTGCAATATGGATACCAGGCGCTCGAAACCCAAGCCCGTGTCGATATGCTTATTTGGTAGCGGTCGCAGGGACTTATCTGCCTCACGATTGTACTGAATGAACACGTTGTTCCAGATCTCGAGCACGTTCGGGTCATCCTGGTTGACGAGATGGGCAGCGTTTCGACCGCCTAGTCGGTCGTAGTGTAGCTCACTGCAGGGCCCGCAAGGGCCTTGGTCGCCCATCTCCCAGAAGTTGTCCTTCATGTCTCCGGGGAGGATATGGTCGTCGGAAACGCCAACGGCTTTCCACAGGTCTCGAGCCTCCAGGTCCGGTTCGAGGCCACTTTCAGGGTCTCCCTCGAAGTAGGTCACGTATATTCGGTCGGGATCCAGACCGAATTCCTTGGTCAGGAGCTCCCAGGAGTATTGGATAGTTTCCTTCTTGAAGTAGTCCCCGAAACTCCAATTGCCCATCATCTCGAAGAACGTCTATCACGGTAAGTAGATGATCTTGGCCTAGTAAGGATCACATACATGATGGTAGCTGTCTTTCCCAACATCGTCGAGATCCTTTGCACGTTAGCCTTCGCCTCCGCCTCCCCTTCGCTCATCTATCACTCACATTGTGCTTGCCACCCGCACGAATGCACTATGGATCTGGTCAGTTCAAAGTCTTCCACCATCCAAAACGAGCGTACCTTCTGCGAGTTGACCGCGCTTTTCAATTGGGCGAAATCGGATTGCGGATCGACTGTGCCAAGGAATATTGACTTGTACTGGTTCATTCCCGCATTGGTGAAGAGGAGTGTTGGATCCGATAGAGGGACAACCGACGAAGAGGGAACTGACTCGAGTTAGCTATAGCCTGACAATGAATGACTTCTTGATCACGTACCGAATGTATGTCCCCTCTTCTTGAAAAACTCCAGGAATGTGTTCCGCACATGGGGTGCAGACCATTTTGGCTGCTCATCGACTATTGAAGCCATACTGCGCGGAATGCACGGCAACCGTGGGGCAGAATGAATTCTTGTCGAACGAGGGCGATGTGTCAGCGGTGTTGACGAAATAAACAAATCGCGCCGAGCCGATAATGGAGATAGGCGGCGGAAATTTGGAGTAGAAAGGCCTAGAAATGCGCCGTCGTGACTCAGAATTTGGTCGAACCGTCGATGGAGAACTTGGAGGCCTCTGGAACACATTCAAATAAGCTCAGCTCCCCCAGTCGCCACCAGGGATTGGCTCTCAAAAGGCGTTTCCTTGCGACGCGAACACACGACACTGGTCAATTGCTTCGATTGATAAGAGCTTTACCTATCTCGAGTTATGTTTCTGGACAGTTGAGATTTTGCATGGGTGGCAATGTTGACGATGACGATGGAGGCCCCGCATGGCACCAAGAGGCGTGGCGACAACTCTATTGAGGATGAGCAACGCTTTGTCAAAAGATTCAATCTACTGGATATTGGTAGGTTGTTCCCGATATATCAATCATGTCTCTCCTGGTTCGAATCTAATTCCGCCTCTAGATCCCAATAGCAAGCTATACATTCCGGCCAGTGCCGATGGCGTCCGACAGAACGATGTCTCCCCAAACAACCTCTCCCCAAAGAAACCAACCCGGTCTCGACCCGACGATGATCGGATGCAGGTAGAGGACACAAAGCATAAAGTCTACATCTACGATCTTGACGCCGAACTTGCCGAGCCCGAGCCCGAGCCCGACGAGGACCGCCGCATCTTCATCCCCGACATCGAGAAACACCTCTCCAAACTCCCCCGGCATCTGCTGAAAGGTGCGGAGCTCCAAAGCAATGCGAATAATCAATTGATACCTTATACCATCCCTCGATCGCTGTCGGTGCCGCAGGAGACGGATAGCGTGAGGAAGGCGATCCTCGAGGCACGACGGCGGATCCACGAGGAACAAGCGAAGAAGGAGGAGGCAGCCAGCAACGACATGGCGCCACAGGACTTAGGGACCTCTTCGCAAGCAGAGCAAGCAGAGCAAGCAGGAGACGACCCCGATGCGATGGATTTGGATTGAGGTGGTCAACAGTTCTTGCAGAATAAAGCAACCGTATAGTAGCTTACCCTACTCTGTCGCCTAATCTGGTCTGACCGTCAGCCTCAAGAGCATATGCAACTGGTGGAGAGTGGGTTCGAATCCATGAAATATGTGATACGAAGGAAGGCCTACCCCGAACTCCAGTATGCAGCGGAAGCGATTCGACTGGAGGATTATAGCAGTGCATCTAGCTCCGGAATACCAGTGGGACACCGAACTCTTCGCTTGGTTTCACGAGTCGGTTTCAAAAACGAATGCACCTAGTCGGTTGTTAGCATCCGCTCGAATGGCTGAAGAGATATCTGACGACGGGTCGTTCGCTATGACGGACGATTGTGGACCGCCGGTTGCTTGGGATATTGGCGTTGACGGCTGAGGTTGTTACTCTGAAGATATAGACGATTTCGTGTGGACTAATATCCCTTAGATGGATGCTAGACGTCCGTACGATCGCGCATAGATGCTGGCAGTTCGCGTATGCGAGTTGAATCTGAGACTGCAGCTGACGAGACTAATGGCGAAGGCTCCTGATTGCAATGGAGTCCGTTTAACATTTGTATTTCGTTGGAATAGCTATGGTAGATTTATCGCCTATGTGCTAGTCCGAGACAAGGTCTTCTCAATCCTTTCGCCTCCTGAGGGCTGCTCCCACCTCGCCGGAGCTGACCACCAACAAAATGGCAGAGAAACTCTTCCATATCGGATCATACAGTAACTTTGAATCAAGGCAGATCGAGTTCTTGCCGATCTTCTCATACATACTTGTCATCTCTCCATCAGTCCCACATTGTGTTGTCGAATTCTGCTGCGAGACCCTAACTGAACGTCAATAACTGCTAGTTACTGGTTGAGGGTGGCTTACTCCTCTATTCCCATCGATATCTTACAATCTTATCCCTTTATCTGTTATCAATAAGTAGGAGGCTTCGATTAGTTGCAATGCCAAACCCTTGACCCGTCTTCGCCATCAACTACCTCCCCAGCTTTGCCTAGGCGACATCCCTTTTCTACTACCGCGTACTGCTTCGCTAATGTCCTTATTCTTCGTCCAAGATTTCATAAACCTTGTAGCCAGCATCGCCACTACCCGGTACCGGCGCCGTCCGCTTCGCAGCTTTGCCTCTCGTCCGTCGCGTGCTAGGAGCGGGAACAAACTCGCGTACTTGGGTGTCGCCCCCGAGGTCCATCTTGTCGTTGAGCGCCCCCGAAGCGCTCTGAAACTCGATCTGATTGCGCGGTCGCTTTCGTTTATTCCCGGTGGCTTGCGATGCTTCATCCGCCTCCTGCACGCGCCACCGCTTCACGATTTCGTCCTCCTCCTTGTTCTCCATGCTGTGGAAGGATGCGTGGTGGTTGCAGCCATCGCATTCGAAAGATGTGGCGACCTGGAGAGGGGGATTAGCGTACTAAGAAGACTTGGCTTCCGGATCTCGACTCACCTTCAAGGGATGTATCATAAACCTCATGCAAGGACATTTTGAGGCCATCATTCCAGACTTGTGTTGGCATGACCCTCGAGGTGGAACATAATTCATAGAAACCCATATGCTCGGCTGTGCTCCATTGGCCGCCATGCGTAACATATGAATCTTCAATTGTCTTCAGTGCATTTAAGCCAGGGTTCCGTATAGGTTTGGCAAGAGAAATAGCTTGAGAGTTGGGAGGAACGACAGTGGCGAGTTGGCCATCAAACCGGAAAACCGCTGATGTTGATAAATAGGAACTCGGAGTGCGCGAATTGCCGCTTCGTCCGCCGTATCACATCAACTCACACACCATCTGTGATTGGTGAACTTGATGTCTTCATCCCCCCTCCAGAGCATAACACGATAAGACTCATACTCTGCTGCTGTATGCTCTTCTTGAGAAGATTCGCTACTATGGCACAAGCTCATTCTCGGCCGAGGCGCTTTGCTCCGCTCGAGCAGCCAGCTGAAGCTCATGCGGGAGGGACGGAGTTCAAACCTTTGAGAGGCATAATATTTGACATGGACGGGACACTCTGTATGTCGGATTCCTCTTTGAAGCGTATATAATAAGCCGCATTTATTATTCGTATTCAGTCTGTCTTATTTATTAGATTTTCAGTCGATTGGTTTTTGAAAATTCCGTGCTGCCCAATCATATATCCGTCATTGCTCTCCTCTAATGTGCTTCTGATCCAGGCGAGCCACAGAACTACATGTTCGGCGAGATGCGGTATGAACAATGGCCATTGTTATATAGGGTTAAAGCTGAGGGTGGCCTAGGAATGCTCTTGGAATCGAGAAACCGACCGATATCCTCGACCATATCTACTCGCTACCCGACGAAGAACAGGAAATTGCCATGGAGAAGATCCGTGCAATCGAACGGCAAGCGATGACGCTACAGAAACCGCAAGCTGGACTTATAATGCTGATGGCGTATATCGAATCGAAGGGCATCCCCAAAGCGATTTGCACCCGGAACTTTGAGTACGAGCATTCGACGAGGAAGCGGCTACAGCAATCACTAATTTCCATAGCGGCCCGGTCAACCATCTGCTTGGACGATACCTCACCGAGCACCACTTTCATCCAATAGTGACACGAGAATTCAGACCGGCAAAGCCGGATCCTGCAGGTATCCTTCATATCGCGTCGGAATGGGGCCTCGATGGTGCAGCAAGCGTGATAATGGTCGGAGACAGCTTGGATGATATGACGGCCGGTTATCGGGCTGGTGCGGCGACGGTACTCCTAATGAACGAGACGAATCAGGTGCTGGCGGATCATGAGCATACGGATTTAACGATACGCAGGTAAGCTTCTTCTCGGTAGTTCCCCTGAAACAAGCGCTTTGCTCATGGATTTTTGCGAGTAGATTGGATGAACTCATCGACATTCTGGACAATGGATTCCAAGGACGGCTAGACTCATGATATGCGCCCTCCTCGGATCGCAATATGCCATAGACTGCTAGAATATTGGAACGAGTTTCATTTTCATCTACGGAGGAGAGCAGAGTCAGGTAAAACCGACCTTGCAACAAAGTAGGTACCTAATTAGGTACAAGAAGTTCCTGGTGCTATGTTCCAGTTTTGTGCTTGAATCGATTTGCTCCTCCAACGACCCTAAGGTGTATCGCTCAACACCCCCAATCCCATCATCTTGCCCGAACTCCCAATAGGAACTACGCCGTCTCCCTCACTCGCCTTTGCATTCAATTGACTCTCCAATTACATCACACGCGCTTGCTACGGGCACGGCCTGCTTTTCGATCACGAAACGATCGCGACACCATCGGTGTCGGGGGCTCGGCTTCCCCTCCCTTGCCGCTGTCAACAGTCTTCTGCCTCTCAGTTTTCGACATCGAGAACATGCTAAAGGCCGTATCGAGCTCCTCCTCCACCTCATCTCTCCACGAAACCACCGGCTTCTTTCCTCCCCTCTTCGCCGACATGGCCTTGTCACGCTGACCTGTTGCGGTGGGTCCATTGCCAGTGATCGCACGGAACCCGGGTCCCGTAACCTGGTCACCGTGTTTGAGTTCGAATTCGTCGCGAAGGGATGCCATAGTTGCCCCTCCCTCCGTCATTCGGGGTCCAGCGGAAATCATGCTTTCCCCGTCGGATGACTCCGTGGGCGACAACTCGGAGGATGGAGCGCGGATGGTACGCCGACTCGCTGGTGTCTTCGCTTCCGCCGCCTTCCGCTTTGCTGCATAAATCGACGACAGAGGATGATCATCGGTATCCGATGCGCTCTCCAAGTGGTTGGTGGAGCCCCGTTTGATAACCACGACCTTGTTGCCGTACTCGTCCCTGACTCGACGTTGAATAATGCAATCCGGGTAATCATCCTGATCGGATTCAGGGTCATATTCAGAAGATACCGACTCATCAACCTCCATCCTATCCGGATCAATCGGTCCCCCCCCCCCGAGAGGAGCATGTTCCACCACCGGCTTGTTGATCGGAGTGAATTTTGAACCCGGGTACGCCGAACCTTCTCCATTGTCCGCCATGTCTTCGTCCGTGTCCGGGACCGACGAGAGAGGCGAGTCGCTCTCCGCATCGTATTGCGAGTTTGTAGATTGGTTGATGGCCTTGAACCGGGTTGATGACGACGCACAGGACGCCACATTCGAGTGTGGAGCTGCCATGGCATTCGAAGCGCGGTTGGACTGAGTCGGTCGAGGTGGTCCACCTGCAGCATTGCTGGGACGAGGACGACGCCTGGAGGAAGCAACTCTGCCGCCACGACCCCTCGACGAAGAAGCAACTCCGCCACCACGTCCCCGCGACGAAGAAGCAACTCCGCTACCACGGCCTCGCTGCGCCGAAGCAATCGATCCTGACTGTTGGGTGTTGCTATGGGTAGGATGCTCCGAGTTATGAGGAACTGTAGTCCCTTGTTGATGAGTAGTGTTGGTGCCAGCGTGATACGCCGGATGCCCCTGGTGATGAGCAGCAGCTTGACCAACGTGACCATGGGTAGGCTGCCCTGGGTTCTGGGGAGCATGTCCACCACCTTGCTGCTGCATTGCCGTGCCGACATGCTGCTGGACCGCACCGCCGGCTTGGTTCTGGACAATGGTCGCGGCTTGCTGGAGCGGGTTCGGGGCATTTTGATTCAAGAGAGCAGCGAACGGCCCAGGCTGCGGCTGAAGAAGGTGCGGAGGGTTTGCGATATTCGGAAGCTGGTTCATCGTCGGGTTGATCACTTGTTGGTTGCCATTTAGAACATTCGCATGTAAGTTGAGTTGCATCTGACCGCCAGTGAGGGCGAGAGTACCCGCTCCTGGCGGAGCGTTGTGGTTGTTCGGCTGCATGGGATTGTTCATGATCCGGAACAGATGGGGCTGTTGATACGCGAAGCCAGGCCCCGCGACGTTGACTTGGGAGATCGCCTGGGTGTTGAAGAGGTAGATGTGCCGCGGAGGAGGATTCCCACTCATGATCAGTGACAGGGGGACATTGGCCAAGTGAGAGTGGTTCTGGCCTGGGTGCAGACTGCACGGAAAGGTCGAAAGCAACCCATAGTGGAAGTTGTCCATGCCACCTGGGGGCACAGTCCCCGCGGCCATCGCGCCATGAAACCCATTGCTGAAGATGAAGACAGCATACATTTGGACCGAACGGCCTGAGGAATCCTGAGCTGGGAACGCCGAAGGTCCAAGGTACAGCTGTTTCGCATAGATCTTTTTGGAGTCGGTAATTTTCAGTTGTTTGGGAAAGATCCTCTGGCTCTTCAAATATTTCGCGAACTGTGCCTTCTCGGCTGGAGTGATCGGCGGGACGTATTTGACCTTGAGATTCTCGGGCTGTCCTCCACCGGGCAACCCAGCCGATTGCATCGTCGGTGCTCGAGGAGGACGAGGATTGGGTCCGTTAAGTGGGTTGACGCTCGGAGCAGATCTGTTTACTCCAGACGACATGGCGATGGCGTCTGAGCAGGTTATCGATCGCGATGAGCTTGGATCAAGGAGGTCGGAGAGGATAATAGGTGAGAAAGGGATGGAGGTTTCAACGAGACCTCGGAAAAGTGAGGGTAAGAGTGTGAGGTGGATGAGGTATGAAAATTTAGCAAGATGAGGGTAGAAGAAGAAACGGACAGTGCGGCAAGTGATAGCAATCCAAGTGAATGGGTGAATTGAAGATCATCTTTGACATGTGGTTTGTTGTCCGCGTTATTCACAATGATTTGCAACACAAGAGACCCTGAGCAACTCTTATCGCACTGATGACTATTCAGCCTGCCATTTACACGTAAGGTCCGAGTATCAATAACATGACTTCCAAATTTGCTGGATTTGAGTTCATCTTCGGAATAAAAGAGAATGACTCCCATATTCTCACTTACTCCAATTACCTCCATCGCAGGCATAGCCAAGTCAACAATATCAGTGCTCATTCAGTCTTATTCAACCAAGTGACCATTGTCAAGATCAACAATAGCCAAAATAGGCAATGTATCGTTCGATTCTCCACTACACCCAGGCTGATAAATTCAGGCAGGAACGGAATGGATGGTCGTCGTGGGCGTCGAAAGACATTCCAGAGTTTTGGGAACCACAGTGTATCCAACAACATCACAAGACTACTTTGAACCGTGGTCCGATGAGTTGTCGCGGTTTGATCCTTGCTCGAACGTCTTTTGCAGGCTCAAGGATGTGGACGGGCAATACATTGTCCTTCTTTGGTGGAATAGCAAGGGGCTCAGAAGCAGATCCACACCTGGATATGTCGAACTGGAGGATTACGAGAGCGACAAAGCTGAGAATCTCGTTGGTTGCAAAGTGCCTGCCGGGGCAGAGTGTGGCGCCTCCACCGAATGCTCGAAATGCCGCTGGATGGATTTTTGGTATTGGTGTCGAGGCTCCGGTTTTTGAAGTCGGTTTTTCCGACGTCGTGGCTGAAAGGGTTCCATTAGAGGAGTCCAGAAATCGGGATGGATTAAATTGGTCAGCATCGTCACCCCAGATGTCCTTCGCGCCATGCATGATACCAGCGGATATCTGCACGATTGACCCAGATTGAAGAAAATATCGGTCTGCAAGGATGGTGTCTTGCAAGACTAGACGGGTAGAAAAGTTGTCCGAGCCCAAACGTAAGGCTTCCCGGTACACAGCGAGGAGGAGCGGAAAGTTGTTTCGTAACCGCTCGATACTGATGTTTTGTCCCGTCACGGCATTTCCCATGATCCCCTCTCGGATCTCACGGAGCATTTCGGGACGAGCATAAATATGGAGAATGACCCAGAAGCTGGTAATGGCGGTGTTGACCACTGCTGCAAAGAAGAATGATAGCTCCGATCGGGCAATCTGAGGCAAGGTCCAGCCAGCTAGAGACGCAATCTGTATGCGCTTCTGGATAATCTTCGCCCCGGAAAGATGATGGCCGTTGGCAAGATACTCTTCAAATGCTTTTGCGAGCCTCTCCCGTCCACGATACGCCTTACGAGCCGTAATCGAAGGCATGAGGTTGACGAGCAAGCCTCCCAAGTTGTGGTCGAAGTCCCAGAAACTTTGGACGAGTGTGGGATCTACCGCGATTGGATTCTCTTTTCCATAGACGAAGTGGGCCGTCGAATAGGTCACGACTTGCTGCACCCAGTGCAATAAGTCGACCACCATACCATCCGTGCTCTTCGCAGATTCCTGGAGGTGCTGGGTGAGCTCCGTTGCAAGTTGGGCCGATGCGCTCAAACTCAGCTCGTTCAAGCTCTCCCCTAGGGCCAAAGAGGAATATACTAGGTCATGCATCTCAGGAACGAAGCCACCAGGGCCGTCTTCGCGGTTAATGTTCTTTCTGATGATCTTGACCGTATCGTCATCCAACCCCAGGACCCTCTGCGTAAGGATAGGGATCAAAGGCGTGAATGAAAGCGATTTCGATCGTTGTACCGTCGCTGCTAGCGCTGCATCAGTGACCACATACGTCCTGGAATTCAACGTGGGAAGCGTGAATATAGGGAGTTTGCGGCGTGTCCCGACGGTTTTAGTGTAACGTCCGCCATGAATGATCATGCCCAAGATATGGCCAATCCAGGGAATATTCGAGCGAAGGACGGGAGGTTCTCTAGGGTCGACTTTCCGGGTCGATAGATCGATGAGGATTTCATAGATCACGACAGCCCCCAGGAGGAGAGCTGAACCAGTGTAAAGCGATAGGTTCTCCATGTTGAGGCTAGAAGAAAGCCATGAAGATACGTACAAAGGGGCTACAAGTAACCATCTATGTGATTAGGATGGACTTAAATACAGTAAATTGCATTGACTGCGAGATAGGTATGTAGTACCATTGCAAACGGAGATTCGGTAGTACTGCGAACGGAGATATTTCTGTTCAGCAGACCATCATGTGAAGTCGAGCAAAATGATGCTGAGATGGACAGTTGAAACATGATTGGTTGAATGTTAAATTGCATCGGTGCTAAATTTCCTAGCGTGAAGGCCGCAAGGCGCCAACGCCGCTCTTTATCCATCAATCCAGTCCATGTCTCATGCATGAACAGAATGAATCAACTGAACATGAACAGCGGAACTGTTCTCGATGTCAACGGAACGGGAAAGCAATGCTCAACACTTAGATCACGCCTCAAACCAAGAGATCACATGAATGATATAGCGCCGGCCTGCGCCGATTCCTCCAGAACGCGCTCGCAGAGAACCAGAAGACATTCACGATGACGAAACAAAGAAACGAAAATTGCAACCCACGCTATATGCAGACACGGCCAGAACAAAACCAAGAGACGCAAGTTATGGATGGGTTGAGGAGGAGTGAGAGTTGGGACACTTTACCCAAGAGCGGATCTTGGAGTGTGTTTCCTGTCGGCTTCAAATAGCTTGTAGAAGCTTCTTCAGGTCTTTCTCCATGGCTTTCCTTCCGTCGTAAGTCGTCCATATCTCGTGAGGAGTCTTAGGAACCACATCCCAGACGACGAGGTTGTCGGTGATGGTCGTGAGGTCGTTCTGCTTCTTCTCCCACGCAGAATCCTTCCGGACCCTGACTCCTGAACTCATGACGACCAGTGGAGCCGAGCGGTCTTGGATAACGCGTGCAGAGGAGATGTCTTGCTTGGTAAATGAATCAGCCACAAGGCTCTCCTGCAGCTCCGCCTTGATGAACCGGCCGCTTTGGTATGCACTGCGACCATAGATACGGTCCTCCCTGGTCCGGCCGCGGAAGAAGGCACCCACCAGCCGATCGATACCGAGAGGTGAGATGATACCCCACGCCCAGAGCCAGAATCCTGTGCCTGGCGATGCGAACCTGTAAAGTAAGTCTTCGTGCAGTGGATCGATCAACATGAGTCCGGAAACCCGGTGTCCGTTGTTGCTTGAGAAGATCCGGCTGACAATACTACCTTTGCCTGCCGAAACAAGAACCCAGGGTCCGTCCTCTCCCGCTATGGCAAGCGCCTCCATCAGAGCTCGAGCCGTCATTCCCGCCGAGTGCGGTGATGGCGCATTATCTGACCAAGCCTAAGCAGACCGTCAGTCTTGTGGATATTGACACTACAGGATGGGATCAACCATACGTAGCCTGGTCGGTCCCAATAACAATATCGCGAGATGGTGCCATTTTTCAGACAGTTATATGCCCACGGTTCCAGACCATATTCGACAGTACCTTCACCAGCCTCGAGCAATATTGTTGGCATCGGTTTGCCATCTGCGTTGGTCGCATTTCCTACGCAGGCAAGATGGACGGCGTACTTGCCATCATCCACCAAAATCTTTTGTCCCTGCATCCTCAACGACGAATCTCTGGCTCTCAGACTTAAGGTAGCCGTGAGGAGAACGACAATCGCTATAAAAACGCTGAGAATTATTGTGGATATCAACACTGACAACCATTCTCTGGCGGTTCGCCGCGTCTCGGGCCTCCCGGTGAGCCTCTCCTCTTCCTCCTGCTTTCCCCACGCGACCACCCGATCCACTGTTATGCACCAGACGGATATGAGGAATGCCCATACAACGGACGCAATGCCAACCCAGCCCTCCTCAATGCGAAGCTTTGACACTGCCAAGATGAGGATCATATCCACAAGGAGGAACAAGCTGACCACGGCGGCCAGGATTCGCATGGCCTGGGACGGTGAAGCAAAAAACAAAAGAGATACCAGGATATTTCCAATGGTCAGGCATGTGAACGAGAAGTGCGTGAACCCGGAGCCGCGCGATTGGAAGCCCGGTGGGGAGGCGAAAACCGACACCAGGAGGAGGATCCACCAGATGAGGGTGATGAATAGGAACAATACCGTCAAATACCGCAGGAATCGAATGGTCCACAGATTGTACGGGGAGACCTACTTTCTGTTAGAAGGGAGGGAAAGCATGGTAGTGATACTGACGGCTGGGTCGTCTGGGTCCAGATACCCATCTGACCGCGGAGGACGTGGATGTGATGCAAGGAGCCGTGTCCTTTCATCTGGCTCTCGTGCAGACAGATCCTGATCATGCCCTTCCCCGCTTCCTCGAGGCTCTTCCTCTGAATCCCCCCACTTGGGCATACGGGATGAAACCATGTTGTCTCCAACAGCAATAGTACGAGTGGAGGTTGAGGGGAGTGTTACGAAATGCAGTGGAATGGTGGGCTTGTGGTTGAGAGAGGTTGTGAAACTCTGCGGCTCTCAATGCCTGCAAAATACCTGAGCAAAGAATGTTGCATATGCGATCGGGGGTTTGACGATGTACGTCATCGATCGAGATGTGATCGATATTAATGCCTCAGGCGTTAAGGCCAATATTATTTAGAGCAACATGAACACGTGATGTGAATCGATATTGGCCTTTATGCCTTATTGTTGCCTCAGCCTTACAATCGAAACGGAATGGATGCTGGATCTCGTGAGAACGCGTGCCTAGCGCGTCACAACTTTCCGTCGCGTTGTAACCAGCCTACGATCGTTTGTCATCCCAAACGCAACTTTCGATCGAGTTTTTCCTGTCGTGCATAGGTGCGGTGCATCTCACGTTGCCGAAGGTGGTCATATATCCCGCACTTATGGGACGATTAACTCGACACACTTCATATGCCCCTCGAAGAGCATTCTTTGTCCTCCCACAACCGTATGCTAGGCCATAGCAATGAAGTCGGGGGAACTGCCAATGGAGAATCCGAGCCACCGACGAAGAAGAGACGGACTTTGGATGCCTACATCGAGATCGAGAAGCCTGGAAATGGTGTATGCCAGCTTGTGCACCCTGAAGTTGAAGAGCGCCAGGACGAGACTACTTCGGATATTGAGACCGAGGGGAAGCATCCTGACGACGAACGACAGCCGACCGACCTGGAAAGCGCTCTTCCTCCTATAGAGACGGATGAACAGGCGATTGACGAGTACGAATCATACCGGTCGTCACAAGAGGGCCGAAAGGCACTGGAAGGACGATTGAAAGAACGGAAGTGGATCATTGGACAGAGCTCAATATACGTTGATGCCTTCAATCTTGCACTTGAAACGGTCCTAGAGGAAGAAAGCCATTTGTTCAACGAGGCAGAACGCGCGATATTTTATATCTGGAGAAGCTTAAGTTATGAGGCACAGTACCTCTATGTCAGGCTCTTCCTCCGAAAAACGTCGGCATGGCATCGAGTATCGAGCCTCGGGTATTTCAGCGATATTTCGGATCTGGAGTCCGCGCTTGAGACTTTACAAACCGTGAGAGATCTCCCGACCGTAGAAAACGAAGAGCAGTCACATCCCAACGGACTTGAGTTACCTGAAGGGATGACACTAGGCTGCAGCTTTACTTTTGCCGGCCGATCAGAACAGGAGATAAAGACGCTCGAAGAGGCTTCTTCGTTACTGAAGCTGGATGAGCTGAAAGTGTTTGCGAAAGAGGCAAAAGTTCAGGGCAAGAACAAAACCGAATTGTTGCAGGCACTTCGCAAGACCAGTCGAAAACAGGCTGGTCTCGGGTGGGTGAAGAGATCCAATACGGAAGAAACGACGGAGTCGAGAAGCGGTAGTAATACGCCCAAGGTTGAGAATGATATGAACCTCGACGCGCATTTCCTTGACAAGATCCTTAAAGAAACCGGTCCATGCATCCGGCTGAGCCTTCCAGTTCTAAAGTTGTTTGAACGGGTACATCTGGTCTTCTATCGGTCTACGGAATGGACCGAGAAATCGCTGACCGCCATCATTCTCTCCCGGATCTCGCGCCGCAATTTCCCGGACTACATTGTTTCCCGGTCCGCCTCCATATTCGACTCCCGGGCGTTGCTGATCGAATACGAGAGCGCTCTTCGGGCGCAATTCCGCGTCGATAACCTTCTGGAATTCAACGGACGACCGACTGAGGAGGCTCTGCAGGATATCATAGATGCCTTCGAAGCGGTCTATCCGCGATGGAAGACGTTGCTCGCGGAAGAGCAACGGAAAGAGGACAGCATATTTCACAGCGGTGAGGGTGCGTATCTGCGGCGCCTCTCGCCGGCGTGGGTGTATACCCGGATCATCCACAAAGCGGTGCACGTCCTTGGGAAGCAGAAGCAGCACCTCCGAGAGCACGCCGTTCTGTCTGACCTGCTTCAGCAGCGGTTGTTCCACGCCTCGCGGCGAGGCGCTTGGTATCAGCGCAAGGCGTTGCTCGAGGAGCACTACATGCGAAATCTGATGCCAGACGAAGGCCGCAACGAAGCGGCGCAGAAGAAGCACTGGACGCGAGTTGCATTGCGTACTTGCGAAGAAGGGTTACAGGACCCTCTCGTTCACATTGTCCACCACTACGACCTACAGAAGCGGATCACGAAACTGGAGCGCCAACTCAAGATCGCGAAGCGAGCACAGCATGACTTTGCGCATGTCCGTCTCGCGAAGCCGACCGAAAACACGATATCAGGGATCCGTGTGGAGAAGTCGACGAGCCGGCCAAATAACGAAGGCAAGCGGGGGTCCGCAACCGTCTGGCTTGACCCCCTGGAGGACGACGGTCTCTGCCGAGTTGAGTCCCTATGTCTGTCACACTATCGCTCGGAAGGATGGAAGGGCTTCCACACCGAAGGTGGGATCCTCCGCACCTTGTTCGCCTATCTGTTCTACGATGTCCTATTCGCGTATGTCCCTCACGTATTCCAAACGTCCTTTCAGACATGCCCGTTGGACCTGCACACCGATGCGTTTTATGCGGCGCGGATGAGCGAGATCAATGGGCGGTTGGCGCAGATTGCGAACGGTGGCACGGAACGGCTGATTCGCAACGTGTACGATGAGCACCACGAGAAGCGGACGTGCGTCGTGGGATTGGATTGGAATTTTGATATTGACGACGTGCTAGAAATCGCGGTGTGCTTCGATGGCGAGGCCTTGGCTACGATATGCAAAGTGATGGCCCAGGAGTACGCGCAGAGAGGAAGCGGAGTGCCGGACCTGTTTCTGTGGCGCATGGGCCGAAAGGAAGTCATGTTCGTCGAAGTCAAAAGCGAGAACGATCGATTAAGCGATAACCAGAGGCTTTGGATACACGTAATGACGGGTGCGGGCGTAAAAGTTGAGCTTTGCAATGTCATTTCTAAGGAGGTACGGTATCTCGACTAGCAGTGTCTCCTGATGGACGACGAGCGTTTGGATTGGCCACGACGGGATGACAATTAGTAGCTGCGGGGGAGATCAAGCACCTTTTCAGCCACGAAACTCATGATCATCTCCTACAATGAAAGTCAGTGATTTGTCTCCTTATGATCCGTATTGACCACTTACCCGGCTGACGGGGGCAATTCTCGGAACAAAGCATTCCCGCAGGTATCTCTCGACATGGAATTCTTGCGCATAACCCATTCCTCCATGGGTCATGACCTATTCGTCGTCAGTATGACTCCTGTAGTGTAAAGCTGGGGCAACACTCACCGCCCTCTCACACGCCGTGAAGGCTGCCTCGGCTGCCAAGTACTTCGCGCTGTTTGCGGCAACACCGACAGCTTTCGCCGTGATGCTTTTGTCTTCTTTGCTCCTGTCGTACAATCTGGCAGCATGATACGTGGCCAGTTTCGCGGCTTCCAGATGCATGTATGCCGATGCCAACGGATGTTGAATACTTTGATTCTGCCCAATCGGTCGACCAAACACCACTCGGTTGCGCGAGTAGGTGGCCGCCTTTTGAAGGGCGGCGTAGCCGAGTCCCAATGCTTCTCCGGCGAGGAGACAACGTTCGGCATTCATGCCATGAAGAACCTGAGCAGCCGCAGTGTTAACTTAAGTTCCAAAATTAGCTGAAGATGGGAACATACGATCTTGAAGCCTTGGCCTTCTTCACCAATCAGTGAATCGGCAGGTATCCGATAGTTGTCGAAGAAGATTTGGTTGGCATCGATCGCTCGACCACCCATCTTCTTGATTTTAGTCATTTCAAGACCCGGTTGAGATTTATCGAGGGGAATGAAGAACAACGACAGTCCTTCCGACGGTTTTTTCACCTGGTCCAGCGGCGTCGTACGCGCCAGCAGAATCATATTAGTCGCTACCTGCGCGGACGAGATCCAAATCTTCTGCCCCGTGACACTGTACGAATCCCCATCTTTCTTGGCCGTCGTTTGCAGCTTCAGCGTCTCGAGCCCCGTGTTCGGCTCCGTGACGCCAAAGCATACCCTCCTCTCCCCTCTAATCAACTCCGGCAGCCATCGTTGCCGTTGCTCTGCGGAGGCAAACTTAGCCACCGGTTGCGTCGCGTAGACATTGGCGTGTATTGATTGCGCGCCAGCGATGCCACCTCCGCTCTCCGAGATGGTATGGAGCATCATCGTCGCCTCCGAAATGCCGAGTCCCGCGCCTCCCAGCTCTTCCGGCAATGCAATTCCGATCCAACCGTCTCGGGCCAGCGCTGCGTGGAGACCGTGAGGGTACTCACCCGATTCATCATGCTTGGCCCAGTACTCGTCCGGAAAATCCGAGCAGATTTTAGTGATGGCATCTCGGACTGCCAGCTGCTCTTCGGAGAAGCCGGACAGCTCCATGATCCGAGACGGAGACGTCGCTGAAAAGCAACGTGCCTGACGTGCAATACATTGCGGGGTTGCCTTGGAGGCTATTCGTGTCCCCGATCTTGATAAGGAAAAAAGAGTCCGCGAGGAGAAAGACATTCTGTGCTTATGGCTGAAAGGAATCAAGGATATCGGCACCCATACAAGAGTCGTGCAACGAAGCTTTATAGAACCGAACAAGATACAGGAGATGGTCCGTGAAAAGCCCAATTAAGTCCGCGAATATATAAAACCTTCTTGTTAAAGCTATAGTAGATATGCAAATGGAATCCAGGATCATGAATGAAAGTAAAGGAGCATTTCAATATCCCCACGCTATTCCCGAGGATTGCCGTCAATCGGTCCGGGTGCCGTTACGTTGCCGGCCTCGGGGGGTTGGCCTGTCAACCGACTACCTCCATTGGCTGGATTTCATTGGTTCGGTTGGCAGTTGTGAGTCTTGATGCCTTGTGGCCTTCGAATCTTAAGCATCACGTGTTTTGTTCAATGGCGCAGTAGTGTGGCACAGCTTAAAATTGCTTACTAAGGAGTACCCCTGTCACCATCTGTGGTACGTAGAGCACCACATCCAAACAACACCCTCGTCCTCGCCGGTAATCTTGCACCATCATCACCTCGTGCACATCTTCACAACAGCTTCTTGCTTCTAGCTTTTTGATCCAAGTGGCTTTTGGTTATCGACTCTCTTGAAATCATCATGCTCTCCCTATAAATCATCCGCAATTCTTTGTTGCGACTCTCTGTTTACACCTCTCGCCGCGCGACGCGTGCTTTGTTGACAATGACGATGCTACGATCGAAAGCCTCGATCGGGTCGGCCCAATGGCTGCTCAACGAGAATGAGCAGGCTCAGGAACTCATTGACCAGGAAGTGGAAGAGTTCAGCTACTCCGTGCGAAATGATTTGGAGTGGTTGAATGAGCATATGAACGATGTCTTCTCGGGGAGGAACATGTAGGCTCAACGCGATGTTGTTTACGCTCCATCAAGACTGATCTCAACCACAGAAACGTTACCGATGTTTTCAAGACACCAGGAAAACTTCGAGGGAAGACTCCTCGTACTGCGAGGAAGCGCAATGCGCTTGAAAAGAGAGCAGTATGTTTGCGTACCTCTTGGCTTGGGCGATATCTAACTGCTTGCAGCCGCTCAGCGATCTATTTGCACCGAATCCACAAGCTAATCCTAGCCCGCTACATAAATCATTGGCCACAAAGAATCCTATATTCCAAGTGGCGGAGGATATTGAGAACCGACCGCCCACATCCGCACGCAAGAGCCCAAACAAAGCTATCGGCGCGGGCAAAGAAAATGTCGACTCAGGATACCATGAGCCCTCGCATTATGAAATGCACGTCGACCCGGCTCCACCAGCAACACTGAGCCAATCCTCGACATTGTGTACCTCGCAACAGTCGGCCATTAAGTCTCCCGTACTAACGAACACACCCCAAAACATACAAGATCGCGACGTAACGGATGATTCGTTTGTGTCTGCAAAAGAGGATTTGGTCGCCAGGGAGGCCGCAATTAAAGCAGCATCCGATGATGTATTTGTCGACAAAGAGAATCTTCCACGCGCGAGTCCCCGTCCTCAAGCCGAGCCAGCAACGGCTCCGGAAGACCAGGATATTGAAATGGGGGGAACTGGGGATGAAAACGAAACTATGGACGTCGATGGTACGCACTCGCCCTCTGATGGTTCAAGCCCTGTGAAGCCGCTGCTTCGCAAAAGCAGCATGACTTTCGCAGCGCTGCCGGGTCGCGAGCCGCATATGAAGAGCATCGGCGGGAGGACGTCGGGAACCAACCCCTTCAATGGCAGGAGCAGTCAACTGGGACGGTTTACTGGAGGTAAGAGTTTGGGCGGTCCACAACTGGCACGCACCTCCAATGCACCGACCTCGGATCATATGGACGTGGACGATGATACCATGCCTCCGTCTCTCCCTCGTGAAGAGTCGGAAACGACTCGAATGCATCACAAAACTTCCACTCAGAGACTCGCCGACAAGATCAACATGCTTGGGAAGTCGAAGGAACCAAGGGCGTCCAAGTCGATCACGGTCAATCCGCAGCCTCAGTATCCCAACATTTCATCGAACTCGGACAAGGTTCATTCTGAGCCATCACCACCACCAGTCCCACCCAAAGATGTAGCAGCCGAGCGTGAACTGGTCAATTCTTTAGATGACGAAGATGACTGGATCGCACCGGTGCAATATAAACCCCTTGCTGAGGAGATGCAACGACCCCAGGTCTTCAAGACGCGCTCGCAGGAGACGATCAAGACTGTGGTGGACGAGGAACATCCTTCAACCCAAATGCCTATTGTCAAGGCCTCGACCAATCCCACATCTCCTTCTCGCCCAGGGTTCCTTTTTGGGCATGGCAAATCGGTTTCCTCGTCGGCTGTCCCGTCGCCACTTCGACCGGCTATGGCGCTAGAAGCGTCGCACAAGAAAGCATTCTCCGTCTCGAATCCTGACCTGCGAGCCGGCCTCGAGTCCACCACTCCGGCCGGGTCTCCCACTGGTAAGCGGTTCGGCGACGGCCCCTTAAGTGCATCCAAAGCCAAACTTTACTCTGTGCTAAAGTCTGCCAAAGGAATATTTGCAAGCAGCGCGGGAATCAGCGCACAGGCCAAGATGGAAGCGTTGTCTCCAATGCCAAGTCCGCGGCGAGAGCGAACCATCATGGAGAACGGCCCTCTCAGTCCCAATCCCAATGTTCAGCCGACATATGCATTGTATCCCAACCTCGGCGAATCCATTGCGTCGGGACCGTCCTCCAAGAGTCCCAGCCGTGAATATGAAGGGCGTCGGTTGCGGAGCTCTTCGGAACGCGAGAGAGAGGAGAAGCGAAAGGAAAAGGAGGCCAAAGAACATCGGAAGATGGAGGCGGGGCTCCAGAAGGCGCGGGAGAAGGAAAGCCAGAGAGCGACCGCTCAGAAAATGCAGCAGTCAAAGACTACAGCGAAGGCCAAACAGGCGGCCAGCAGCATTCGCTCTGGAGCAACGAGTCAGGCCGGGTCCGACACCGAACGAAACAAGGTGGCGGATGAGATGCCACCTCCTCCGCCCCCGAAGAGTCTGCTCCCAACCTCACAATCAAAGTCCCGGGAACCACGCAAATTATTTAAGCCCAGCCGTGAGAATTTGAAGACCCGACCGGCGCCGGTCTCGATCAAACTTGCCTCGCAGCGTATCGGCCAACTCCAACCGAGCACGGCAGCACTGTCGGCATCATTGCAAGATTCCTTGGGTCCTGCTCCACCATCAAAGCAACCGGGAATATCCACCAAGGCGAGCAATCCGTCTCTGCACTCCGCCTCATCCACTGGCAGCATCAAGGGCCGACCCCGAGCACTTGAAGCAGCAATGAAGAAGAAAGAGCAGGACGAAAAGGCCGCACAACGAAAGGCGGAACAGAAGCGGGAGCTGGAGCAACGGCGCCAGGCCAAGGCCGAAGAGGACCGTCGACTCGAGCAGCAGCGGAAAGCAGCGGAAGCCGAGCGCGCTCAACAGGCACGACAAGCAGCACAGAAAAAGGCCGAAGAGGCTCGAAGGCGCCAGGAACAGCAGCGGAAGGATGCGATGCGTCCCCCAAGTCGGCCCGGCAATGATCTTGCGTCCGCTTTGCAGCAAGAGAAATCTCATGGTCATCCACCCCATCCTCGATCCGATTTGACGGGGCCAAGGCCAATGTCCACTAAGCCCGGCGGCGGCGTCGTTCCCCATGTAAACCCGGCGAAGCCTCCCAAGCGTCTGTATCAACAAGATGCGGAGGATGAGTCCGCTCCTCGACCAGTCCCACGACAAGGGCCGCCATTCCAGCAACTCGATACCAAGCGCCGAAAGACCGAAGACATTGAGGACGAAGACGTTGAGAACCGACGGTCGGTCATGGCGCCACCGATTCGCCAATCCAACATTCGCAAGGTAATGACCCATTCCTCCATCCATCCATTGTTTCAATCGCACTAACAATAAGCAGGAACCAAGCAAATTCACGCATGGATATGTCCCCGCTACTCAGGCTCCAGCACATGCTCCGTCCATGTTCAAATCGGCGGTTACGGCACAGCATAATCTGCAGCACGGGAAAATTCCTGATAACGCCAAGTTTGCAAGCGGACGCATCCCCTTTGCCGATGCGCCAAATCCCCCTGCCGGGCCTTCCAACCCATCGCACGCCCCACAGCAGTTCAAGACGCCTGGTCGACCGGCCGCCTCCACCGCAGTCGCGACCACCAGCAAATCCTCCCCGGCTCTCCCGCCCGGAGAATCCATCGCACTCCCCGAGATCGCCACCGACAGCGAAGACGAGGACTCCGAGAACGAATTTGTCGCCCCATCCTGGGTGAACTCGCCCGCGCTCAACTCCCTACTGCAACAGCAGCAGCTGGTGGACCCGGAGCAGATCTTCGGGCCGATCGCGCCGCTGCAGATGGAGGAGATCTTCAAGAACAAAGATCGGCACAAACGGTTCCGCGACCGCACGAGCAGCGCGAATTGGAGCGGGAACGATCGGCTAACGGAGGAGGAGCGGAGGAAGGATCGGGAGGCGAGGGAGAAGTTGGTGAAGGAGGGGGGGTGGAGTTTTCATCAGAATCCGTGAGTGGGGTGGCTCGGGAGAGATTGAACGCATTGAAGCCGGACTTCGGAGTTGGAATACGAGTGTGCTTTCCGGATGGATTCTGAGTGCGGTTGAGCTCGTGCAAAGCACTTGAGTTCCTGCCCTCGATCCAGCTGGTCAAGCTACTCCTTCCTACGTTCTGGTCGGTTCGACGAGGGATTTTGAGACCCAGGTTCGGATATTTGGATTCTCCACCACGATCAGAGTATGAGCATCGTTGCGTTACCCATGGAGATGAAATTGGGAATGATTTCGGTTGGAACGACGGGCGCCTATGGTCGGGCTATGAAGGGGTGCTTGGGATTGGCGTAAGTTGGCATTCAAGGCGCCTCAGATGGTCCTGCACATACACGGATTACTACATATGTCATTCAGCAAGCAGTGAAAAACCTTTTCCATGTTTCGGAATGCTGCTGCCGATAATGCAATAAAATGTATCAAATTCAATCCGCTCATAGCTGACCTTTTCCACGCCATTGATCCAATCCCGCGCCCACCCTATGTACCGGCTACCCATTCATTACATTAAGATTACCGTGTATTCCTCGTCCCAACATCCCACGTAACCATCTAGGAGGTCGTATTACATATATATCATTAGAGTCGCTTCCTCATAAACATTTCGCAATCACCGGCCATCATAACCCAACGGCCGCCAAGATTAACCCCACCACCGCACCCATTCCAGCATTTGACCACAGCACCGAAGTCGCTCCGCCTGTAAAGCTCGGCGGGCGCGTGCCGCCAGTCGTGCCTGATGGACCCACCGGCGTACGGTAAGAGGGGGTGATGGTGGTGCCCGGGGGACCCGGCTTGGACGTGTTATTTCCATCGTACGGCGGCCTGGGACCTCCCGTACCCGTCCCGATCGGCGAGGACAAGGTGAACGAGGGCGTGCGGGTATAGTTGTGCGGAGGGACGACCGTGGTCGGGCAATCGGCCGGCGGCGCCGTGGAGTTCGTGGCCGGCGGCGGAGGGGCGCTGTTCGTTGGAGGGGGAAGCGCTGTGCCGTCGCCTGCTGGGATCGAGTACGGGTCGCTCCCGTCCTCGGGATAGGCGATGCCGTGGTACTCGCATGTCGCGGTTCCCGAGGTGGGGTCGCCCTGGTAGCAGAGGGCGGCGGGTTTCGTGCCTACCTCGGGCACGTCGGCGAGGTTGTTAGAACAGAGGTCGGGGATGGCCAGGGCGGAGGCGTTGCAGCGGAATATGACATCTGTTTGGAGGCTGTCGCCGGCGCAGAAGTTGGCGTTGGCCTTGGTGCAGACGAATGCGCCGGACGTCTTGTTGCTATGGGAGGTTTCAGTAAGATGGCATACTACTGGATAGGAGAGGGACGTGGGGACGTACTAGAAGACTTGGGCGCGGCAGAGCGCTGATAGCGCAAGAAAGATGAGGTTTCTTCGCTGCATTTTCGACAATGTACGCTCGACTTCTATAAGAGACAGGAAACTCCAGGCAAGGATAATTTGAGACAGATTGAGTGATGCTTTGTACAATACGAGCTCCAAGCATAGAACCGACTGCAATTACACAGGTATTAATGACTTGAAAAAACTGGAACAAGAGTAAATTGTGCGACGAGAACGAGCCACTGTACGGGTATGGATATTATACTGATACTTGTGGATGATAACGCCCAGCCGTCCATTTCCTAGGAACAATAAGGAAGGCGGGATGTTGGGGTAGATAATGCGTACTACCCTCTACTATCCGAATGCTTACCAGATCCATATATTCCGTATTGGAGCCCTCAATAGACAAGAGAAGCTTTGTTGAGGAGAGGTTGGTGATAGGAAGATTTGGAGGTGCAGTGACAGACACAGCTGGAGTGGCGCCCAGCCACCCCCCTTGCCATACACGGGCATTTCCTGCAGCCTCAGAGACCCAGGCTGGTGCCAGCCACCGTTGCCCCTTGAGACCACCTGACGTCAGTCCACAACTCCAAATCTCCAGCTCATTTTTCTGTAGTAATTTAATCCTCTTACATACATCCTCAAGATCAATCATGGTGTATTAGGCTTTTCAGGACTCAACTTTCCTATAAGTGAATAGACTGGATCATGTATTTTCCAACGTAGGGATTAAGAAATTGTTCTAATATAGATATTCGTCAACCCAGTTTCATGTCGACGTTCAGTTATAATCCAGTCACGTATCAAATGGTACAGTTATTCGATCCGTCGCCAAAATGGAATCATATCCATTACCCAATCACGAAAACAACACCATGCATCGCAACATGCATCTGCTGAACGGTGGCAGCTATTACTACCACATCCAGCACTTGTTCTCACTAATTATTGTCTATACCACCTCGAGGTAGACACAATTGATGGTCCTCAAGTATTCCCCCAGGGGGTCAAAACCTCGTAGTCGTTCTTTCAATTATCATCACGTTTGCCTCTAAATGTAGAAGGGTCGTTTTACATGCCCTTTCTGAATAAGTCGATAATTGCGAGTCTTAATTTACGTCAGGTGGAGGTGGACGTCTATGGTGAGGGAGCATCACTTGATTCCACCCCGGAGTTTTCCTGTTTTCTTACCTTACATGTTGAATATACTTATGGATGTCGTCAGAACCTGATGGGTTCCGTTTTGAGTGGCATATCATTAAATCAGACAATCATCATCAACCACCCTGCATAACCTGACTAGTTTAGTCAGAAGGTGCTAATACTCTCCTAATACATAGGATTTTCGAGTGGGACGGAGGCACAACAATGATGTACGTGCCTGTGTATTCGACTATTCGTTGCCTACAACTCTTCCAACGGATATATAACGCACGACCGAGAATGGAATTGGTCTCACACCCCTTCTGTGAGACTGCTCGTTCGCGGGATCGTCAATGCGTTATGCCTCCCAACTATGACGATCTTCTCCAGTCAGATTAATACTACCTTTGTATCCTTCATCCTTCCCAGCGGGCTTTAGGCAGTAAGCCTAGTGCTGAATTCGAATTTAAGCGGGTACGATTTACCTGGGCAATATTGCCTTGGTTCGATCCGTTTTGGAATGTGGCGGACAGCATCTTGTGAAACCCCAGGAAGAAAACTCTGAAGCCGATCCAATGGATTTTGAGTGTCGAGAGTCCAAGCCGCTATTGTTACAACAATTATAAGCGACGGATAGTTTCTCAGCCGTTTCCAGTTGGCCATGCAATCCCCACCGGCAACACCAAAGGCTTCCCGAACGATTTCCTCAGTCGAGACAAAGAGGAAGGTGGCGAAAAGTACATGCGATGGAGGAATCCTAGAACCTGGGGATTCGGAGACAGGAGGCATTTTAGCTCCTAGAAAGTCGGCACTTCACGAGCAGTGACCGAAAAATCTCGACTAGATCTGCCGGGGCTACATCGTGACGGAAATGGCAACAGGACGTGGAGTCCGGGTCGGATCCATCAGTGGCGTACTCACTTATGTGCCTAATCAGATACGAGTCTACCTCCCGTTCTTGTTTTATATAACCCCTGAGGAGTACCTCGGGACCGGAAGATACACAGAGCGAGCAGCTAAATTCAGTGCCTTTTGTGAAGCTCCTCAACCTAACCGACTAACACCAGCGCGAGCTCTTCAATGGCTGGTGGACTATCGAGCGGGTAAGGACCTCTCTTTGAGCGGCTGTTTCCATACCGCTAGCAACGGAGAAAGTGGTAATTGAGGGACCTTTGAAACTTACCTTCGCTCACAACTTTCACTCAGAGCTCACATTTTTCAACACAGTAGGAGCTATAAACGAGACTGGAGTCTAGAGGTCATTATATATGTATGCCCTAACGCCTCGGCGCTAAGTTTCGAGAGGCGTAAATGTACGTATGGAAGCATCCGTCTTCTTCTTCAGACTTGTTTAAATGACTCTAGCACCATATTCTCCATGTTCTCCGTCGTGAACTCCAGCTCTATACCTCCCACCTTCTTCGCCTTTACCTCCTCCTCGCTCGCCCACACCCACTGCTGATGCTCCTCCGGGTCCAACTTCACCTCCAACGGCCCTTCCCCCTTTTCCACCTGCACCATGAAGTGAAACTTGCCGATCTCCTTACCCGACCGGCTGGTAAACACATTGGGTTCGCCCACCACCGGCCCGATCTCCGTAGCCCGGAGCCCCGTTTCCTCCCACAGTTCCCGCGCCACCCCGTGCAGGATGCTCTCGTCTTCCGCATCGCACCCGCCGCCGGGGGCTTCCCATCGGTTCGGCATGCTGTCGTGCCCGGCGCGTTGCACGAGGAGGATTCGGGGATCAGGGGTCGAGCGGTCGAAGACGAGGGCGTCGGTGCCGATTAATTTGTATCCTGCGTTGGGACGCTCGGCTAAGAAGTCCCGCACAGTCAGGATGAATGGGGAGGTGGAAGGGTGCCTTTTGAATGGGAAGGTTGCCTGGGGTTTCGGTTCCATTTCAGACATTTTGGTTGCAATCTGTTCAGAGCTCGAGGTGGATTGTAATACGTATACGTCAAAGCTGGTCTAACCCGTTCTTGGAGTGACGTAGGCTTTATGGTCGGTGCCTGGAAGGTAACAAAGCAAGTAATTCCACCCGTTGATGAGATGCGAGATCTTAGCTACCGTTTTTTGTGATGAAGTTTTCTGCGAAGAATGTATGAAACCAGGTGGCTCTATCCCGTAATATGCTGAAGGTGTTCGACTCCTTCATCAGAAATAGAAAAGTGCGGACAGTAGTTACTTATCGGTTGGTAAGATTTCGATTTCCAACCCTTTTGGTCCGCATCTCGAACCGGTATGAGTCAATCTTCAGAGCCCTGTCCGGTTCTTTGAGATCATGAGGAGGCAGCCATCCAGCTCAAGGCTGCAGAATACATTTACGAGTACAAGGAACCTTGTGATTGTCTGAAAGTTACCATGAGCGAAACAGCCCGTATCAAGTATCTCAAAAGAACCTTACCTTTAGTACAATAAATAGGGATTTATATTAAAAAAATACATGATATCGGATATTTTGGAAAGGAACCTTTAAAAGTATAGGTACTTATTCATATCGGGAGCTGCAAGATGGGACTGCTCGTCGACTTGGGGGATTTGAAGAGGCCGCAATAAAATTGTTCTCCAGGGCATTGAACGCGAGCGAGGGCTCAGCTTGGGCTCTTGACACGACATCGACCTCGTATTTATCCTTGAATCAACCACAACTCTGTACTGTGTAATTAAGAGCTCCTCTGGTGAGCACCAGGCAGCGACATTTCTACAAGTGCCAGCTTGGCCTCGTAAATGAGGTCCTGTAATATTTTGTTTCGTTCAATTTATGTCGGCGAACTGTAATGCGTTCCGGCTTTGTTTAATCGTGTCTGTTGAGTTCTGAAATTGAGTCGCGCAGATGGACTTCATATTTCTCCACCCCTTTGTCCGTAGCACTGCCATTGACAAATGCAATGGCACCATCATTGGATCTGCTTTAGGCGACGTGGTTGGTTTATATACCGAGTTCCTTCCGGCGACAGAATGTGATCGGTCGTATCCAGATGGGAGATTCTCTCTACATCCACCTACGCCGTTTCGAGAGGATAGCCATCGTGGTATGAAACTTGTTTTCCATGTCTCTCCCTATGTTTGCTGACCCTATCAGATAAGTTCGAATTAGTAGGTCCACGTACTAGCACGACATGATGTCACCGACTGATGGACGACATTAGGGTTCATGGACAGACGACACCGATCAAGCACTGCTCATCCTCCTGGCCTTCCTAGACTGCAAAGGAGACCCAACCTTCGTACCCTTTGAGTTCGCCCAGAGGCTCAAAATATGGGTTCGGCAAGGGCTACGTGCATTAGATCGGTTGCCACTAGGGATCGGGCAGACCGTTGGACGAGTCGCCCTTGATCCCGAGTTCGGTTCGTCCGACAAGCTCTATGCGGTCGCACTACGGCAGTGGAAGATCGCACCAAAGGATCGGAAACCCGCCGCCAATGGCTCACTCATGCGGACTCACCCCGTAGGCATCATGTGCGTTGGAAAGAGCGAAGACGAGGCTTTCGAAACGGCAACGGACATCGGAAGGACGACGCACGTCGACCCACGATGCGTCGTCTCGTGCTGCGTCCTCGTTGCCTTGGTCAGGGGGATTGTGCGCGGGGAAGTGCTCGTCGAGCAGGATATCGACGCCGCGCTCCATCGGGCCTGGAGGTGGGTCGACGAGAGGGAAACGCTCAACGATCCTCGAAAAGACCCGACAGTCCAGGTCGAGGGTGAGGCCAAGCGTCATGCAGAGGCGTCGAGTTGGTGGCTCCGCGAGGAGTTTGACCGGCATACCCACGCAGACTCGTTCACCGCTCTCGAGCTGGATGATTCGCAGAAGATGGGGTACGTGTATAAGGCGCTTGGATCGGCCATCCTATCATTACGATTTGCCATGCGCGGCGAACTTACGACTAATTCCGCTCCCGAGGACGCCCGATCTGGTGGAAACGGGTTCGAAGCCATCATTTCCTCCCTCGTCATGCACGGCGGCGACGCGGATACGAACGCCTGCATCGCGGGAGCGTTGCTGGGAGCCTGGTTTGGGTATGCCGCGCTGCCGGAAAACTGGAGGACCGGACTGGTTCATGGGAATTGGCTGCTGCGCAAGTCGATGAACTTGGCTGGATGCGTGGGGATTGCGCCCGTGACGGAGGGATGGGTGCCCAATGAGGCGGATACCGCGAGAGATGGAGGACGAGGGCAGATCAGCCAGGCAGAGGTGGACAATCTAGAAAGGGCGTTGATAGAGCGAATGCTCCTCAAGGCGCAGGCCAGGCGTGAGGCTGAGAGACTCCGGGAGAAGGGAAACAAGGGAGAGGGAGCAGGCAAATGGTTCCGAGGGCTCAATATGAGGTGATCGGTCAGCAAGCTGCAAGTAATTAATATTATCGTAATGGTCTTCGTGTCTCATGATCAGCACTCTGCTGATGTCGAGATGGTTGATGTCGTATTTTGGTTGGCTCTTGATGGGTATTTTGAGAATGAGAGGTTCAACTACCTGAATCGCATCGACGGCCAAACAGAGCCTTTTCCATCGGGCTGATGGTCTAGACTCTAGCTAGTGGCGTGGATGCTGACATTGAGCCGTTGAGCAAAAAGCGAAAACGCGTGAAGACCCGGGCCTAAAACCTGAAGCGGAATGGTTGGATGCGTTGGCTCCTCGGCGCGACGCGACTCGCTGTTGATCCTTTATAGCGATTCCGTCCCTGATTCTGATGTCCTTCAACTCCTCCGGTGATGAAGTAGCAACAATGGCGGAAATCCGGTCTACTACTAGTAGTAATTAGCTGGTAAAACGCGTTCAATGAAATTGAATGACCGATGCCAGTAATCAGGTTCCAGGAGCCATGTCGACGGAATTGTCGAGTGTCGACCACCACCTCCGAATTGAACCCATCAGTCATCAGGGCCACCGCTTTGTGCGGCTGCTACAGAGTGCCCTTGTTTCAATCCCCCATGCCATGGGTTCTCAATTCAGGGGCGGAATCAGGGCTAATCTTCATGATTCGCCCATTCTCATGAAACGCAGCTGACAGTTTGTCGGTTTCACCAGTCCTGGGAAAGCGGCTTGTCGCTCGGGGCGCTGCCGCTCTGGGGATGCTTTGGGCCCAGGGCATGTGGGCAATAATTATTATTGACGTTTTCGAGGGGACTGGCTGGAGTTTGACATGCCATCCTGGACTCGCACTTGTCGGTAACAAGCTTTCTCGCGCAGGAGAAAGGGGGTGTTTTTCGTTTATTTTGGTCACGTCGGTCCATGCGCAATTCACGTTCAAAACCGTCGCATGGCCCAGAACCGATGAGATCCAGTTTTGATCACATTTTCACTCGCTGATCCATCCCCATTTCCTTTGTTAGCGACATCGGGTAAGTAGTTGAGATTTGAGCTTCACGATGGAAGAGCAACCCCGCCAGAAGGTGACAGTCGAGGACATCAAGGTCGATACCGACCTCCCGTCCAGCGCGTCCACGATGGCCGGACAGCAGGAAACGCATGCCCCTCCGCCATTGGACCTGCAAGAGAAGCCGACCGAGCCACGTGAAGAGGTCGAGGAACCGCCCATGTCTCCCTTAAAGCTAGATGGGCGTCCGCGGTTCCGACGACGGTCCACGACCGACATCGAGGATTATTTCGTACGACGAACTCTCCCATCGTTGACGTTTTCTGACTGGTGCTAGGCCGGACCGAAAGAGTATGACCGCCATTCGAAATGGCCGATATTCATGCGGCTTCACGGCAGCATCCTACCGGAGATGATCCTTCCCCTCATCGTCGTCGGATGCTGGTCCACTGCCATCACAGTGATCAGCGAGCTGGTGACGCCGCTCGGCATCTCGAACGTGTTGCTGACCGTGCTGGGTTTCGTGGTCGGTTTGGCGCTGTCCTTCCGCAGCTCGACCGCGTACGAGAGGTATGCCGAGGGCCGGAAATATTGGGGTCAACTCATTCAGACGGCCCAGACTCTGGCGAGGACGATCTGGATCCATGTCCATGAACGCGAGGAGACGTATACTGAGGACCTCTTGGGGAAAGTGTAAGTGATTCCTTGATGTAAATGTTCCGCTGCTGATCAGTCGAAGCACTGCCTTGAACCTCATCGTCGCATTTTGCATTGCCCTTAAACATCGTCTGCGGTTCGAACCTTTCATCCACTACGATGACATATGCGGCCTGGTTGATCACCTCGATACCTTTGCGCGAGACGCCTCGGACATCGATGGTGGCAATGAGAAGCGACACGGCCTGTTGAAGGCGACCGGCCAGTACCTTGGGGTGTCATTCGCAGAGTCCAACCCTCGAAAGGTGATGAAGAAGGCGACGAAGCCGCTCGGAAACCTACCGCTGGAGATCCTCTCGTACCTGTCGATCTACATCGAGACGAGCATGAGGGATGAGATGTTGCGGACCTCGATGTTCCAGGTCCATGCTGGTAAGTAATCTTGGAAGACTTCTTGAATGTGGCCTGACAGACTGAAGCCAACTCAATTTCCACCTTCAACGAGGTCCTGGTCGGGTGTGAGCGTGTCTTGAACACCCCTCTCCCCACGGCATATACCATCGCCATCGCGCAGATCACCTGGCTCTACATCATAATCCTTCCCTTCCAGCTAGTCGGGACGCTCAACTGGATCGCCATCCCCGGATCTCTCGTCGCCGCCTACATTATCCTCGGCCTTGCCCTTATCGGACGCGAGATCGAGAATCCATTCGGACGGGACGTTAACGATCTGCCTCTCGATCAGTTCTGCGACGTCCTGAGCGAGGAGATCGACACCATCATGAGCATCAAGATGCCGACCCCCAACGAATGGATGAAGGTTCCTGAAAACAAGGTGCTGTATCCAATCAGCAATTCTAGCTTCGCTGCGTGGAACGCTCGGGGAGAGAAGGCGGTCCGTGAGGCGCTCTCCAGCAAGGCGAAGATGGGCTTCCAGACGAAGAAGAGCATGCAGGAGAATCGGGTCGATTCGGATCAAACGGCATGATGGGTGTAAATAGACCTTAGCCGCGCCCTGGTTTCGAAGTGGAGATGGAAAAGGACAGTTAAATTTGATTTCAATTGACACAGTGACAGGAACAGGTGTATTCAGCGAGCAGGGTGTTGGAATAGGGCTCAAAAGTATTCTGATAGTGCATTTAGCGACAACAAATTGCGAATTTTTCCGTTGGTCTTTACCGTCGTTACCGTGCCATGGATACCATACCGACTACATGACGCCATGAGGACCGAGGAAATCGGCTCGAAGACAAAATCACTGACTTCAGTTCCACCCTACGACACCTTCGGCAACCGTCCTCCGCCCTTGCAGCAACTCGACCCGTCTTCCGATAACCCCTCGGCTCCCCACGGCGAGCTGCATGTCCTCCGCTCCGTCCAGCTCTCCAATGCCATTGCAGGCGGAAACGGGGAATCGCCAGAGCGGAGGCCGTTGGTGTTTTGAGGCGAGATCACCGTCAGAGCTATAGCCGGATTAGTCCCGAAGATGGAAGGCAGGGAACCCTCTTACTATATGACAAGCCAGACAGCGTCCGACGCGTCTTTCATGAATGGATCACGCGAGGAGAAGTGGAGGCAAAGACGAGGGGATGGGGGACCAGTCGTTAGAGGGGGATGGAAGAGGAGGCGGAATGGTTGTTCGAGGGAGGGTGGGAGAGGAGAGGACTGAGGAAAGGAGTCGTCGAGATGACGGGCAGGGTGGAGGATTGCAATCGCACCACCGAGAGAAGGCCGGGATGGACCGCACATGTTGTAGATGAAGGGGAACCGTTCTGGTTCAGATGTCTGTTCAGGAATTCAAGGGAAGGTAACCAGAATAATCCGAGAGCAGCCCAAATGGTACGAAGCGACAGCAAGAATACTTCATTAAAAAGGAGGATCAGAAATAGAAGAAGGGAATCATCGACCGTAAGTCATGTCCATGAAGTAAAGGAATAATGACACGAAGCTATCACCGTTATGGATGGCAAACCCGAGCACACTGATATAGAGTACATGGACAAGGCAAACGATCTCTCGATATACCTCTCTTCAAGACTTCCACATGAAGAAAAGCATTGACGGCTCCGATGGGAAGTGACCATATGGATAGGACCTAGTGGGCCTACTATTGTCGGATGATGGGTCTGTATGAGCAAGTTTCATCCTGATATTGCGATGGTAGGATCGGGAAGTGTGGCCCGCCTACACTGCTCAGTGAAGTCAGTGGATATATCAATATATCGCCTAGCTCCGTACTGCATTGTGTACTTCACTGCCGTATTCTCAATTTCTATGGTGATGCCCAGTCCACCGTCTCCGGAGTCCGGAGCTATTGGAATTCGGCTTAAGAAGTTGCACGTACAGTATCATGATTTGTTGCTGAGCAGACATCAAGGTTCAACAGGATCTCCGTCTAGGTCAGCGGATCATCCCGCTCCTTCCCTGCATTGCCCCCCTGAGCATGTTTGAGCTAGATGTGACTTCCGCGACTTCCGAACAGAGCATCCCAAACACCATGATGGCCGGAACGATGGATCATGATAGAAGATGTGCGCATGATGACTGGTAGATGACATCAGAATCCCGCACTCCATCCACGTTGGTCCGGAGAGATCCACGCCATCGTCCACACGGGACATCACCGTAACAGGAACCGGCAGCAAAATGGCCAACAAACACCACACACAAACACGTACAGAGCCGCGTCGACACTCGAAAGAATCGAGAAACGACGTGCAAGACTTGCTCAAACGCTTCGCTTTCGTTCCGCTTCTGCTACTGACTGCCTTGCTCGCGAGGTACTTGTTATCACCCACTCCCACAACCTTGACAGAAACCGTGATACCGGCACCCGTTCTGCCCAACATGGCTCATCAGTATTCGCTGCCGAAGTTGCCATACGCCTACAACGTGGGTGCCTCCCATTGCAAATGAACGAAGCTAATATGCCCCAGGCGCTGGAACCGCATATCTCCGAGCAGATCATGACGCTTCACCATTCGAAGCACCACCAAACCTACGTCACCAACCTGAACAACGCGCTGTCGTCCTACACCTCCGCGCTCTCCACCGGCAACGTTCCCGCGCAGATCTCCCTCCAGCAAGCCATCAAATTCAACGGCGGCGGGCACATCAACCACTCCCTCTTCTGGGCGAACCTCTGCCCCGCCTCATCCCCCGACGCGACGCTCGCCGCGGCGCCGAAGCTCGGGGACGCGATCAAGCGGACGTGGGGCGGGGAGGCACAGTTTAAGGAGGCGTTCGAGACGGCGTTGCTGGGGATCCAGGGGAGCGGGTGGGGGTGGTTGGTGAAGGTGGAGAACCACACGGGGGAGCGCGGGCGGTTGGCGATCGTGACGACGAAGGATCAGGATCCGGTGGTGGGGAAGGGGGAGGTGCCGGTGTTGGGGGTGGATATGTGGGAGCATGCGTACTATCTGCAGTATCAGAATGGGAAGGCGGCATATGTGAAGAACATTTGGAATATCATCAACTGGAGGACGGCGGAGAAGCGGTATCTGGGGGGACAGGATGAGTCGTGGTCCGTTCTCAAAGCTTCCATGTAACGAGATGGAATGGCCCATGCGTGGCATTGGTAGAGAGAAGTCGTAGTCAAGTCGAAAATCGTACAGAGAATACACCCGGGTATCAATCATAGCTTCACCTTCGCATACTTGCTCGTCTCCCTCTCACACCACTCCACAAACCTCTCCGCCGTCCCATCTCTCGTCGCCCTCACCAAATCCTCTCGATACCCCCCCAGCCTCCCCCACGGAATCACATGCGCCCCATTCCTCCCTTCCCCAATCTCCGGACTCCACCCCGCAAACAACTCCGTAAACGCCCCCAACCTCACCGGATGCAAAAACACCCACCTCGCCAGCCACCGCGCCACGCTCGGCACATCGCGCATCAGCTCCGACGCCAAGTTCCCCGGGTTCCACGACACGCTCACGATCCCGTCCTTCCCATACCGCCGCGCGAACTCCGTCGCCAGCATCACGTTCCCCGCCTTGCTCTGCGCGTAGTTCCGCCGCACCCCGTTTAGCCCGCCCAGCACCGTCGGGCCCCCCGTCGCGGCGTTCCACGCGATCCCGCCCGTCGGCGCTTGCTCGATGACGATGGAGGCGGCCCAGGTGACACGGACGGAGTGCCGGGGGGCGGTAGCAGCGGTGCGTTGGAGGAGGGGGAGGAGGCATTGAGTGAAAAGGTAGGGGCCGAGGCAGTTCGTCCCCATTTGGAGCTCGTAGTCTTGGGCGGTGACGCTGCCACGTGGGGGCACCATGACCCCGGCGTTGTTGGTGAGGACGTCGAGGCGGGATTCGGCGGCGAGGAAGCGGTTGGCGGCGGCGGGGATGGAAGGGAGATCGGCGAGGTCGAGGGGGAGGAACTCGATGCGGGAGGTAGAGGCGGGGAAGGCGGCGCGGAGGGATGGGAGGGCGGCGTCGTATTTGGACTGGGTGCGGCCGGCGATGTAGACGGTGGCGTTGCGTTGGACGAGGAGCTGGACGAGCTCGAGGCCCACGCCGCCGTAGCCGCCGGTGACGATGTGGACTTTGTCGGATTGGTCGGGGAGGTCTTTGAGGGTGAAGGTTGGGTTGGGGATGCAGTAAGATTGGTCGAGGAAGGCCCTCATCAGGCTGATGATGCTTCCCATGGTGGACGAGTGCTCGAGAGGCAGTTGAACTTAAAAGGTTGTGATGTCGATGGATTCGATCCCAAGTGAGATGTAATGGGGAGAGGTGATGTAGAGCAATTTGAGGGTGGTATGCTGTAGGTATAAATCAATTGTGTTCAGGTGACCGACTTTATAAGGTCAAGACCGAGACGCAGGAAGACCTGGTTTCATCAATTCTTGTCTGGTGACGACTCAGATTGTGTGTCTAGACGTAGGGTTCAATCGCAGGCAGTCGGTAACTAGTCTCAATCCCGTACTATCTACAGATCCCGACTCTCAGATTCTTTCACGATCCTAAAGTAGGGTTAAGGCGGATCTGATCTGATGGGCACTTAGGGTATTTGGTACGGGAATCTTCGCCTTGTTTGGGTGCGTCTATACTCTAGATTACGTCAATTGATACGTTACTAACGGCAATTGAGTCATTTGAGAACTTGGTGCAGAACTGAGTTTGCATCATTCCTAGTGATTTCAACATGTGAATTCGGCCAAATCCCAAAGCTTCAGTTGGCCCCACTTGTTCGATTCGATTGAAAGAAGTGGAGGAGATGGATTGCTGTATGGTAGCCATCCTTGCTCTCCTGCACGATTCGAAACGGTCTGGAATTCGCCATTCGCGCCGACTGATGGATGAGCATTGAGCAGCCAGCTCGCAGCTGTGAATTGAGATGAAAAACAAGGTGAATATTATTGTTGTTTCGATAACGCGACATCATTCATTGTCATCATTGGGACCAGGATATCTCCGCCGCTAGTCCCAGAAAAAAGTCGTCCCGCTGAATTGTAACGCCCAACGCCTATTCATTGAGGGGACTCCCAATTCCAATACCTACACCAATTGAAAATTTCAAGCTCCGCCATCGAATCTGGAAGCCGATATCTCCACCACATTCGAGATATTCCAGTCCAAAACTTTGCACTATGGGGCGACGAGGCGGAAAACGAGGCGTATGTATCCATCCTTCAAATGCGACGAATATATGCGCTAGCATGAGGCTGACGGTTGATTTATAGAACTGGGGAGGTAAAGGAAGGCGCGGCGGCGGCGGTGGAGGACAACGAGCCGCCAACTACGACCCCATCGAGAAGAAGAACGAACTTTTCGAGAAATACTATGGCGAACTGGGCTTATTTGATGGCCCGGAAGACGTCGAGGCATTCTGGACTGCGCTCCGCCGAGAATTGCCAAACAGCTTTCGCTTTGCTGGATCGAAAGGGTGCGAATCTGCATGTCTCTGCTACAAGAACGTCGCTAACTAGTCTAGTCATGCTTTGACCGTCCAAGAACGTCTTGTCTCGCACTACATCCCGGAGATCAAGACCGTCGAGCTCGACGGCCAACTCGCCGAGCCTCCGAAGCAGCTACCATGGTATCCGGAAAATCTCGCTTGGGAGATGAAGACCCCGAAGAACGTCGTCCGCCGATATGCCCCGTTCGCATCCTTCCAGAAGTTCCTGGTCTCTGAAACCTCGGTCGGCAACATCTCGCGACAGGAAGTCGTCAGCATGATCCCGCCGTTGCTGCTCGACGTGCGACCCGGGATGACGGTTTTAGACCTTTGCGCTGCGCCGGGAAGCAAGTCCGCGCAACTGATCGAGATGATCCATGGGGGTGAAGAAGCGCGGGTTAGGAAAGTCATGAAGGATATCGCGAAGGAAGAGGGACGGGAAGCGAGCCCAGATGGCATCGAGGCGGCATTGGAGCAGTCACAACTCGAGAAAGAAGACGACTGGTCCGACGATGGCCGACCAACGGGCCTGCTGATCGCCAACGACGTCGACTACAAACGCGCGCACATGTTGATCCACCAAGCCAAGCGACTGAACTCCGCGAACCTCATCGTCACGAACCACGACGCCACCATGTTCCCATCCATCCAACTCCCAAGCGCGCCCGGCCAATCGCAGCGCTACCTCAAATACGACCGCATCCTCGCGGACGTCCCCTGCTCCGGCGACGGGACCGCGCGAAAGAACCCGGGCGTCTGGCGCGACTGGATCCCCGCGAACGGGCTCGGGCTCCACACGATGCAGGCGCGCATCCTTGTGCGGGCGCTGCAGATGCTGAAGGTGGGCGGTCGGGTGGTTTATTCTACCTGCAGCATGAACCCCGTGGAGAACGAGGCGGTGGTAGCGCACGCGATCGAGCGGTGCGGAGGGTTGCAGAAGGTTGAACTGGTGGATTGCTCGGACCAGCTGCCGGAGTTGAAACGACGTCCCGGTCTGACGGATTGGAAAGTTATGGATCGGAACGGCGAGTTCTGGGGTTCATGGGAGGAGTATGAGAAGGGAGACGACGTTTCTACTACCAAAGACACCAAGAACAAGGTTATTCCCGAAGTATTCCCACCGGTCGATTCGTCGCCCGAAGACAAAGTCCCGCTCGAGCGGTGCGTGCGCCTTTATCCGCATCTGCAAGATACCGGAGGCTTCTTCGTTGCCGTCTTGGAGAAGAAATCGGAGATTCGTGCGCTTCCGGAAGGAAGGCACAACCGCGTGGCCCTGCTTGAACAGCAGAAGAAGAAGGCCATTGACGGTACCGCGTCTGAGAAAGCGGTAAAAGAAGAAGAGCCAGCCAACGGTGCTGCCACTAGTCCGTTGAATGGGGATCGTGCTTCAACCAAGCGTACTCTCGAAGACCCATCCGAAACGGTGCAAGACGAGACGCCACCGAAAAAGCAGCGGGTCGAGGAAGAGCCTTCAGATGTCAGGACTGAGAAGACCGAGGAGCAGCCAACTGTGGCCACCGAAGCGCCAATCAAAGCGCCGGCTGCCTCGACAAATGGCCACGCTGCGCCCGAAGATTCCAAGCCCACACCCGCCGGCCTGACCGGAACGGCATCCGCAATCCTCAAGTCCCAAGACACCCGACCCCCCCGAAAATCCAACCAACCCTTCGAAGAGCCGTTCATCTACATCTCCCCTCACCACGCGGTGGTTGACGAGGTCTACGAATTCTACCACATCGCCGCCCGCTTCCCGCGCACGCGCTTTATGGTCCGCAACGCCACAGGCGAGCCGGCCAAGTCCATCTACTACACCTCGCAACTCGCCAAGGACATCCTGTCGGAGAACCAGGGGCGCGGGATGAAGTTCGTGCATTGCGGGGTGAAAATGTTCCAGAAGCAGGACGCGCAGGGACGGGACGTGTGCCGGTGGCGGATCCAGAGCGAGGGCCTGCCGATTATCGATGCGTGGGTGGGCGAGGAGAGGGTGGTGCGGCTGTATCATCGGGAGACGCTGCGGAAGTTGCTGAAGGAGATGTTCCCGACGCTAGGCGGGGAGAAGTGGCGGGAGTTGGGGGAGATCGGGGAGAAGGCGCGGGATATGAGCATGGGGTGCTTCGTGCTGCGGGTGGAGCAGAGTGAGGAGGAGGATGGGTTTCAAGAGCGGATGGCGATTCCGCTGTGGCGGAGCATTAACAGTATCAATCTGATGTTGCCGAAAGAGGACCGAAAGTAAGTTTGGATACCGTGTCTAACCGTTTGATTTTCAACCGTTGCTAACATTATGGTGTCACAGAGCGATGCTTCTCCGACTCTACAACGACGACTCCCCCCTCATCGATCTCTCGAAGGAACGCTACAATCAAATCAACAAGCCGGAGGATTCGCCGTCGCCAATTGATGTGGATGCGGCCGACCCTGCCACGGACGTAGGAGCCGATGAGAAGAACGCCGACGCCAAAGGTGGCGCCCTGTCAGAAGACGAGGAGGACGGCGGCGTGCCGCTCAAGGGGTGTGGTGCCTCTGAATCAGCATCGATACCGGCCACAGAGCCGTCCAGTGCTCCGGACGTTGGAGAGAATCAGCCGGAGTAGGATTTGGGAGATGTTGGGTGGTGGCGGCGTCACGATGCATGACTGGATGTACACGTTCAGACAGACAGGCAAGCGTAGAATGAGATCTGAAGAGACATGCCATGGATCGTACATAATGGAGAACCCGCTACCTGGTTGTGATCCTCATGAATGAGATCTCATATGTCAACTTCTGGCTTCCACTTGTATCTCGAATTGAATCGATCCGTAGCCACCTCGGTCGTCAACGTAAGAGATTCGGTAATACAAAAAACCTTTCCATAATAAAACCGAATCCAATGATAGGATCTTGTAGTTCTCATGGTTGCCACCTTCATAAATCCCACGCCTGGTGAGTCCAGCATGTTCGTCAGTTACAGCGAGACGCTTGTCACTTCGTTACGCGATGCCCATTCGACGGAAACTTTTCACGATGCAAGGAACAGACAAGTCGCAGGAGGTTCGATATGAAATGGACCTTCGAGTTTCTTCCCCTCATTATTTCGCTTGCATATGGGTGACACAGGGCGATCCAGCGTCGTGACAATTTCACGAGATTGCGCCGGTATCCCATTCGCTCGCGTAGGACGAGGGCATCTACCTCGGTTTGTGGGCAGCAAACATGAGAACCGATAGGTTTTTCAAGATGGCATTGAAGAGCTGTGAGACGAAGAAGCCAGAGCCTCGGAGAGAGTGATTGATCATTAGGGTGTAGGATTGCCCCGATCCCGCACATCCCAAAACATCGCGCTAATTATTCTCGTACACCGCTGTCCATCACAACGTCCACAACGCCCAATAATCGCTTGTCCAACAGCAAGAGGCAGCAGGCGACAAGAACCCCATTCAAAACCAGCTTCTAGAAAATATACATATTAAGGCCAGCAAGCACGCATCCTGTCTCCTATCATCCAGCAGAACCTCCTGCGATCGATCACCAAGAAAAAACCCTTCCACCAGGTCTCGCACCAGGCGATCCCAAGATTGAAAAGTTGTTGTTGTTTGGCCATCAAAAATTGCGCCACTCAGGCCCCCGAAGGAGACTGATATCAGCCCACCGCCGCGATGTGCAATGCAGGGTAGTCTGACAAGCCGCCGTATTCTTGATCACAGCGCCGCTGCAGCAAGGTAAGTATGACTTTTTAGAAATGGATCGAGGAGGGAGGAGCTTATATACTTGAGGGAATACGCACGGGCCAGTGAGCTATTAGGTAATGCGCACGTGCGGTGGAATCTGGTGGTCGCTGGAAGAATCAGTCCCACTCTAGGCTGCCATCACGTGACTATTAGAGCCTGAGGCACCAATGCAGGTACTTCACATGCGCCGTTCCACGACCTCTTCGATTGACTGTTGAGTGTTGACATATCACCAATTGATCATATTTCCGAGGGAACAGTTCGAAAATATACTTGCACCCCTATGTTCAGTAAAGAGAGGAACAGAATTCCATTGTCATTGGTCTATCAGAGGTCCCTCTTTACGGCCATTTATGGCCCGCCAGAATGGCAATTGAACGACTTCCTCGCTCTCCTTCCCGTCCTTGGGCATCCGATGCGTTGCTTCCAGCATTCCGAGTTGAACTTTCCCATTGTCACTTCATAGGAGCCGCGATGACACGGATAGTACCTCCATATCCCGAGGGGAAAGAGGAGTTCATGTAGTTCAGACTCGGCATTGCCAACTTCGTGCCACAGTCTCGTGACCGCACGTGTAAGACAAAAGTTGAATCTTGAGTCCATCGCAAAGTTTAATTTCCGGTGGTTAAAATTCTTATTAATTGTGTGTTGGCACTTGTTTCGTTGTCTAGAGACTGTGTGGAATATTGATATGCGTTGTTTTCTCGCTTCTCCGACCGCTCATCGATTGGATATTCGGTCACCATGGAGATCTACACCCCCTTCGGAGCTTCGTGGATTTCATTCCTTGCGACCGTATCATTCTGTCTGTTGATATTGCTCCATGCCTATCGAGTGGTGACCACAAAACCTCCTATTCCGGATGACGTGCCATGGGTCGGAAGAGACCCGTCGAAGTGGTTTGGTCAAGCCCGCGCAAGACTTGCCAGCTTTCGGAGAATGCCCGAATGGCTCTTTGAAGGATATCAAAAGGTCGGTGGGGGCCTGATCGTTTCATCTGGTTCTTACATACTGCCTATACCTCAACAGCCTTAGCCGCTCTTACTCGATTCCGATTTTTAGGTTGAAAAGGGGAAATCAGTGGAGCTTGATAGTCTAGAGGGGCTTCAAGGACAGATGGCCCTGGGTTGTTCACCTCCAAAACTCTGGCTTGCTGATCTGTGTCTTGCAGTACAGGTCCAAGCCGTTTGCCATATCCGATCCAAGCGGGAAGCCAGTGATTATCCTTCCCCGTTCCGATATCAAATGGCTACTCGATTTCCCAGACGACATCATCTCCACCATCGAATTGCATTATGAAGTCCTCGCAGGAGCATATGCTTTTACGGATTCCGAAATGGTCAAGGAGCCCTTCCAAAACCATGTTATCCACCGCTCTCTCTCACGACGCGTGAATGGCTTGACGGAGGAGATCTGGGACGAAATCACGGCTGCCATTGATGAATCATGGGGAATTGATACGGAGCACTGGAAAGATGTTCATGTGTACAATACCATGATGTTCACGATCTCCCGCGTCTCGAACCGAGTGTTTGTCGGCCTGCCGCTCTGCCGCAAGGAAGAGTTCCTCCGACCCATGCGGGCATTTGCGCAAGGCGTCATGTTCGTCGCCGGTCTCCTTCATTTCGTTCCTAGCTTCTTAAAACCCATCATCGGCCACGTATTGGCCATCCCGAACCACTTCTTTTACTACCGAGGCGCAAGATATACGGTCCCGATCATCAAAGAACGGCTAGCGAACACGGAACGGAAGGAGAAAGATCCAAGTTTCCGGTATAGGGCGCCAAATGACTACATTACCTGGCATATCCAGCTGGCCAGGGCGGAGGGGCGGCACCAGGAGCTCGCCGTGGACCGAATCGCTCGTCGGATCATGCCCATCAATTTCGCCGCGATCCATACCACGACTTTTGTGATTGTGAATGCGCTTTTCGACATTCTATGCTCACCTCCCATCGCAGTAGAGGCCATGCCTGAAAGCAATGCGACAGAAAGGAAAGAGGGTGTCTTGTGCTCTCGTGTTGAACAGGACCGGGATCAAACCCGACGGCTTCCTCTGCCATTCGAATCCGCCCCACCCATTGCTCACATCTCTGCGCAATCCTGGGAGACGTTCACAACGATGCCTCTCGACAACACATGGAGCAAGTCCGCCATCGCAAAGCTCACGTTTGCCGATAGCTGTATTCGTGAGAGCATGCGCGTCTCGAACTTTATGACTCGCGAACTAGAACGTAAGGTCATCAAGAAAGATGGCGTCCGGCATCCGGGTGGATGGGTGGCTCCCTACGGTGCAGTCCTCGCGGTGGATGGGCATTCGATCCACCATGATCCGTCGATCCAGGGTGAAAATGCGGGGGAGTTCGATGCGTTGAGGTTTCATCGAAGCACTGTGAAGCGGCCGAACAGTCCCGATTTTGTACAGGATGTTGACGGGATAGAGCGGGGAGAGGGTCAAAAAGACCGAAAAACGGACACGAATATCGAGGAGCCTATCGAGCAGAGGGACAATGCATTAGACAAGGTGCTCAAGCGAAGGCAAGTCGGGATGGTAACCACCAGCGATTCATTCCTCGCTTTCGGCCACGGCAGACATGCGTGGTATGTGTCCACCCTGATTCTGCGCCCAGGATTCTACCACCTAACTGATCGCCTGTCCAACAGCCCCGGTCGTTTCTTCGTCGCGTACGAGCTGAAGCTTTTGCTTGCATATATTGCTATGCACTATGAGATGGAGCCGCCAACGGAGCGGCCCAAGAACACATGGTTTGGGACGAGTGTGCTGCCGCCGATGGATGCGACGATACGGGTGCGACGGAGAAACGATGAATCGCGACTATGAGCGGTGGCGGAATCTGGTCGCGGTAATTGATAGCATTGCTCTTTTCGTTTCGATTGAGGCGATGATCCATCTGGGGGGAAATCAGGCAGGTCTTATCAGGCAGGTCTTGGACGAATTCTTGGATGTGTACACCTAGCGCTTACTTAGTTTTGTAGGTTGCTAATGGACGGATGAAAGCCATTAGGATTCGTAGAGATATTCTTAAATACAACATTGCCTTTTCAAAAGGAGTCCCAGACCCAGGAATTGACCGTCATTCCTACCCAGTGGACCATTTATCATTTCTCGTGAGATCCCAAATCCCGAGGTCACAGCATCTGATAGTTGCAATGACAAGTGACAGGGGCCTGCATTATTTGCTAGTATTATTATCATAGGACTCTTCCCGGTATCGATACTCTAACTATAGGTGTCCTACAGTACCTGAATTTAACCATGCAACAGGGCATGCACTTCCGAATCCTAGATCAAACCAGGCTCAGGAATAACCAAACCGATCCGCGCAATCACCATTAACGGCCGCGCTTCGACCCCAACCCCCCCCTCCTCGGCCTCCCCTGCCCTGGCCGACTCACAAACCCACTCCCCAACGTCTTCTTCCCATCCGCCACGATCCCCAATGCCACCCGCACCGTGTTCCCATCCACCTCCGTCGCATCCAGCGCCATCTGCGCCTTCCCCGTTGACGCCTCCTGCGCGTACTCCACCAGTGCGGTCCCCTTCTCTGACCGCAGGCTGATCCGGCGCAGCTCGCCGTATTTTTCCGCAATGGCCTGGACGACGGCTTGGGGGGTGGTGGGCGGGAGGTTGGAGATGGTGATGGAGCGGGCGAAGGGGCGGGATTCGGGGGGTTCGGCGCTTTGGACGCTTCCGGGCGAGGGGGCGGCGCCGTTGCGGGGATCGGAGGGACCGGTGGACGAGCCGCGGTTGAAGCGCTCGGTGGCGGTGACTTTGAGCTTACGGCCTTCGCTGGTGGCGAGTTCGACGGTCATGGGACGGCCCATGAAGGAGCGGCCGTCCAGGATGGAGACCGAAAGGCGGGCGATGTTCTGTGAGGAGTTAGTTATGTTCGGTGATAGTACGGAGGAAGGGGAACTCACGGCATCTCGAAAGACGACGAAACCGACGCCTTTCGACCGCCCTTGCGGAATGCGAACTCGCTCGATGACCTTCACCCATGCGTCGGATGCGCCAGACGGTGGCGCATCCTGGTCTTCCTCGATGGTGTCCCCGTTCGTGGCGGCGGTGTCGACATCAGGGACCTCCTCCTTCATGACGTCCAGAATAAACGCCCGAACGTCGCCTTCCGACGCTTTGAAGGGGAGGTTCTTGACGACGATCTCCCGGCCCTCGTACATGGCCCCCTCGCGGTCTTTCTTCACGTTTGGATCGGAGATGTGCACCTGCATTTGGTATTCCTTCCCCTTGGCGTCCGTCAGCGGTTTCTGATGCAGCTTCTCGATCGCCGCATTCGCCGCGTCGGCGCTGTCCATCGTGATGTAGGCGAACCGACGGAACGCGTTCTTGGCCAGGTTCGGGAGGCGGAGGGAGAGGACCTGGCCGAACTCTGAGAACACCTTCTTTAGATCCTCCGACGCGAAGTCGCGGGGATAATTCGTGATGTAAAGCGTCAGGTCGCCGGCAAAGGTGATTTCAATTTCCTCGCCCTTGAACGGCCGGGTACTCCGCATCTGCGCGAACTGGGCATCTCCCAGCGAGTCGAATTCGACCAAGCCCGTTTTCGTCTCGCCGTTCGCGTCGGCCAAGAGGACCGACTTGATGTTGCCGCAGCCGCGGAAGAACTTCTTCACGTCGATCTCCGTGGCATCCTTCGGGAGATATCGCAACAGGACCGATCCATGCTCGCGGTCGCGCTTGGCCGGTTCCGCAGCATCGTGCGCGTCTTGCGTCTCGGACGCATCGGCTCCTAATCGGGCACGTTTGGATCCCGGCTGATCCGAGGCGGCGATGGAGAGCTTTCGTTTATTACCCGTCTCTCCAGCCGGCCCATTTGACTCCTGCTCCGCGAGCCACGCCTGTTTCTGCGCGGCGACCCAGTCTTCCTGCCCCTTCTGCCACACGGCCATCTCCTGCTTCCGTCGCTGCGCTAGGACTTCCCGCGCTTTCGCCGCTTCGCCGGAGGCCGCGATGATCTCCTTGGCTGACTCATGCTGTTGCACGTGGTTCTCGAACGACGCGATCATCTTCTCGGGTTCGTCAAGCGTACTTACGGAATGCAACGCAGCTCGAAGCACGTTCGTCGCGCGTCGTGGGAATCGCATATCCTCGCTCACCGAATGATGATCCATTCTAGCACCTTCTAGCCAATGGTCCCACAGAGCCATCTCGCAGATATAGTACCGATCCCAGAATTCGTAGTAGTCCGCGAGTGTCTCCTGCAGTTTGCTCCAGTATATCCGCGCATCGTCGACTCGTGATCGCTGGAGGAGATACTTGACATAGATCCGCTCCAATCGGAAGTGAGGATCGCCGGTAATGCCGGGGGTCTTCCCGTCGGCGTATTTGCTGTAAGCCTGTTCTGGAATCTCCTTGCTTTTGGCCACGATTGCGCCAACATGCTCGATCGCACCACGAATGCCGATTTCAGCATTCAAAATATCATCCCCGTCAGTCTCGTCCGGTCCGGACTCCAGGGCGCGACGTCTGAGATAGCCGCACCAGCTGACCTGGAATGCAATCACTTCTTCCGGGCCTCCAATATCTTCGATCAGATTATGCCGAGTCGCACTATGCTTCATCTCCTCGATCATCTGATAGGGGGCTCCATTGGCTTCCATATGCAGGATCAAGAGCGACCATAGCGACCCGCTGCCCGGACAATGGAATACAGCACGGTCCAGAATACTTCGCACAGTCAAAGGCGCGGAGCCGGCGGAAATGTACCGCGGCTTTTGTCGCGGAATCGCCGCGGCGTCCCGGTCTTTCGTCCAGATGATCCAGCGCGTCCATGCGTCGGGATTGTCCCCTAACCTCGCGCAGAAACGTCCGAACAACGCATTGACGCGGTCCTCCCATTCTTCCTGGCTCTGTGGGAGCTCGTCGAGAGATGCTTGGTCCGGGAGCTCTCCCGTCTGCCAATATCTACCCATGCCTGTCTCGAAGTCGAGATATTCTTGCCATTGCGCGTATTGATCTTCTTTCGATCTCGTCATTTCGACTAGGTTCTCGATATCTTGGGAGAACTGCGTCTCGTAAGGTATTCTCCGTCGGAGGAAGGCCTCGACTTTCTCAGGAGGGGAAAATTGGGCGAGGAGCGTTTGCGCTTCCTCTTCTCGATCCATCAGAGCTAGGAAAACGGTATAGTTTTCAAATGTCTGTTGCCATTCCACGTGCGGTTCTCGTAGGGCGAAGGTGAATAAGTCATTGCATTGTTTGGCGACGGCCATTCTCCTCTCCGCCAGGCCAGTTCCATCCACTTCTCCCTGAAGGGTGGCTAATTGCGACTGCGCGCACTTCCAAACCACGTCCACGATCTTGCCTAGGTGACAAGGACTGTATTTCGTGCTCGCGACAGCGTCATATGACACTTTGATGAAGGCATCCCAGGTGAACGTTGATTTGGCACGATCTTCCATCCCCATCTCCTGCCAGTGCGAAATCGAATCAACGTCGTGACCAAAGTCGATCTCCAATGAATCATGGTCGATGCCGATGGCGGCCTGATGCCACCAGAGCGCCGCGAGTTTGACCCGTTTGACCCAAACCGAGCCGCTGACCGCTTCGAACGAAGGACTCAGGCCGATCAGAGCCGCCATGGTGTCCACATCGGGTTTCATGGCGAGAACCAGTTCGAATTGCTTCAAGGAGAGAAGTTCGTTGAAAGGTTGCCACCGACCCAACTGCTCCACGGTGATGAGCGTCAGCGGAACAAATGCCTTAGCACGTGCCCTTCTAGAACGACGCGCGGTACCGTTTTGATCTGTGGTTGTGTCCTGCGGAGCTCGGAAGTTCTGGAGCCCGCGGTGTAACAGGTCGATGAAAGCCATGCGGGACTTTGCATCTTCGGGGTTCGAGATGACGGCGCTGTAATGTTCGTTCAACTCGGTTTCCTCGGCGTCGGTTAAGTATGGTGTCGCGGAGAGTCGGGGAATGCTTCCAGGTCCGGATGCCTGGTCCATGGTCCCAGAGGAAGGAGTGCGGACTAGGTGCTTGAGGGTGTAATGGATGGAGTGCTTTATATTGGGCGATGAAACCTGACGCTGCTGCATCGAAGCCAGGTCGGCCAAGGTGTCCATGCCAGCCGAGCTATTCTGTCGCTGTACCGCGCCGACGCTACCACTTCTTGCTTGACCCTGCTGATGTGGGAGAGTTGTAGCGGCATTCGTTCGTGCTGATGGCATCCCGAGGACCGGACTGAGCATCGACGGGCTCTGCACCGCGGATCCAGGCTGCGTAAGGCTCCCTACTGGCATCTGCAGCCCGATGGGACTTCGCTGGGCATTTTGTACATGTGCCATACTGAGTCCCCGCGATTGCGCCTCCGCCTGAGCAGCGGCGACATGCGCTTCGCGTTCTTCCGCCCGTAGTCGACTCAACGCCTCCTCTTGCTGCTGTCGTAATTGCGCGGTGTATTCTTCAGGGACTTCCACCGGGGTACCCAGCGGTGTCAAGCTGCCTCGCGCCACGGGCGAGGACGGTTTGGAGTCCGCATAAATCTCTCTTGTCAGGCCGCTTGATTTCCGCTTTTGATTTGTCGGGCGCGTTGAGCGGGTATTCCGCTTGGGAGAAGCGGATGGAGAAGCAAACGGGGACATGGTATGGGGCGGCGCGGCGGGCGGAGTGTGCAAAGAGGGAGTTTCGCGGTCGTCATTTTGAGCCGGCGCCGGGCTTTCGGATGGGGAAAGGAGGGAATTGATATCCATCTTGTTTGATGCGGACTCGAATCCTGATTCGTAAAAGAGATGTGGGTGGGTGAGATAGGTACGCAGAGGCCTTCATCTGATGGGTTATGGTCAATGGACACACTTCAGAAGCATGGTATGCGTTTCAACGCCTGGTGAAAGGATCGATGAAGAGAGTCGTTACCGATTCGAGCATGGATTCCGCGGTGGTTCAGCCGATTCGAAAATGCAATAATGAGAGCGCGGTGCACGGCGCAAGTAGCATTCGTGTCAGTGATGAATGGACGAAATGGACGAGCTCAAAAAGTCGCCAGGCGCGTCTTGGCTTCAGGGAGCCTCTCTCCACTCATCGACACACGGACACACTAACAGTCGGTTCTTCAGTTCAGTTAGAGGCGTACACTGGTCTCCACGTCTTGCGCCAGGAGTGGAGGCTAGTCCTGTGGTAGTACCGTGGTGACGTAGGAGCTCACAGTAGAAGAATGAATTAAGCGGAAAATCTCAATTAGACCCTTTTTCCAAAACCCCGGACGAAGCTGGTGGATGATCTCGTTCAAGTTTCAATGGGTGCGAAGATTGAAAATCCAGAGGTGCTCCTCCGTATTAACCCTTAGGACGGACTGCTTCATCGAATGAATGCATGCGAGATGATGGATCTACAGGTGTCATACTCTTCCAACATCATCACGATTCACGAATTACGAGGAGAGGAAGGGCCAAGGAGAGCAGAAACCCGGGTTCCAATCACTGTATTACTGTGCACGAGAATGGACACGCCTAGGCCCTGATATTACATCTCCGCCTGTTCCGGAACCCTGGTGATCAGAATATCGGCTGCTGCAGGCAACTCCTCGCCGTGAACCCTGAGCTGGGATCGTTTCCCTTGTCACACACTTAAACACTAAAGTACACGTTTGATTGCTTCAGCCGCCAAATTGCTAAGCCTAACTAAGAACAGTCTTTGCACACACTGGGACTTGGGAGAGGATGACAGAGAGCGGATCTCCAATATTAATGGCATCACCGCCGCAATCTCCTCTCCTCCCCAAGCTATTTAATCCGAATCACCATCTCGATTCTCTATCCTTCCCCAGATGCACTGACTGTACCACCCTCCATCTCGAAGGTCCCATCGCTGAGGCGATGAGGTAGGGCAAGGAGATACAGCTATCTCCCGAGGCCGTTGCCAAGTGTCGTCCGACATCAGCTTCGCCTATCACCCACGCTTGCGGAATTTTCTCCAGACACATATCACGGTTTGCCAGGTACGAAATACAGGTACCTCTATCTAATTAAACAGACTGTGGCTAGCAATGGGATTTCGGGCTCAAACAGCTGCTTCTCGAAGCATTGGTAGCATCTCTGGCACCACTGGAACCGCTACGGTAAGGAACTTTCAGCTACCGTACTTAAACGGCTTGATCAAGCTCTGTCACTTTAACCAGCGGACTCAACATGTCGAGATGATTCGAAAAGGTACGTAACTCATGTCTTTCCTCTCAACCCTTCTATCCAATGATGAACCTTTTCAATCAAGTTTCAAGACGGAACGGAGAGACAGATGTGCGTCTGTCTCCGTGAATGATAAATCTTACTCTGATCACCACACTCCACTTCGACGGCGATTTCAAATTACGACTGGGTGCAATTGCTAATTGACTTGCATTATTAGGTACAGCTCGCGGATCGCATGTATCGCGCCCCTCCCATCTGACGAGTCGAATAAGCCCGAATGGCATACGGGAACACTTATCATAACCATGGTGGCGAGCAGGATGCTCATACACGTATTCCTCAATGTGTAGATCTAAGATCTAAACCTAATATATCATCATTCCATTGCGACGCCGCCTCATGTCTGGACTCCGTAACCGACAAACTTTTCCGACTCCCAAACGCCCAGTTACCATCGGTGAAAAGTCCTTCCCATCACAGCTTATTTCTTCTTGCTCTTGGACTTGGATCGCGATGGGGCAGATCCGGTGGACACTTCGCTCTGCGCTCGAGAGGTGCTCGCGGATGTGGCTTTACTACCCTTGACCGTGTCGAGTTGTTTGTTCTGCGAATCGAATAAGTATATAGGCGCGGTAGAAATAAATGAATCCGCGCTTACCTTAACACCACTCTTGGACTTCTTCTTCGCCGGCACGTCCTCCTCCTCGACCTCTTCCTCCTCATCCTGCGCCCGCTTGCCCTTCCCCGCGCCATTAGTGACCTTCCCGTCGCCGCTCTCAAACTCCCGAGCGACCGTCGTCAGCAGCGTCGTGCACCGCCGGCCGATCTCCACGGGCGTGCGGCTGAGGAAAAACCAATCGAACCGGAATAGCGGCGAATCGCGGATGTCGTCGCGGATCTTGTCGTAGATGCCCTCGGTGTCAACGCCGTGCTTGTCGAGCATCACCAGCAGGAACCGGTCTTCTTCCTCGGTGTACACCTTCTTGTTGGTCGTCGAGACGGAGTAGTTGATCTTCATCTGCTGCAGCGGCACGCGGTACATGGCGAGCTTCTTCTTGAGCATCTTGCGTTGGTGCTCGATCTTGCGGGTGCGCTCCTCGCCTTCCTCGATCGCGTGGATGTACTTCTCGTAGTTATGGATCTCCTTGTGTTTTTTCCAGAACACTTTCGCGTACTCGCGGACTTCATCGACATCCATGCCGTCCACCTCCTCGGCGATGCCCTCGTAGTTGTCCCGCCCGTATTTAGCCGATCCGTTGATGAACTGCTGGAAGTCGCGGCGATTCCAGTCCACGAAACCCATCTGCGACAACCGCTCCTTTTCGGCTTTCTCGTCCTCGGTGAGCGGCTCGGCATTGTCGATTTCCTGCTGCTCGAGCTCTTGCTCCGCTTGACGGGATTCCAGCTCCTCCTCGGGCCCGTCAGGAAGTGGTGCCTTGATGTTGTTCTCTTTGCGGTACCAAGCTGTCTCCTTGTCCTGAAGCTCGCTCAGTCCGGGCGGGAAGAACTGGTAATCGTGGATGGTGATCTGTTTCGGTGCGCGTGGGATCTTCGGCTTGGTGTCCGCAGTTCGTCCGCCGGTCATCAAAGCTTGTCGGTAATACTTGTCGATCGAGTAGGCTTGCTCCTTGCGCTCTCGCTTCGCCGGATTGATCCAATTCAAACCAATATCCTTCTTCGGAGCGATGAACTTCTGACCATTCCACTCGTACGCGGACTCCGACGTGAACTTCTGTAGGTCATCGATACCAAGGTTCTCGTATTTGGCATTCAGTTCCGCCGTACGCTCCTCACCACGCTTCAGGATGGCGTCGATGTCATCGTCGGTGAGTTCGCCGCCGGAATGGGCGCCAATGGCACCTTGCGACTCGAACACCTTCTCAGCACCATGCTGAATCATCGACAGCAAATTCTCCTTCGACGCGGCCTTGGTCTGCGGCTGCCCAGCACGACCTTGTTGGATGACGACCTGGTCCAAGCGAAGCTTCTGAGCGGCTCGCTCCAGGACCTTCTCTTCGATGGCGTTCTCCGTGATAAATCGATACACCATGACTTGCTTCGTTTGTCCGATACGATGGGCACGGTCCATCGCCTGCAAATCCGCCTGCGGGTTCCAATCGCTGTCGAACAGGACGACGATATCAGCCGAGGTCAGGTTGATTCCCAAGCCCCCGGCGCGAGTGGTCAGAAGGAACAGAAACTTTTCGGATCCCGGTTTATTGTATTCATCGATGGCGGCAATGCGATCCTCGTGTGCTGTGGAACCGTCGATGCGGCAATATTTGTAGCCTCGGAAAACCGCATAATCTTCGAGAATATCCAGCAGTCGGCTCATCTGGGAGAAGATCAAGACCCGGCTGTCCTGCGCTTCCATTCGCTTGAGGAGTCGGTCGAGCATTACCATCTTCATCGAATTCTGAACCAAATGCTCATCGGTAGTATAAGGTGGACCCGGCTCGGCTCCGTCAAACAGGTAAGGATGATTGCAACATTTCCGGAGCTGCATGACGATATTCAGTAGCCGGGTCTTCGACTCTTTCTTACCACCTGCACCGTTCACGGCGTCGATGTCTTTCTCGAGGATCTTCTGGTACCATTTGACCTGCATTTCGGACATGCCGATGAACAAATTGACCTCCTTCTTTGGAAGCAAACTCTTCTCCACATCGGACTTGACACGACGAAGCAGGAATGGTCGAAGGACTTTGTGTAGTTGTTGGACAACGGTATCCTGATCGGCATCCTGGCCAGAAAACCACTGATCGAAAGCTTCCGCGTCACCAAAGACATCGGGGAGCAGGAAATTCAACAAGGCCCAAAGCTCGTGTAGGTTGTTTTGAAGGGGTGTGCCGGTGATGAGGAGTCGGTTTCGGGAGTTGAACAATCGGATAATCTGCGCCAACGACGACTCTTCGTTTTTGATTCGGTGCGCTTCGTCGATGATGATGTACTCCCAGGCAAACTTCTTCAAATGCGACTTTTCGCGAAGAATCATCTCGTAGCTCGTTACACACACATCGAACTTTTCGTCGATCAATCGCTCGCTGATGAGCTGTGCGCGTTCATCTTTCGCTCCTTGAAGGACGAGCACGTTGATCTCCGGGATCCACCTCTTGAATTCCCGATTCCAGTTATCGAGGGTGGATTTTGGAACGACAACCAAATGCGGTCCATTGATGTCGCAGACAAACCGCAGGTAGCCCAGGAATGCGATCGTCTGGAGAGTCTTTCCCAGACCCATCTCGTCTGCGAGGATGCCAGAAATGCCGTTCTCATGGAGAGAAACTAGCCAATTCAGGCCAGCAATCTGGTAATCTCGCATCTCCCCACCTTGAATGAAGGCAGGTGATTCACGGAAAATGGTCTCTGTTTTACCGTATTTCTCATCTCGGATTAACTCCGCGTCCTCCTCTTGTTCCGTTCGGCGACGTCGATCGGCGGCAGCACCACCCTTCCTCGAATGGCCTTTCCTCGCCTTTTCCTCGTCCTCTGCCTCTCTTCGGTCGATTTCGACCATAATCTCCTTGACTCGTGGGTTCGGGTTCGATTCGATGAAGTGCCGAAACAGGTCAGTCAGACCAAGCAGGTATTGGAATCGTCGGATGGAGTCGTCCTCCTTCGACTCGGCCAAGCGACTGTTCTTCTTTCCGTATATGCTTTTGCGAAGTTGGAATGCTTGGGATCGTCGCATACGTCCATCGGCCTGGGCTTGGTCTCCTGCAACGCTGCTGGCCGTGGTATTTGGGTTGGTGTCGGAATCCTGGGTGTAGTGTGAATAAGAATCAAATGATGTATATTGATAGTCTTACTGTATAGTCGGGTGTTTCCTGATAGTCCTGAATGGTTAAGAGTCAGAACGCATAGTCCGCAACATTGTGACGATAGGCTGATATTGAAGGGGGAGAGCAAGAAACGTACGGCCATGGGTTCATCGCCTGCGTCGCCATCATCCTGGCCCACAGCAGCCCCAGCATCTGTCATAGACACGTCTTCGTCCCGGGGTGACGACTCCTTGGAATCTGCATGCCGGGTACGTGACGGAGCCATCATGACCGCGGATGGTTCAGCACCGTATATTCGCGATCGATCAAGTCAACTGCAGGATGGTAGTCAATTCCAAACTGGTCCAGCAAGTCGAGTAGTGCAAAGATGAATTTCGAAGGAACACCCCAGTGGAAAGGCAAGACTAGAATGAAAAGTTGCGGTTGAATATGTTGTGAAGTTGGCTTGACCGCTTGAGAGTTGGAGTTGAACCTGAAGAATCACGACGCGTGCATTCGCGACAAGAATGGCACTCACGTGACTTTTACGTGGGCCCTGGATTAGTTGTGGCTTGATTAGTTGTAACTAGTGGCTGGGAATAGGGCAGTCCAAATGAGCTCATCTGGATTAAATGATGAATTACAGAGGAATCTCATAAAAGGTGGCAGTAATGGGCTCGTGCGTTGCTGATTAATCATGCTGAGTCATCATACTGAGTCATGTAACGTGCCTATTTTATGAAGAATTGAAGATTGAGGCTATGTACAGAGTATATACACGCCCATTGCTTGAACAATTGCGTACTAAGATGCCCCCCAAAGGGCGCATCCCCGATGTAGAAATACTCAATTCCTTTATACGAATAAAACACCTTGATTACGCTACAGATAGAGCTATCTGTAAGGCGTGTAAGACAGAACGATCCTGGCAAACCACCGACCTCCGGACACACCTCACACGCTGCAAGCCATACCTTACGCTTAATGGGAAATTACAGACGTCAATCCAGCCGAAACTTAGGGTGCCGTCGCTCTCTGCGCTACAAATGAGGACTATCCAGTTGGATATGACAATGGCTGTCATAATGGATGCCTTACCGCTTGATGCTTTTGAGGAGAAGAAGCACCTCGCGCGTATCTATCGCACGTTCTATCCTCTTGTCAAGCCTCCTACACGGAAGGATATCGTCAACGACTTTCTACCAGGTTAGTTTAAGTACTCTTTTATTTCTCCCAGCCACTAATTAAGTAGAACTCTACGAACGTTGCCGGAAGCAAGTTATGCCTATTATTCAGAGCTCCTCCACAATCAACCTTATTGCTGATGAGTCGAACAACATACGCAAGAAACGAGTCCAGAATCTCTGTGTCAACGTGCCAGAGTACGGCGCCTTATATATCAAATCCGAGATCCTCGCCGGCGAAACCTTAAATGGCGAATGGAGCGCGGGGTGGCTATACAAGTGCATGAAGGAACTATGCAATGGCAACTTCACACGGATCAATTCGGTTACAACAGACACCTGTGCTACACAGCTTAAAGCGGCGACGATACTCAGCAAGCAACCGGAGCTTCGACACGTATTCTTTGTACCGTGCAATAGCCACGGCTTGCAGCTCCTTATTAAAGACATTGTGTTACTCCCGTGGTTCGAAGAACGGTTCCAAAAAGCACAGGCTATTGTTACGGCATTTACCTCCTCTCCAAAGCAACTAGGTATCCTCCGAGAGCATATGCAAAGTACAATGCAGAAGGTATACTCCTTTACCTTATCTGTTATTACTAGATGGGGTACTCAAGTATCAATGCTCAAGTCTGTCAAGCGAGCACAACCGGCCTTATTACTGTACTTCAACAGCCTACCAGACGAGGTAGGCGATTCGGTAAACGAGCTTAAGGCGGTAGTCTGGGATCGACAATTCTGGATTGACATCGAATTCATCCTCCACATTTTGGAACCGATCGATAGCCTTATTAAGCAGTCAGAATCGGACTCTGCAAAGCTTCACCACGTCGTGACTAGCTGGAAGCAAGCTCAACAGCACTTAGCCAATATCGTTCAAGAACGTCCTGATATCGATGACCTCTCAAAGATCCCACAACTCCTGCAGTCTCGATTTGAACGTCAAACGACAGATATTCATATTGCTGCGTTCCTTCTTAACCCACATACGATCGGCGACGACTCAATACCATTCCATACAGCCGCACAGGTTTGGGAGAAGCTTAATAACTTCTTAAAGAGGATGGGGGTGGATTATAAGAATGCTATAACTCAGATCATTGAGTTTCGGGGGCGTGAAGGACGATTCAATATGGGACACTTTATATGGGAGCATAAAGAGACGATTAAGACTTTCTGGCAGATTGCGTCCACATTCGCCCCAGCAGTTGGACCTATTGCATTGAGACTGGCATCAACTCCTTGCAATTCAGTGCCCTGTGAGCGCTCCTTCTCTATACTCAAACTATTACAGAACAAGCTCCGTTCATGCCTTGAGGGTACGAATGTTGATATGCTACAATTCGTGTATATCAATCAGAGAGTATTTGATAGGAAGGGAAGAGACCATGCTAGCGAGATTGAAAATGCAGCGGAGGACTTAGAGGAGGAGTATATTGAGCTTGAAGATGGCCTTATTGAGGCGGGAGAAGATCATGTAGATAATCCTATGCTATTGTAAACACGAAAAGAATCAATATCTTTAGGATTAAAGCTTCAAATACGTTAACAAAGAAAAGCAGTTGAAGGTAGGAACCAAGTTGGCTAGTATTTATAAGGACGGCGAGCCCTAATGTACATACACGTCCATTACTGTTATGGTTTGGTCATTTGAGTGATGAAGATGTCGATTACAAGACTTATACAGTTGGAGAGAGCTATGAGAACGGGTATTAGGATCTCCTGCAAATACTGCTGCGGGTGCCTCAGGCACTAATATTTGGGTAATGCTATACCTAATTAGGCTAGTATTAATGAGGGCATTTATGAGCGCTAGAGCTAAATCGGGTTAGATTTCATGAAGACTTTATGAGGACGGCGTGCCCTAGCTGGGAATCAGAGATCAGAGGTTACTTAGTCATCGCATCCTGTAGCTTATGTAAGTCAGGGTGTATCTATGGTCCAAAGTCCAAGGTAAACTACTTCTGAGTTCTGACCGATTACAAGCCTCTCACTGCCTCTGAACAGGTATCCTATTGCTTCCGTGATTGATTGACACGCCAAAACAATCAACACCTACAGAGAGCCTGCGCACTTCACGAGTTTTCACTATCCTCATCTTATAGACTTTAGAAAATAGTACTATCGCAATACCAGAGACATCTTAGCCCTTGCACATCTTCATATTATATACATAATCCCATCCCCGCCTAGTAATACCTATTAGTTGACAACTTCCTGGCCAGCTTGTGGAGAGTATACGTACCGGGCCAACTGTCCACCGGTTTGAGGAAGTGTAGCCGTTTGAGAGACGGCGACGAGGAGAGCGAGGGCGAGAGTTTTCATGATGTAGGCCTAATGATGGAATCGATAGGCGAGAGTTAAATCAATAAGGTGCAGTTTACAAGTACTAGAGGCTTGAAATGGTAATAATAAGTGGAGTAAAGTTTAAGTTGCTGCTTTTGCTAGACTAAGGAGTGCAAGCAGTGAAAATGTGACTGTACACCGACTGATGGTACTGCTGGCGGCATTTCGAGATCTATCACCCTTTTATAGATAAAGCGGTGTCTCCTGATCCTGTTGAGTTTATCATTCCTTCCTACCTTAAGTTGCCAATCGTTAACATAATGGGAAACGACAGCTAGACTAGCTTGTCTCACAGCAAGGGCTCCGTGTTATATGTAGTGCCATGAAATCGAACCTTAGCAGCGCCAGCTACTGCGACTATGTCGCACCTAACAGTCTGTAAACTGCATGACGAGAACAGGAGACAGTTGAAGAGTGTGGTGGCGTTGAAGTCGGTCGAAAATAGTCGATATATAATCCTGCAGTTATGTCTTTTCTAGCCGGAGCAAAAGCCTTTACCTAAACGCGGCTTTTCTTCAATCTAGTATTCGTGCTTCCGATTGATTCATTCGTCGAGGTCAAAGCCATCTACACTACTTTTGTGCGAGGCGGCACGAACTCCATATATCGAAGATTAAATATAAGTGAATTCATAGAACGATCGACCGGAAATGAATTAGTAGACTATCGGAAGTAACTACTATAGTAAGGCATTTAAGGTACCAGAATAGGCTATCCCTATGTTTCATGCAGCTGCTCCGTCCCCGTTCTAATATACAATCGATGCATGGGTAAGCTGCTATTGTGCAATATTGCACATACCTCCGTAGTCATCGCGGTGGCCATTCAGTGGATTATCGAACTACGGTATCTACCGATCCATATCATCAGCAACATTCGGATCGTATTCCTCTGATTGCCCTACCACTGTATCTGCTGTGGCTGTTTCGGACTCAAGATCCTATATATCAAACTCTTCGTCTGTATCTTTACAGGCCTTCATCATCTCAATGGTAGCATAAGATCCGTGGCCATCGCCTACTAATAAACGCCACTCATCGTGTCCGTTACTGTCAGGACTGGTTTCAGGGAGGAATTTCTTCTCCAGCCATTTAAGACCAATCTCGTTAGAAGTCCACGCATTCTCTGATGTCGTAAAGTGCCAATCGGTCAGGCCCTTGGTTGAAGAAGGGAACCAGGTAGTCTGGAGGTTTTGGCCTTTGAAGATGATAAGGGGGGAGACTTTTCGACCTTCTGCGGAAACTGCTTCGATGATGGAAACCCATTCGCGATCACCAGGGACCTTAACGTACGTACGTTTACGTTTTCCGTTCGTTGAGGTCCTTATAACTCTCCCATTCATTCCTACGCCAAGAATTATGCCGTGTTCATCGAAATTCCACCTTTTCGCGGCCCGCGGGTTTGATCTTGTACTGGTCGCAGATCTTCTTGTATAGGTCCAGGAATTCCGAGATGACCTCTTTTGTTGCGCCATTTGCTCGAGGCGCTTCGAGTGCCGTTCCAACTATAGAGTTCACCTGCGGGTTACGACGAAGGAAGCCTTGAGTCCAATGTTGACCGCAAGGGGTCGTATCGCAATTTTCCCGGGCAATGCATTCTGCCATTTGGACCACTCTTGCGTGAGAAAGGGCTCCATTGGCGCGGTCTTCTTCGACAATCCATTCCGTAAGGTATCTTTCCTGGACAGGGGATAGTTTCTGTGTATTCTGGGCGCTCTCTTTGCGAGTTGGACGGCCTGCGAGTCTAGAGTAGACCTTGGGATTTGATATTGCTCCGAAACCTTGCGCAAGGAGGGGATTTTCCAGGTCCGACAATCATCTAGAGTACTTTGTAGAGCCTCTTCTGTATATTCAGCCAATTTGACAAGAACAATGGTCCTTGCATTGATTATTTCATTGATTCAAAACTATCTACAGATCTCCGTATAACCCGATTTAGAGTGGCCGACAAGGGGTCCACTGACTGACTAGCGCGGGTGGGAAAATCTCCCCAGCCTTCCAACGTCAATATTAAATGCTGACAGCTTCGGATCGTCCCGTCGCCATGCTTTCGCAAACCATAATCGCGAGGTTTTGGGTTCTTGCCTCTTGCCGTTGACAATGTTTCTCTATCCTGAGAAGTGAGAAGTGATGACTTTAGTTTTGAACCTGGAATCTGTTCGTGCAATGGGCACAGGGAACAGTTGAGCTCCTTGACGTTCACCGGGCGCTTTCATGCGAGAATCACTATCCCACAGATCCACCATAGGTACACCGCATTGAAGGTTTACCAGAGCTATATCATATATTGGAAGGAAAGGATCAAGTGCCGACCACGCATTGGAATGGTGGGCGTCCGCGGTTGAAAGATGGTTCAATTGGTAGCTAGGGTTAGGGAATCAGGGTCCATTAATGGGAGTCTGTGCGAGCGCGGGCGGTGTTCTACAAAACTAGATATTCACCAACCGAAATGCATTCAATGCAATAATCGTCATTCGTTTTGCATGTCTATAAATTCCTTGACACAGCGTGGTAGAAACAGGGTGTATCAGCCGTAGTACCCTACTCTAAGGCACAATGTTGCTCCTCATATAGTACATCATGCGGCTCATTGACCGATTCCCCAAGAACTAATATCCGCTTCCCTCGGCCTTCTCCCAGCAACGACGACTGCATGCACACCACCAAACGACACCAACCTCACATACCCCCCCGTCACCTCCTCAAGAACCCTCAACACATCTCCCACGTCCTTACTCGCCAGCGGGTTCTTAACGCTCCCCTGCACCGCCTTGACGACCGCGTTCAGCGAAAAGGACGTGCGCGCCACCGGCGCGGTCGGCGAGAGAATGATACCCTTGGAGCAGAGGAGGAGGTCGAGGATCGAGAGGACCTCGGGGGCGCGGGACAGCGCGGCGTGGCGGGCTAGCTCGGTGGGGGAGCGCACAACTTGGGTGGCGGAGACGGATTCTTTGACGCGGATGCGGTCGAGGAGTGAGGTTTGCCGGGAGGCGGATGAGGGGAGTGACAGGGTTTCGTGGTTCGGGTGACGTTCCTTTCGTTGGTTTGGCACAGGTTTCGGAGGGCCAACGTCCGTTGACGCCTCTTTCAGTCGCTTCACGGGATGCTCATCAGATTCTGCGGACGGTTCGGGGACTGGGGAGTCGTCGCGATCACCATGACGGCGCTTCCGCGTGGTGGATTGGATCGTTGACGGTGGCAACCGCCCCTTCATGAGATCTTCTAAACGTTGCTGACCGCGCATGAGCAGCGGCTGGATTCGCACCAGCGACTTGCTCGACTTGACCGGCACCGTCGGCAGGGACGCCACGAAGTCATCTGCATTTTCGTCGCTCTGGGACCATTCCTTGACAATGAGCTGCTCGAATTCTTGCTTCATGGCCTCCGTATCCGGCTGGCGAACGGTGACATTGTTGGCGGTATTTGAGAGCAGCTCTAAGCACACCTTTCCCCTTCCGTGGTCGACGAGCGCGAACGGGATCCGGTCCGATGCGTTGAGAGTGAGTACACCCAAGCATCGTTGTAGATCGTCTAGTCTCACCCTTCTCCTTCCCCAGATCCGGCTAATGGCCGGCGTAAGCTCCTTCACATCGACGGTTGTACCGGTACCATGATGCGCATAGTGGATAGAAAGGCCCGTAAAGAACGATGCATTTAGGCTAATAAGGTCCTGCACTGTCTGGGGAATCGCCTCATCGGTTGGGGGAATCGTGTCGGCAGCGGAGCGCGAGGTAGTGGGAGTTGCATCTTGTGAGGCGGATGGCGATGGGAGACCATGGAGTTTGGCGGAGAATGAGGAGAGTTTGGGCGAGTCGGTAGGCTTGATGTTCAAAATTTCGAGTGAGCGACCGAGTGCCTTCGTTGGAGTCTCGGCGGGTGTGTTGAGTCCATGGGTACGAAATCTCTTTCTCGGAGTAGAGATAGAGGGTAAAGTGCTAGGAGCGGATTCCAGAGGCTCTGGGCTGGCCTTTCGCTTCTTTGAGGTCGAGAGTGCCGAAGTCGCTTTTGTAACGCGACCATAAGATTCGATGGTCTTTCGAGGCCGCTGAGCCTTTGCGGCTTTCGTCGTCTTGGGCATGGCAATGAGCACCTCGGGTCTGTTTACAGGAGGTGCAAAAGGAAACAGAAGATCAAAGAAATGAGGAACTAGCTTCGAAGGTAGAAGATGAATAGAAAGAATTCATAGACTTAAGATATATCTGGACGGATTTGAGATATCGAAACGTGAAGCAAAAGCTATGGTGGAAAACTGGCGAAAGCAGCGAGGTGTAAATAGAGTGGCTGGCGGGCCGTAAAACGCGGAACAGCACGCGTTGCCAGGGGACGTGAAGCGCGCGACGCGTCAAAGTGGATTGGACGCGACTTGATTGGCCACCGACGCCATGGCCATTGAAACTGTTCGGCACTATAGAGTACGAGAGACAGCATGATGATTCTTCTTAGAAACAAAGCAAAATCATACGTTACCACCGATGTGCCTTAGTTCAACAGCGCTGAAGATGAAGATTGCAGCGCATAAGGTCCATTCTCAGCTCAACAACGTCAAACAAGTCCTAGATCTACGGCCTCACCCGATGAAATTACCGCTCGGAAAACATGGAGTCCATTCAACAATGACATTTGAAAACTTAACAGACTTGCAAATTGCAGCATACGAAAGTCAAACACGACCATTAGCACATGACGGTGCGTCATATCAACATGGCTAACTTAGTGAATCGGCTTTAGTTAATCGGAATTCGGACTCACTCTAGTTCCCGAGTCAGTAGCCACTCAATGTACATCAGATATGAGTCATGTAGCCAGACGTCCTGATATCGATTGTGGTGATCAGGATGAATCTACTTCGGAACTCCATACGTTCTTTGACTGTCTTCTCGATCTTATAACCTGATTAGATATTTCCTTCATACCTCAGCAGTTGCCGTTTGAGGTTGGGATGGCGGCAGTTACTCCCTCCGTAACTGGCTCGCTCTCGAGTGGGAATCATGGCTCGCTGTCCGACGGCTTATCACAAGAGCAGTTGGCTTTTTGGGACAAGAATGGATACCTAATCATCCCCGGTGCGTTATCCGGGGAGACTGTCCATGAGCTTCTTTCCGAGACACAGGAAATGCTAGATGAGTTTAGCACAACCGGACTCAAAGATCATCCCGGCACGAAGTTCTCCACTGGCGAAGGCGACGCCGACCATGTGGGCGACGACTACTTTCTAACCAGCGGTGACAAGATCCGGTTCTTCTTCGAAGAGGGTTCGTAGTTCTCCCTCGGAGCGTACAGACGGACGCTGATCTGCTCAAGACGCTTTCTCCCCGTCGGGCGAACTGCTCGGCCCCGTCCCGGCGTCGATCAACAAGATCGGCCATGCGCTCCACGTCCTCTCAGAGCCCTTCCGCCGTATCACGCTGTCGCCCGAAAATGCGGCGATTGCGAAAAGTCTGTCGTTTCGCGACCCGCGGTGCCTCCAGAGTATGGTGATCTGCAAACAGCCGCGTATCGGCGGCGCCGTCCCCCCGCACCAGGACTCGACCTTTTTGTACACCGACCCTCCCAGCGCGGTTGGGTTTTGGTATGCGCTGGAGGATGCCGTCGCTGGGAACGGGTGCTTGAGCTTTGCCAGCGGTAGCCACAAGCGGGCGGCGGTGGAGAAGCGATTCGTGCGGATGGGGGAGGTCGAGGAAGGGAAGGCGGGGACGGGGTTTACGGCGAACGAGGGTGAGAGGTTCCCGGAAGGGCTTGGGTTGGACAGCAATGCCGCTGTTGGAAGCACCGAAGAGTACACGGTGGGGGAGGTGAAAGCGGGCACCTTGGTGCTGATCCATGGGAACCTCCTGCACAAGAGCGAGAGGAATACGAGCGCAAAAAGCCGGTTCATCTACACGTTCCACCTCATCGAGGGTCAAAACGACTACGACAAGTGCAACTGGCTTCAGCCAGACGAGAAGGGCTTCGAGCGGATATTCAGATCGTAAACACTAGCGTACATTTTCATAAATACTATGCTATATTTCCATTGATGGAACAGAGGGCGGTGTTCAAGACAATATTCATCTGTGGGGGGCAATCTCATCCATCTGCGAGTGGTTGAAATGAGCCTTTCTCATATACTCTTCGATTCCATTCTAGTATCGATGTCAGCAGCTGCAAGAAGCGATCACCTGGGCCGGACTTACTCTGCTCTTGCACTCGTGCGGAATGTTCCATCCATCCACGACATATCGCTCACCGGTCTCCTCAGTTCGAGGCCATTCCATTGCCATGTCTCCGCAGCACATCAGACTCTGGCGCAGGTAATCGAAGCAATGGTACAAGTGGTCTGGATGGTCCTTCCCGGTGACGTGCTCCTTCACGGCTTGGAGCTTGGCGGGATCGTCCGACGAAATTCCGTCCACCATCATCCACGCGTACTTTCGAATCTGCCCGAGACAGTGGATCTGATGGTAGAGTGCCGTGCTGTAAATCACGCCCCAAGGGGTGTCTTGGCCGGGCGGAAGATCGTAGTCTTCCCAGTCGGGGATGTAGACGAAACCTCGACCATCCTGATGAATGGTCAGCACGAGATCCATGATTTTTGGTATGTGAGACGTGCCGGAAGTAATCTGTTCCAGGCCTCGTCCGATTCCGGGGTCGACTTCATCCCATATATTTTCTCTTCCACAAAGGTGACCGTTTCAAGAGGCACTGCGTCCACGTCAGCTTAGCCTCCAGCGAGTCTTCTTGACGACCTACGAGGCGGAACCGGAGACTTCATTATCCTATCCGGCCGCTTTCCCCCGATCAACTTCAAAATTTCATCCCTCTTTGCCCCGGCGACCGAGACGACGATAATGAAGAGAAGGATGGAGACTCCGATGGTTCCCACCACAAGTCGCAACAGGAACTTCGTTCGCCGCAAGGATCGGTTTAACTCCAAGATCTGCTGGACCGGATACTCCACATCCGAGTCGGAGCCGTTAAGGAGTTTGGTCTCGTCCATGTTGACATCGTTGTATTTCCCTCTTGACGAATCGCTCGCGTCATCCTGCCCTTTGCTGTCGAATCGGCCCATCCTGATCGGTGTCACTCGGACGGAATCGGGGTGTCGTAGGGGAGTTCAAGACTTTGGGTAAACATAGACGATGGAAAAGCGACAAAAAGCGACACGGTAGAGTTGAAGAACTTGTAGAAAAACCGTTTGAAGCGTCAAAAACTAGATTTCTATACGATCCAAACGTTAATAAGCCTCTAGATGCCACGCTGCGTATCCTTCCTCTCCACACTTCATTACTCCGCAGCAAAGTGTTAGCGAAGTTACTCTCATGGCCAGATCTCCCCATGCTCGGTCCACCACGCCGTTCGGCTCTGCTCCGCGCCAACCACCTGGAGGGGTTCGTCGTTACACATGCTGGCACCGGTGTCCATTCGCAGAGGGTGTGACAGGTCAAGTGCGCATGTTCAGGGAGGTTTTAATGAATCTGAAGCGGGGTTTGATTGAAGATATGGGGTGTTGGCAGGGGGGCCCTGGCGCGGCCGAGGCTTCGAGATGGATGCAAAACACGGGGGCGTTGGAAGATCGACCAATGAGCGGGCGCTGGCTTGAGATTGACTTTGAACTTGGAGATCTAACACTGCATCTAAAGGAAACGACTAGAAGCGATTTGTTCTTTTTGGGAATATGGTGGGTTTACGGATACAATACGACATTTAGGCTGCGCTTGCTAGGTGTAGTTCGCAGCAAAACTTCAATTAGCGAAACTACCTGAAGAACTAAGCGAAACCTGTGAAAGCCGTAGACTTCCGCCTTTAGAACGACACTGGAACCCATCTATGAGTATCAATATGCTTGAGATGCTTGTCGTTTGACGAACAAGAACGCCTGACGATCGCATGGAATTTCATAGTCCCTCTCCAGTCATATATACAACAGTTTTGTACAATGCAAGCATGATCAAAAAATTCTCTACCACAGCACGTACTGACTCTGACCCGTCACTGGACGATCAGGAAGCTGAGTCCATAATGTGCGATTGTCCCTCTTCCTTTGTCGTTCGGCAGCTAGACGTATCCGAGTGGTCTCCTCCTTAAGCACCACGTATAGTCCTGAAGCAGCGCGTTAGAATTCCATAGGGAACGGTGCATGCGACATGGTTTCACTCACTTGCGTATGGTAATCGGAGACGGAACGCTCGTCCACGACCCCGGTAATCGATATCCGTCCCGTAAGGCTCCCGACCAACCCACGCCTGGGAAATATATATCGAGCTCGCGTCGTCGATCTTCCGCCGCGTGCCGTCCTTATCTTTGATTACGATCTTGGCCGGCTCTTTGGCCGGTTCGCCCTCCGCGCCGACCTTGCCGAGACCCATACCTCTGTACACGATGGCTTGATCGCGGGCATACTCGAGGAACGCCTTGACGTGGACAGCCTTCCCCTTTTTGCTGAACCGCATTTGCAGGATCGCTTCCTCGATGGGCTTCCCCGCGATCTGGCGCGCCAGGAACATCAGCTTCTTCGTGCTGGTCTTCAACATTGGGGTCTTGGCCGAGTGCTCTCGTTCGGTGCGCTTCAGCATCTCCCCTTTGGACATCCGTCCCCGTCGCGTGATGTCGCGGATCACCATCTTCCGCTCCCATCGTCTGCGTTTCCACGGCTCGGGATCGGTGGCGGCCATCATCGCAGTCCGATTTATGTCGGGCTTCACCTCTTGCTTCTCGATTTCGGCCCGCTCTTTTCGGTCGATCTCGAAGATATTCGTGGCAGTTAAGTCTCCGAGAGTGGGCATTTCCGGCATCGACGGTGTCTTCGTCGACTCTTTCACTTTCGAGGAGGTTGGCGATTTAGGCGCGGGTTTGGCAGAGGCATACTGCCGGGAAAGGGAAAGTGAGAAGGCTCTGCATTGGCAGAGAGGGACTAGCATAGTTAGAGGCAATCTTGAATCTTGAGGGGCAAGTTGCTCGCAACTTACGTCGATGCGCCAGTTGGCGCGATTTGGTCAGGAGCTTCATCTTATCGTGCTTTGAACTTTCATTCTCATCGCAAGCACGCTGCTCACAACATGAAGGTTCAATTCATGGGATAACCGGAATAGTACCGAGTTGTATAGTTGTAGTATTGTTGCGCAGCCTTCAAGGGTCATAGATATGCTTTGGAGACGAACAAATGTCAGGTTCAACAACAGAAAGATTCGGAATTGATGCCAAGCCCAGACCCCTATCCATAGGATTCATCAGCCACACCATGAAGGTCAGAAACTCCAGTCAGGATGACATAGTCTCATTTACCGTAAATGCGTCCCACTAAATTTCCGTTTTCGATTTAGCGCTGCCGCATCGAGCATAACGCTGTTTTCCTCGTTCAAACATCATCTCTTCAAAAAACATAAATACCACCGCCTGTCCCCTTCTTAACTCCCAATAACCCTCTTCTGTCTCTTCTACCATTTCCATACCTCAGATTGCCTTTGCCTCTTGCATTGCCCCGTACCAATTTTATTCCGCCTACCGATCGGCCCCTTAACACGCGCCATTAACACCGCCTGAATCTCTCGCCCTCGCCTGTCACAGCACGCAAGGAATGGGCTAGTGTGATACAAAATGGTATGCTTCAGTGATTCACGTGCAAATATTAGGAGAGCAATTGATTCTGTATTCCGTATAGTTGCACACTGCATTACGACGATAGACTGGTCTTTGAGGGGTCAGTAAGGCTGTATGGCTAGGACAACAGATCAGGGGTAAAATAGTTAAGGCCATGTGACCTAATGTGATCTAGTCATGTGATACCAATGCAGATATCTTGTGTTTACTGTAGCATCACATCGCCCTACCTAGGATCCCTCTTTATTCTACACTTAATGTAAGAGAACGTCCCAGAGCAATGGAGTGGTTGTGGCTGGTGCAGATCATGCCACGTGACTTGCACCAAGGCTTTGCTTCCGTGGCGCAGATCAATATAGTAAGAAAAGGGGCATTGTAGCATTAATACCATATCTTTCCGGATCTCCGTGTTAGTCTTTCTTCCTCTAGCCAATATCTGCCACGATCCCACGATGAGGTGGCTCCCGTAGAGATCAGATCAGGAGTTCTGACCACGTGATGAGAGGTCATGTGGTGGTGGGTCATGTTGAGTGTTTTCATTTCACCCACCATGGATATCTATCTCATTCCTTCTACCATTCCCTCCTATTCCCCATGTTAGAAGCAGATAGTTATGGAAGTTAGAAGAACGAAGATAGAAAATGGAGGCACAAGGCCACAAGGCACCAACGCATGTAATTAGTCAGCCTATGTAGTTCCCCACATGGGCCTCGCAAAGAGGCCTGACGGGCGTATTGTATGAATCTCTCTCTCTCGCTCTACCTCCCTCCCCCTCTTTCCTTTCTTTCTTCTTTAGCTTAATTCTAGCGAATCAACCTGTTCAAATTCCTTACTGAGTGATCCAAGGTGTCATCGTTACAATATCCAAGTATGGCTCGAAAGACTCCTGTACCGCACTCGGCTATCCAGCCAAGTCCCGATTATAAGGACTTCGGCACCACCCTCCAGCTCCTCCGGCCATTCCTCGCGGTGTCCGCCATCGACCTGATCGGCATCGCCGTCAACTCAATCGCCCTGCAATGGCTGTCCAAACCCCTTCTCGCCCCGGTGCTGCTCATTCTGGTGTACGTGCTACGGGAAAACCGGGCCATCGACCGCGTCGCCATCGGTCTCGTCCTCGCGTGCGGTGGCGATATCGCGCTACTTGTCGGCGGCGAAACGGCCTTCCTCGTCGGAATGGGCTGCTTCCTCGTCACCCAGATTGCCTTCACCACCGCGTTCTTGCGCCATCGTAGCCCTCCCGTCACCGCGTTCCTGATCTACGTTCCCTGCTGGGCGGTAGCGAATTTCCTGCTGTGGACGCCTTTGGGTCCGCTGGCGGTGCCGGTGCTCGTGTACAGCCTCGCTCTTGCGCTGATGGCCATCACTGCGACTGGTGTCTCCTCGCGGGTGGCACTGGGCGGGGGGCTGTTCCTGATCTCGGACATGTTAATTGGGATTCACGTGGCGGGCGTCGCGGTACCCTGCCATGGCTTGGCTGTCATGACAACCTACATCGCGGCCCTGCTGCTCATTACCACCGGCTGGGTGGATGCTACCCCCGGCCGATAGCCCCTCCTGGCTGGTCGGTGTGCAGCGAGTATCAAGGCTTATGTGAAGAACACTGAGACGAAGTAGTCTCCCTTTGACTACTCTCGTAACGTGTTGTGTTGATATGATTCCCAATTAGGAAAGAAGAGTGAATACAGGAGACCAACATGTAAATAATCCACCAGCACTCTAAGACTTCTCTTCTTTTCCTCTTTTCTGTAGCTTGAGTTTGACGAGTTTACGGAAATCGAATCAACTTCTTTCCCGATCGTGTCACATGCTTTTATAACTAACATAGAGGCATAGAAATTGCGAAGGTCGAAAAACTGAAAATTGAGAGTTAGAACTTAGAAGTGTCACGGTATGGCTTGGGGAACCTACCGAGTAGGGCATGCCTGACCAGAAGGTCCTTATATTGATATACCGAATTACCACAATCAACATTGACTTTGGTTTAGTCGTGTTGGTGTCCATTTTGGCGCATAGTGGTAGCGTCGTTACAGGAAGTCCAAAATTGGATGACGCGTTGAGCGTGTGCAAGGCCTTGGCACTGTGCCAGGGAGTTTTGGGGCATCGACAGTAATTACTCTAACGAAACGAGAGCTTTTCGCCTGAGCGGAAAACCCTCCAAAAACGGACGTTTTTGGAGGCAATTTCGGTAGCACACGTTACTTCGTATTGAGAAGTCTATTCTCTAATTATATTCCTCAATTACGGGGGTGTTATCTACCGGTAATCCCTCTTAAGTCCTATCATAATAAGCCCATCTTAGATCCCTTCCACCCCAGCCTTTCTCGCTTCTTCATTGAGGCTGTTGACCTCAATGTGTGCAAAAGGGATTCCGGACACTTCCCTTTGCTTGCGCTTTTCCCCCTCAACTTCACCAGGAAAGTATATCCTTTCGACTCCGTCTGCTTTCTTGCTCCCGGTTACCCTCTCATACAGATGATTCATCCTGTGGCGGAACTCTTCCCCGCTAACGAAGAGGTCTGGCTTCATCGCCACGAAAAGGTGGCCCACTCCTTCCCCCGGCCCTCGCGTCTTGTCATATGGACCGACGACCTCCCCAGCAAACGCAGACCCAGAGAGAACACCTGAGAACACGTCCATCATGATTGCCAACGCCGAGCCTTTAGGGCCGGCCATCGGAAGCATCGTGCCCTCGAGAGCCGCTGCCGGGTCGGTTGTGTCCCTCCCTTCGGCGTCCAACGCCCAGCCGAACGGGATCTCCTCGCCACGCCTCAGCGCTTTGTGAACCTTGCCTCTCGCTGCGACACTTGGCGCGAAGTCAAGAATGAACGGCGGATGGTTCCCTCCAGGAGCTCCGGCGGCAATAGGACTCACACCTAGCAGCTTCTCTCGACCACCGAACGCGGGGAGCGCCGACGAGGAATTGGTGAAGACGAGGGACATCATCCCCGCCTCAATGGCCTGCTCTACAATCCACGCGCTCATGCCAAAGTGGTTGCTGTGGTGCGCCGACACCATGCCGATTCCGAACGTCTGCGCCATGTCGCACGCCCGCTGCATACCGGCTTTGGCGGTCAGAAAACCCCAGCCATTCTTCCCGTCAATTTCTCCTACCACCGGCGTGACTTGTTTGAGGATGGGCTCGGCGGCCGGGTCGAGGAGACCTGCGCGTACGCGGATCAGGTACGGGATGAGGCGGTTGATCCCATGCGATTCGATCCCGCGCAGGTCGGCGAGGACCAGGCATGCGGCAACATGTTCGGCGTGAGACGTTGGTGTTCCGTTGGCCACCAGCAGCCTAGTTGCAAATGCTTCCGCGTCTGCTTTCGATATGAGCCGATAATCTCCGGTCTCGGAGTGGTCACCAGCAGACTCTGCCATGAGCTGATGCCTGATAAGATCCCGTTTACTAGAAGTAGTAGCTTGCTCGAAATTTGCTGGCTGGGAAAGTAGTACAGCGTATCCACGCTGGAGCTGACAGCTCGTGTGAAGATATCCCGAGATGCGAGCCATTTAACGCAGGTCGCCGTTGAGACTAGTTTCGTATGACCGCGCCGAGCACTCGAGCGCCTTGTCGGATTGACTCACTCGAACCAATTGTAGAACCCAATGTTTCCTATGCTCCACATCCATTCCCTTGCTGATATTAGGAATTGGGCGGACACTCTGCGGAATATCAGTTATTCAAGCTTGCTGAAACTGAATGATCGCCAATTATGGCTAACTACGGTAGGATCCGGTGCGCCGAAACTGGGCAGCGGTTGGGGTAAGAACAAGCTTAGACAAGCTTTGTCGGCTGATATATGCAGATCTTCAAACTAAAACCCCACATCGGCATGCAATTGCCAAATTGGATCCAGTCTCAATCCTTTTGCCAATCAGTTATGTCGAACGTAGCCTAGAAATAATTCCTTCCGACAAAGACAACTGCCGCTCCTATCACTTATCGGCCATCGGCCTATCGCGCCTCCAAGATCACGAATCAAACCCCGGGTACGCTACGGTTAATCGGGGACTTTCGACCTTCGGGGTCGGGGTCCGGGGATGTATCCAACCCAGATATCCACCGATTCAGCAGCATACTGGACCTCCGTAACTTCGTTTGCCAACCGAGACGATAGCGGGAGACGTAGGGCTCATCAAAGGACGTTCCTTGTGGATCACATGGTGTTTACGACCAGTTTCACGACATCCCGATGTTAGTAGCGTGCGACGAGCCCTCTTGGCGGATGCATAATCCAAACGTGCAGTGCGAATAGCATGTTCGAGGTCGGTGGTTGGATGCCCAACCATGTTCTACTCAACCAGAATGGCAAGATCGCCTGGATATTCCCCAGCTCAGCTATCCGGACTTTTCTGCTGTGCATCTAGACACGAGCAATCCGCTTACCCCGTGCCATGGCTCGGTTAGATAAGGTTAAATAAATTTGCCGGAAGTTTCGATGGCTTCTATAAGCATTTTCGTCCTCGTGTTCAAGTGGGTGATTCCGTGTCTGCTCGTTTTCTCGTCTCCTGCGTCCCGTTGCAGCTATGTATAAAGACAAGCTGAAAGATACCCCAAGGGAGGCTCTCAATTGGAGACTGTGGTATGGAGTACTGGTGTAAGTCAAAGAACCAATCTCATCCCAGCGAGGAACAGGATCGCTAATATCAACTAGATTTGGGCTCATGGGGGCCGCCCGTGGCCTTGACGAAGGTCTCATTGGAACCTCGTCAACGCAGCCCTCCTTCATCAACCGGTTCGGGCTCAAGGACGAGGATCTATCCAAGCACGACCAGGCGCAGCTTCTCTCCAATATCACCAGCATGGTCCAGATGGGCTCCATCCTAGGCGCGCTGGTGGGCTTCTACTTCAATGACCGGCTCGGACGCATATGGGCAACGAGGCAGCTGTGCTTCCTCTGGATCCTGGGAATCGCCATCTTCCTCGCCGCAGGAAGCAATGGATCCATTGGCATGGTCTACGCGGGCCGCTTCATCGCCGGGATTGGAATCGGCCAGACGACCATCGCCGGCCCAACCTACCTCGCCGAAGTGGCACCAAAGGCGATTCGAGGCCTCTGCGTCACAGTCTTCTCCGGCTCGGTATATCTCGGGATCATGCTTGCGTATTTTGCGAGTTGGGGCTCCTCGATCCACATTGGGGACGATACTGAGGCGCAGTGGATAGTGCCGAACTCCATCCACATCATGTTCGCGGCGGTGATCCTCGGTCTGTCCTTCTTCGCAGTCGAAAGCCCTCGATGGCTGGTCAAGGTTGGGAAGGATGACGTTGCTTTGCTCAATCTCAGCAAGCTGCGTGGCCTCCCAGGGGAGCACCCATTGATTCAAGCGGAGCTCACGGACATCAAATGTGCCCTCGAACGAGAGCAGGAGGCAACGCGGGGTGCCGGCCCGATCGGAATTGTGAAAGAGCTCTTCCTCGACAAGGGCAACCGATATCGTATCATGATGCTGTCTCTCCTCTCTCAGCTCCTGAGTCAATGGTCAGGCGCTTCGTCGATTACGATTTATGCGCCCGAATATTTCGCAATGATGGGTACGTCCGGCCAGAACGAGAAGCTCTTCGCGACAGCCATCCTCGGAATCGTCAAGTTTGTCTCCGCCATCATCTGTGCTCTTTTCCTAATCGACTTCATCGGGAGAAAGCGGTCGCTCTTGATCGGTATCACCCTGCAGCTCCTGAGTATGTTATACATGGCGATTTTCCTCGTCAGTGACAGTAACGTTGGGGAAGAGGATGTGGTACAATCTCCGAGTCAGAAACGAGCAGCGATGGGTGCCATCGTCATGATCTACCTCTCCGGCGCCGGTTGGGCCTTAGGCTTCAACAGCATCCAATACCTGATCAATTCGGAGATCTACCCGCTAAGGCTGCGATCGATCGGCTCCTCCATCGCGATGACCTTCCACTTTGTGAATCAGTACGGCAATTCCAAGGCCGTGCCGCTGATGTTCTTGGACATGACCGAGGGGGGAACCATGTTTTTCTTCACGGCTGTCACGTTACTCGGTCTGCTGTGGGCCATTTTCCTGCTCCCCGAACTCAGTGGGATGTCGTTGGAGTCGATTGACCGGGTGTTTGAGCTTCCCTGGTGGCAGATTGGACTTCGTGGTAGGAAAGTCGCGAAAGAGCAGATTGCATATGCGGAGGCCTATGACCGAGACGGGAAACATGCTATGGTTTCGTCGGAAGACGTCCAGACGGTCGAGCGCAAGGCATAAATGCTTCTCACTCCCCTGACCGGCTGCTTAGCTGGGGATCCTCTAGCGAGTCTCCAAAAGAATCCTAAAATGAAATGGGATAGGCATGCTGCTCTCCAAGATTCGGTGTTCGATGGGTGGTATATGTACATACATAAACACAGTCATTAGCTTGCATCTGAACGGCCGAATGTCGGATTCCATTCATCAGACTCCTGAATCCTGACTCATCACCGGCCTTAAGCGACGACTACACCCGTTGGGCAGCATTTCGTGCACATCCGGAGATTGTTCAGTCAACCCAATGACAGGAGGGTGACATGAATAAAATACACCATGGAACGAAAATGTTTTAAGGCGTGTCGTTTTGGCGTTGACTGTCACGGACTGTTACGGCTTTGGAGATGTGAATGAGAAAAGGCCATTGATGCCCTGGTAGCCTTGCGCGCCTTGGTGCCTTGATGCGGGATGACGCAACGGTTGATTTTCGGGCTAACAAGCCACACCAGCCAAATCGTAACAGAAGATCCAGCCATGGAATTAGACAGCCTTTCCTCTTAACATTCATGCTCTCTGATTAGCTTCTAGTTGCTTCGGTTTCTCATGTCTGGTGCCTTATATTAACTTCCCTAATCTTCGAAACTGGGTCGAGCACCATATACCGATCTTCACATACGACCCTATCCACCGAGACCACCAGCATGGCGGACGATTTCCCTGAGATGGAGCCGACGCTCCAGTCTATAATAGATCAGAAATCGTTGAAATGGATCTTTGTGGGTGGTAAAGGTGGTGTCGGCAAGACGAGCAACAGCTGTGCACTGGCAATCCAAATGGCGAAAGTCCGTGAAAGCGTTCTGCTCATCAGCACGGATCCAGGTAAGAGGAGAACTAGACGGCACGCAACAGTCGAGAACATGTACTGAGCGCCCAAAGCCCACAATCTTAGCGATGCCTTCAACCAGAAGTTCGGCAAGGAAGCACGACTCATCAATGGCTTTACAAACCTCTCTGCCATCGAAGTCGATCCCAACGGAAGCATCCAAGATCTACTCGAGTCCGGTGGCGACGCCGCGCAAGATGCCGCGCAAGAAATGGGGGGTTTGGGTGGGATGATGCAAGACCTCGCATTCAATGTGAGCCGCTCCCGCCCCGAGCATGCATGAGAGGCTAACAATCCAAGATTCCCGGTATCGACGAAGCATGCTCCTTTGCTGAGCTCCTCAAACATGTCAAGAAACAGTCGTACGACCTAGTGATCTGCGACACTGCACCCACCGGCCACACTCTTCGATTTCTGCAGTTTCCCGGCGTAATAGAGAAAGCCCTGGCGAAGCTGTCGCAGCTCTCGACACAATTCGGACCCATGCTGAACTCGATCATCGGAGCACGTGGAGGTCTACCCGGTGGTCAGTCATTCGACGACCTCGTGGCGAAAATGGAGGCCCTGCGCAAAACGATCAGCGAGGTCAACACGCAATTCCAAAATCCGGAGCTCACCACCTTCGTTTGCGTGTGCATCGCCGAGTTCCTCTCGCTTTACGAGACGGAGCGCCTGATCCAAGAACTGTCATCGTTCAACATGGACACGCACGCCATCGTGGTCAACCAGCTGCTCTTCCCGAAGACGGACAACCCCTGCGAGCAATGCAACGCGCGGAGAAAGATGCAGAAAAAGTATCTCGAGCAGATCGACGAGCTGTACGATGAGTTCAATGTCGTCAAGATGCCGATGCTGACGGAGGAGATCCGAGGAAAAGAGAAACTAGAACAGTGAGCCTTCTCGTACTCCGTTCGTGGTTCACGCGACTGACTTCTCGACAGGTTCAGCGAAATGCTAGTCACGCCGTATCAGCCCCCTGAATAAACGTATAGATTATTGGATGAACAATGATACCACGATGACGGGCAATCAGCATGGCGTTAGCATTCTGTCGAGTCTAGCAAGGGTTTCCGAGATCATACAGCTACATCTGCATATCAGTTGGCTTACTCCAAGGAATACAAATCAATATCCCCTTGCGGCGTAGTTCCAAAACTGGGGAATTTAGTTACAATCTCCGCGTAGACTTGTTTGGCTGCCAAATCAGTGCAAGATACCGAGCCAGTGCCGTCAGATATCCATCAGTTGCCGATGTTACCCTACTCTTGACTAGCTTCGGCCAATGACACCAGTGGCATACCGTAACATAGCCATCCCCACGTGCTATGTTCCTCCGCCTCAAAGTCCATCGAATAAGCCACCGATTCTCATCACATAAACAAAGATATGCACAGCGCATTCGCGACTTGATTAGTGTTCGGCGAGGAGCAGTCATCGCCCTGTCATTGGCCAATTATTCAAGGTGCTAGCCGCGCTTAGTGCATTCTAGGTTTAGCGTTCCTGTTCGATCCACAGGGTCATCCAATGCCCGTTCGCCAACACTATAATATGATGAGACTCTCCTTCGTGTGTGGCTTTTCGTTTGGTATATCACTATTTTACAGGGTGCACCAATGGATCCTCTTCATCGCTCGAACTCTCCGGAAATGCCTTCGGACCAGGCCACACTATCGATATTCGGGGTATTTCAATGGATCAGAAAATGTCTTGACATCGAGCGGGGTGTGATTCCGTTGCATGAACGCCAGGGCATTATCCGGAACCAACGTTCGGAACAAGCTTAGCGAAGTCCACCGGTGACTGTGGTAACAGTTACATTCCGCATCCTGAGGTACAGGATGATCTTTCCTTTAATTGTATATGCCTATGATCTTTTAAGAACCTGATGGCGATGGCATCGGGTCTGGTTCAGGGAGCGCCGCCGGTTTCCTGCCCTTCATTTCCTCTGTAGCCGAACATTTCACTCGTTTCTCGTGCTCTTCGCGATGTTCACGCTGGCTCAAGCAATAGCTTTCTTTTTCTTCTTTTCCGTGCGAACGGTATTCGCTGTCCCAGTGGAATCTAGGCTGCAGAGGCGATGTAAGACTCCATGCCATTGACTCCAATCCTAAGGGATGATCACTGATTGAACCTCTCCAGCTGTTTCTGAGGAGTTGCTGAATACGTTCATGCTTATGAGCCAGTTCAGCGCTGCTGTATACTGTCGTTCAAACAATGATTCTCCTGGGACGTCATTGAGCTGTTCTGCCGGGAATTGCCCCCTTGTTGAGGCAGGAGATACGCAGACTGTGGCGGAGTTTCAGGAGTAAGCCGCAAATCAATCTAGCAGTGATGTTGGGTATTGCTGACTCGATGGTAACCGTAGTACGGCAGCGACCGATACAACCGGATATGTCGCCATCTCCCGAAAATACTCCATGATCGTCGTTGGGTTCCGAGGTTCTCGCTCCATGAGGAATTATATTGCAGACCTGACTTTCGAGGGCGAGTCAGTCAATCTTGCGGGCTGTAAAAACTGCAAAGGCCATAAAGGTTTCTGGAACTCATGGCAAGAAGCGAAAGAGCAGGTTGTTCGCGCCGTGCGGCAGGTATCTGCGGAGAACCCAGGATATCAGATCGTGTTCACTGGGCACAGTCTCGGAGCAGCCGTTGCGACGCTAGCTGCTGCGGATATGAGGACAATGGGCTTGGATATTTCTTTAGTATGTCCACGGTCCTAACCGCGCACTGAAAGCTGACAATGGCAGTACACATTTGGCGCGCCCCGAGTGGGGGACTCATCGTTATCGACATTCATCAGCAACCAACCGGGCGGTAACTATCGTCTCACCCACGGTTCCGATCTGATACCTCAATTGCCACCTCTTCTGTTTGGATACCGGCATATATCCCCAGAGTATTTCATTTCGAGCGGTCAGAATATTGTTCCGACCCCCAAGGACATCACCATATATTCTGGAGATTGGAATCTTTCCGGCAACACTGGGAAGCTCCCAGGAAATGTGGTTGCTCATCAATGGTACTTCAATAGAATCGCTAGCTGCGCGAGCGGCTTCGAATGGAAATGAGACTTGACAAATGCAGAGAAACAGAGAGAAAACTTAAAAGGAGACTCGGTGAACGACTCGAATTTTGATATCACCAACGTATTCGGTATTACACATCTAATAGACCACCCTCGAGAGGATTGGACTGTTGGAAAGGAATTCGGGTGATCATTGAAGTAGCGATCCTGAGTAACGGTGCCATTAAGGATTTCCGCTGGAGGCAGGGGTCCCTGCCAAGTGCCATGTGATATCCGGCTTTCCATTGAAGATTCCAAGCTCATAATTACTACGTAATCTGTGTGCTACCGAACTTCCGTTCGTAGTTTAGCAACGCCCTACGGTATCTGGTATAGCGCTGTTTTCCGTTTTCAATGAAATCTCACCAGCCTCGGTAAAAACCTCGTCGACCGTTGCAGTGCCCAACGTTTCAAGATGGAGCAAGTGAAACCTATCTCGGCTAAGAATAAAAGGGAGAGAGTGGGGTATGGGCGCTTCGGCCGTGAGCAGCCTCTCTTTGGGTATTGGGATTCAATCGCATTTACGGACGAGGCGCATATCGACCCTAACGAACAGACAAAGGGGAGGGTAATACGGGAAGAGGGAACGCGTCTTAATGTGAGGGTTCGAGTCAAATGGATTCGATACCATAGTTTAACGTTATGAATTCAGTTAAAGAAAGAAAGAAAGAAAGAAAGAAAGAAAGAGAAGATCTCTCTCTTCTCAAGGAAGTCTGCTGATATGCCTGGGGCGGCCATGCAGTTTGCTACACACTACATGAAGTTACCTCAGGCTCTCAGGCCCTTCAGTGGGACGCAAAGGCGCTAACCCAAAATGGGTCACCCACACGAAGGGCCTGAGACAAATTTGAAATTTTTTGGTGGCGTTGACGTTCGTGGCATGCAAATTGCCCCTCCAAGCTCCGCTGCGAACTCGTCTCGAAATCGACATCAAGTCAAAGTACGAAGCCAAACAGCGCGTCCAAGTCGGCAACCAAACATATTCCTAAATCCCCGATCTCATTAGGCGAGGTGGCTAAGTAGTCATGAAGAATCCTGAGACCTGAGTAATAGTAGTAGGTTGCAGCATTGATATTGGAGATGCGAGAACTATTTAATAACTAACAGCGAACCTTAAGGACGGAAGAGAGTGAGTTCCTTCTGCCTATTGATTCGTATATGCTTGCTGAACTGACGTAGAACTCTTGGACAGCCGATCTCTGAATATGGTTTCTAAAGGATCTTCTTCTTCGACTGTAGCAGAAAATGGCGCATCTGCTCCATCTTCATTGTTACCGCCTCCAACATCGAAGGCAAGGACTCGCGATCAGGGGGGCGCGGTAGTTTGTGTAGCAGAATGGTCGATAGCTGGGATCCATAGCTCCGAATTCCAAATTTTTGAGATAGAATTGGTCTATATTGCGCGTAGAATCATTCCATGAAGCTGATGATGTTGACCTGAATGCTCACCAATTTGCATGCCACGAACGTCAACGCCACCAAAAAATTTCAAATTTGTCTCAGGCCCTTCGTGTGGGTGACCCATTTTGGGTTAGCGCCTTTGCGTCCCACTGAAGGGCCTGAGAGCCTGAGGTAAGCATTGCATGAAGCCATGCAGGTAGTCACGTGTTGCTTGTGGCTCACCCCACCTGCGCCTCTCCAGGCCGTCAGGCAATCAACCACGTCTGAGCCAAAGGCGCAAGACCATTACACTTAAGCCTGAAAACCTCCAAGCCAGACCCGCAAAGGTAGGTAATGCCCTTCATTTTGCAGCTTCAATCAGTTGGTGGCATAAGAGCGAGCTCAAGTTCCATCACGATAAGTCTGAAGACCCTCCAAAGGCCCCAAGTCGACTGCGAATGCCACGGAAAAGCAGTGTAGATGTAGAGTCGTCTTCGACGCGAATCCGCTTCAGGAAATGAATGACGGAGGATGAAAGTCGTCCTTCGGGGAGAACTTCGGCTTCCTAACGATGAAACTCCCACCAAGGCCGATGGTCCATGTCCTCTAACGGTCGTCCTGTCCCCGCAAGGTCAAGGAGTTGGTTATGCAGCGCCGCGAATCGTTCGAAATCCATACCTTCTACCCTTCGAACAGTGTTTGATTCGGTAACGAGCCATTCTGTTGAAATATCAAGATTCATCTGGATATGCGACGCGATGGGTGGGGTGGTGCGGTCGCTTGTGGTTTACGGCAGAGGTGTCTAGTACCTACCGTAGGTTTAAGAGAGAGAGAGATTTATACGCCCGCGCAAAAAGCCTACACCACCGTACGAACCGCTCCAGACACCATCGTTGTCCCCAGCGCCCGAAAGTCACGTGCGGTCAACCCCAGAAAGGGAGGAAGTTCGGACCCTCCGGAGGCATTGCCCAGAGCTCTCAAATAACGATATTTTTAAACGATGTGGTGTTTCAACGGCCACAGGATATCGTATCTTAAGAGCTAGGAGTTCTAGGCGAACTAATAAGGCAGGGTCGGGACCGCAAGAGGTCGCCCACGGAGTCTCCTGGTTGAACAGATCCAGGCTATTATCCGGTGGCTCGTCGGTCATTACGACCGGCGAATCGAGTCATTTGAGGAGATAGTGCGATCTTGGAAGCTCGGATGCCATTGGCAGACCCTTAAATCAGCCGTTGAGCGTGAGGGATTCCAGAAGTGCCGTGCCTGTCAAAAACCGTATATCAAGGAGGAGAACCGGATCAAGCGCTACCAATTCGCTCAGGACCACCGCCTTTGGACTCCCCTCTGGCGATACGTTGTCTTCTCAGATGAGGCCCATTTCCATCTTGGTATGGAGAACTCAAAGTGGGTAATCCGCGGGAAAGAGGAGCGGTATTGCCCTGATTGCATTCAGCATAGGAAAAAGAGACCAAAAAATGTCCTCCACGCCTGGGGTGCCGTAGGGATGGGATATAAGAGCCACCTCGTATTCTACGAATACCACAAAAAGGAGAGGCCGGGGGGTCGCGAATCTGGACTCAATATGACCCGTTACCGCGACGAGATCTTGAAGCCCTATATCGTCCCCCTTTTCCAGCGTTTTCGGAAGGAAGGGAGGCCCTTCCTCCTCGAGGTTGAAAATGATGGGTGCCACGGAACCCGGAGCAAGACTAATAGGGTGAAAAAGTTCATGTCTGAATGGGGGATTCCTTGGTATGCGGACCTCCAGATATGTCCCCAATTGAGAACGTCTGGAGGATCCTAAAACAGCGCTTAAAACAGCGTAAACGGCATCCCAAAACTCAGGGAGAGCTCAAGGATGCGATCATCGATGAATGGAACAAGATTCCACAACATGAGATCGATTCCTATATCGAATCTATGCCTGACAGGATGGCAGAGATTGCAGAGCGAAATGGGCTTCAATCACGTTATTAAGAGCTCAACGCCTGAAACTCTCGCGACATTACTATTTACATAGAAATCTACAGCCTCAAATTTACATGTGAACCGCCTGGAAAGTGATATTTTGCTGTATGAGTGGTTTGATGGTGGTTTTGGTGGTGCTGGGCAGGGGGCCTCGAATTTGGCCCTATCACGATTTTCTCACACAACCCTCGGTTGAGGTGAGGCAAGAGGGGGGTCTATAGCTGCCCTGCACCACCGCATTGTGTCGGGGAAGTACATATTGGAATTGAGATTCAGAAAAGCCATGGATATTAACTAAGTGTAAGGAATGATAGACGATGCAAGGTGTGACTTTTTAAAAATATTCGACATGGTGGCGGGGGTGGTCACCTGCCGTTTCTGGTTTTGGGTGTCCTCTTCCCTAGCTCGGACTTCTCCATCTTCGTTCTTTCCTCTAAACTGTCCCCACCTTTCACCTCCTTCGCCCTCCTCGCCTTTCCTTGCACCTTTCCCTAACGGGCCCCTGTCACCCAATCGCTCTCCCCTTCTCGCTCGCGCATGACCGACACGACTCCGCTCCCAGCTGCAACTAGCCTCTGCCGTAGCAGAAGGGACAGAAAGGGCGGCCGCGGCGACCTCGAGGCATTCGAGGACCGGAAGAATGTGTCTATAAGCATCGCGTGCCAAAACCAAGCCGGCTTAGAGAGTAATAAGGATAATTATAGAGGATGACAGGGCGGCAGGGTTACCGGCCGTGGCCAGTCTAGAAACTCCACAGTCCACAATCAAGGGTTCCTACTTTGACGAAAGATAGTGGATAACATTTCCATTTCTATTTTCGCGCTTGATATTATAAATACAGTCAACCTGAGTGATATAAGACATTGCTTCAAGTTCGGAGGGGGTACAGCGCCCGTTGGCCGCCGAAATGGAAGATGCTCGCTTTGATAGTGTCGACAAATGGTCTTGGTGTTAGGTCCGCCCTACCTTGCAGCCGACAGCCGCTCTCCAGCAGTGGATAGCGGCAAGGCAGGAGTGTTGATTGGCGAGCCTTGCGAATGCATTCGCTAGTTGAGGATTGAGGATGAACCTCATCTGCATACAGACATGAACTCACTCCCAGGTGTTCGCATGCCCACATACACAGCAACATGCGCCAGAAGAGAGCGAATTAGCGTCGCTATTCCAAGCTCATGTCAGGCAGCACTCAACTTATTAGTGGTGTGTCCGCCAACCAGAATTCGCAGGTCGTGGCTGGCACTATCCATGGGTCTGTGAACTTTGGGAGCAGCAAAAGTGAGGGTGCTTAGCTGGCTATGGCCTCAAAGCAGCAGGAAGCTTACTGGCAATCTAGACTTGAACGATGTGCTCAACTCCCTCCCTACCGCAAAGGACGCGCCGTTCAATACATACCAGCGACAACACGACCCGGCCTGCCTTCCCGATACCCGCGTCGACCTCCTCCAAGAGATATACAACTGGGCTGACAGGCAAGATGGGCGCTCTATTTTCTGGTTGAACGGCTTGGCCGGCACGGGCAAGTCGACAATTGCGCGCACTGTCGCCCGCAGAGGCTTCGATGAGAAGCATCTCGGAGCCAGCTTCTTCTTCTCGCGCGGCGGTGGGGATGTCAACCATGCAGGCAAGTTCATCACGAGCATTGCGTGGCAGCTGGCGAACAACATACCCTCTCTCCAACAGTACATTTGCGATGCCATCATAGAGCACCGCGACATTGCGAGCCAGTCCCTCCGTGACCAGTGGCAGCAACTTATCCTAGGTCCACTATTAAAGCTAGGTGAAAACGGTGGCCAGTCCTCGTACATTCTTGTCGTTGATGCGCTCGATGAGTGCGACGGTGACAATAACATCCGGATTATCATACACCTCTTAGCTGAAGCTCGATTGTTAAAGACGGTTCGACTACGAGTCTTGCTGACAAGCCGACCTGAAATTCCAATCCGATATGGATTCCGTCAGCTACCGAATGCGAATATCCAGGATTTTGTACTTCACAGCATATCACCCTCTATCGTAGATCACGATATCTCTGTTTTCTTCGAGTATAATCTTAAGCTCATTGGACAGGAGCACTCTCTAGATGACTCCTGGCCAGGCGAAGAGATTATCAAAAGCCTGATCCAGACTGCAGGGGGATTGTTCATTTGGGCCGCAACCGCTTGTCGGTTCATTCAAGAAGGTTATCTCGCAGACGAAAGAGTGCAAACTTTGTTAGAAGGTAGTACCTCTATTCCTGCACCAGAAGAGCATCCAGAAGTACACCTTAATAAGCTCTATACTACCGTCCTAAAGAAATCTATCCGGTTAGGTTACTTAGCGAAAGAGAAGGAAGCATTGTATGGCATGCAAAGTCATATTCTTGGAAGCATCGTGGTGCTCTTCTCCCCGCTCTCTGCCGGCTCGCTTCACAGGCTACTTAATATCCCCAAGCAAAATATTGGTCAGGTGCTCAGGGATCTTCATGCGATTCTAAACATTCCCAAGGTCGACATATATCCACTTCGTCTGCATCACCCTTCGTTTCGCGACTTTCTCCTCGATGAAAAGAGATGCGGAGATCCAAACTTATGGGTAGACGAGAAGAAAGCCCACCAAGTGTTAACCAACAGCTGTATCCAGCTTATGTCGTTATCACTCAAGCAAGATATATGTTGCGTGAATGCCCCCGGCATGCTTGTAGCCAATGCCGAGAGACGCCGAGTTACACAAAGTTTACCTCCTGAAGTCCAGTATGCATGTCTTTACTGGATCCAGCACCTCCAGAAAAGCGGTACTCGACTTTACGATAATGGTCAAGTGCATCAATTCTTACAGGAACATCTTCTTCACTGGCTCGAGGCCCTTGGATGGATGGGAATGGTGTCGGAAGGAGTTTATGCTATCACATCTTTGGGGTCGTTTACTTCCGTTAGTATAACTATCTACAGCATATTACAGAGTATTCGCTAACAATTTGGCCAGTTAAGTGGCTGTCCTAGTCTCTCGAAATTTATCCATGATGCGAAGCGGTTCGTGCTCTATAACCGACATATTATCGAGCAGGCTCCCCTTCAGACGTACTGCAGTGCCCTCGTATTCGCACCGACAATAAGTATAATAAGACAGCAGTTCGTAAACTGTATGCCTAGATGGATACGAAATTCGCCAAGGGTTAAGGAGAAATGGCATGCGGTAATACAGACGCTGGAGGGCCATTCGGACCGCGTCAACGCCGTGGCCTTCTCGCCGGACAGAAAGACGCTGGCGTCGGCATCGAACGACAGGATGGTCAAGCTGTGGGACGCCGGGTCGGGCGCGCTGCAGCAGACGCTCGACGGCCATTCGCGCTCGGTCCGCGCCGTGGCCTTCACGCCGGATGGAAAGACGCTGGCGTCGGCATCGAGCGACGGGACGGTTAAACTATGGGACGCCGGGTCGGGCGCGCTGCAGCAGACACTCAAGGGCCATTTGGGCTCGGTCTACGCCGTGGCCTTCGCGCCGGACGGAAAGACGCTGGCGTCGGCATCGAACGACAGGACGGTCAAGCTGTGGGACGCCGGGTCGGGCGCTCTACAGAAGACGCTCGAGGGCCATTCGGACTCGGTCCGCGCCGTGGCCTTCGCGCCGGACGGAAAGACACTGGCGTCGGCATCGAACGACAGGACGGTCACGCTGTGGGACGCCGGGTCGGGTGTGCTGCAGCAGACGCTCGAGGACCATTTAGGCTGGGTCTACGCCGTGGCCTTCGCGCCGGACGGAAAGACGCTGGCGTCGGCATCGAGCGATAGAACGGTCAAGCTGTGGGACGCCGGGTCGGGCGCGCTGCAGCAGACGCTCGACGGCCATTTGGGCTCGGTCCTCGCCGTGGCCTTCGCGCCGAACGGCAAGACGCTAGCGTCGGCATCGAACGACAGGACGGTCAAGCTATGGGACGCCGGGTCCGGCACGCTACAGCAGACGCTCGACGGCCATTCGGAATCGGTCTGTGCCGTGGCCTTCGCGCCGGACGGAAAGACGCTGGCGTCGGCATCGGACGATGCGACGGTCAATCTATGGGACGCCGGATCGGGCGCGCTGCAGCAGACGCTTAAGGGACATTCGCGCTCGGTCCGCGCCGTGGCCTTCACGCCGGACGGCAAGACGCTGGCGTCAGCATCGGACGATGCGACGGTTAAGCTGTGGGACGCCGGGTCGGGCGCGCTGCAGCAGACGCTCGAGGGCCATTCGCGCTCGGTCCGCGCCGTGGCCTTCGCGCCGGATGGAAAGACGCTGGCGTCGGCATCGAGCGACGGGACGATTAAACTATGGGACGCTGGGTCGGGCGCGCTGCAGCAGACGCTCGACGGCCATTCGGAATCGGTCTGTGCCGTGGCCTTCGCGCCGGACGGAAAGATGCTGGCGTCGGCATCGAACGACAGGACGATCAAGCTGTGGGACGCCGGGTCGGGTGCGCTGCAGCAGACGCTCGAGGACCATTTAGGCTGGGTCTACGCCGTGGCCTTCACGCCGGACGGCAAGACGCTGGCGTCGGTATCGGAGGACGCGACGGTCAAGCTGTGGGATGCCGGGTCGGGCGCACTGCAGCAGACACTCAAGGGCCATTTGAGCTGGGTCTACGCCGTGGCCTTCGCGCCGGACGGCAAGACGCTGGCGTCGGCATCGGACGATGCGACGGTCAAGCTGTGGGATGCGGGGTCGGGCGCGCTGCAGCAGACGCTCGACGGCCATTCGGGCTCGGTCCTCGCCGTGGCCTTCGCGCCGGACGG